GCTTTACGGTTTTGATGAAGGACAGGAATCAGTTGAATATTGATCTGATATTATTGTTGCTATTTGGTTATTGTCCAGGAAAGTTGATATTAAAGTTGATGCTTTGCTTTTTTAATATGGCATTCCTCTGTAAATTTTGTTTATATGAAAAAGTAGGAGTAAATAATCTCTTTTACATTCCACATTGAATACATTTGTACTATTCCTAGATATCTTCACCATGTACACAATTTTTGATCTGCTGTTTGTCCTCAAAGATACTTTCAAGGCTATTTTTTGGCCCTGATGTTGTTGTTGTCCAAGGTAGCTGATTATCATTTCATTGGCTTACATTTGCCTTTAAATCATGTAAAATGACAGTTTTCAGATAGTTTGTGGAAGTCTAAGAGGTCAGATGATCTGAGCATATCTTTACTTCATTCACTTCCTGAAGGGTGTAGCCTGACAGAAAAGCCTGTTCAAGGACAGTGAACACCAGAAAATTGTGACAGCAGGAAGGAAAGCCATCTCATGATGTATCCATCAGTCTTTCGTGGACACAGTCATGGTAATGTTAATTCAGCTAGTGTAGAATAAAGACATTTTATTATTTTTTATTAGTATTTTATTAGTTTATGGACTGCTTGTGAAGAAAATGTGGTGATTTATTTTAGTAACATTACATTACATACAAAAACAAACACAGATTTCTTTATTCTATCTTCATAGGGCATTTGGCCAAAAATATTCAACAATGCATCAGGCTTGCTTTTTGCCACTTGTGCGAGTTTCATTACTCATTCATGTCATGCCAGGGTAGCAAGCGGTTCACACTTTTCCCAAGTAACAAGGAAACCTGAAGTGCTGAAGTCACAAGGAAACCAAATGAAGAGGCCTAGGTGAAGGGGTTTGGACATTTTTCAAAAAGGAACCCAGAACTTTTTTTCATATAATAAAGGACAATTTTAACATGTAATACTTTTCTTTATTTAAATATTTTCATCTAGAGACTTTAATAAAGGGCAGCATAAGCCTTGCTTTTGTGATTATGCCCGATTATGTAGAGTCTTAATGATCAACTTTGTCTTCTTGGCTTTTTGAAGAAGAGGCAAAAGTGTGAGCTAAAATGGTGTTATCTATAGGAGGTATCTATTGCATTACCTTTTTCCTTGATTATTCTTTAGGATCATTAGTTCAGTATTAATTGAACACCATGCTTTCACTCAAAGGAAAAAATAACAAAATGCAGACAATTCAAAAACGTCTCACAATATACCGTCGGTGGAACAGTTGTTTATTTGTTGGTTAACAATTAATCGGTGGATCATTTACATCCCCTACTGTGTTTCTGTATCACATATTGCAGTGTGATTTGGATAATTCTGAAAAGCATTGCATAGGAATCCCAATACTATGATAGTTTTAAAGCATTATGCAACACTGCTTAATCCTTTTTTTCCATAGGCTTAACTGTCCATAACTTTTCATACCTTTGGCTATCTTATCAAGATTAGCCAACCTAAACATCATCACATGCAGACAGGTAAAAGGATATCTGGCTAAATGTTGGAATGTCTATCATCATTTTGAGAAGAAAGCCGCCAGGGCTTGCAGACCTTGCTTACTGGATGTTTTCTAATATTGTGAGGAGGGAGTAATGTGCTCTGCGAAGTAGACTTCCTCCAGGGAAGAAAGCATTCCAAGCTGTGTGCTGGACTGTCAGGTTCTTTAACTGTCAGGAAAGTCTTTTGAGAATCGTCTTGAAATTCAGACCTGACTTTGATATGCCTCATTATAGCTTTCTGCCACAGCCTGATCAAGGATAAACTAACTAATGTTCATTAGAGATCTGTAAAGATTTCAGATTCAGTCTGTTTAGCAATGTTCTTCGAAGTGTATGTGGTTTATTATGCACAAACACTCTTGCATTTATACATTTATCGCGCATATCCAAAATGAAGTGATTTCACTGCAGAATATTAAAATAACTGTCCAGTCCAGAAAGCACATATGAAAAATGTAGTCCTCTCTTTGTAGTATTAAAGGATTCCCTACCTACATTTTTCCTGTATTTTGTTTTTTTTCTTCCAACCTGTTTGTTTTCGCACCTTTCTTTAACCTTTACAGTTACAAGGCCTGCTGTTACTGTGCCTTTAAGACTGATAGACTATATGTAAATGATCTCTGTTCTTATTAGCGGCTGTATTATGCCTCAATTTAAAAAAAGCAGTCCAAGTTGAAACACTCCTTATAACTTCAGCATGAATGGGTGGTACTAAACTGCTGTTGGCTAAATAGGCAGATATGTGTAAATGCATTGGTTTTATTACATCTTAGAAACAGTGCATTCAAAATGAGCCATATTTGTAGCCTAATTTGCATATTTTGTTTATGTGGGCTTGTGGAGTGACTGGTGCATTTAAAAACATAAATATTCTTTATTTATGACTACTATAATTTATAAAAATAGAATTTTTTTTTCATATCTTGCTTGAATTATACGACTGTATTGTTTATGAAAACACAAAGATCTGATTGGTATCAGTCAATAATCAACATTAAAATATTTGGATTGGACTCAGACAAAAACAAAAACCTGAACTGGGAATCTCTAATTTCCAGTGTAAGCTCATGAGCAAGAAGATTTTTCCAAGGCCTCCAGCATCCACACCATCGTAGAAAGCACTGTATGGTTTGCTCATGCCTTGCCAGTGTGTTTGCTGTATGTATCCTATCACTGTTTCTTTTAACCCTAACTCAAACTGTGCAGTTTTGCAGAAGTTAATTAGCTTACAAGCAAATGTATTAGTAAAAGGGTTCAATGAGTGATGTTCAACAATCAGATGAATTTAGAAACAGAAGTAAAACCCTGCATTTGATTAGTGAAACTGACCATTTAATGGTACAGGTTGTAAAGTTCTCTCATTCCTATAGCAAGGTTGTAAGTAATTCATTTTTCCTTAAAAATATTTGCTCAGTGTTGCATTTTGCTGTTGGTCAGACAGATATTTGATAGATTTCACTTTTTTAATGAGTATACCATTTGTACCTTATAAATGCATGCTGCTGAAGTTTACTGGAAGCCTGGTAAATTGGTTTTTAGCTAATATTTGTGGGTTCTAGTTAATGAGTCACTGCAACTTCCTGACAAGTTTCTCCCAGTATAAAGAGTAAACCTATCTCTGTCTAAAATCTACTTTTGTAATTCCTCAGTGAAATTGTGGAAAGTGTCTTATGGATTTGAAGACGTAGAGGTGGTGCACAGCTTTTTCCTACTTGGATTAATTATTAACAACAAAGAACCCATCAGTTACGAAATACGACATAGATTGGGAATCAGTAGACCAATTCAAAAGTCTTTTGAGGGTAACTTGAATGGCAAAGAAAAGAAATGAGTGGATTCTTGACCAAGTCAAGCCTCACCTCTCACTTAAAGCCCAGGTAAGCGAAGTGAATTTCAGACATATAAAGAGGAACCAATTAATTATGCTTGGAACAGTTAAAGGTAAAAGAAGAGGACAGAGATGGATGGAGCCAGAAGACCCGACTGGAGAAACTTTGTCCATGTGTTCATATGGTTGCCAGGAGTTGGAATTAACTTGCCCTGTGCAAAAATATAGGTTGCAGTACATTCTGCAATGTCACAGTTCAGTGGTTATAATGTCAAATAATCCAGTGTTTCTAAAATAACTGGCTTGGATTTGAAGTACAGCTGTATCTCGCTTTCCAGAAAATCTGCAGATCCGCACTGGTTTGACCTTTAGGGTTGCTTTATATCAGCAAAATGTTGCTTTTGGGTTGAATTGTTATTTGACATAAGGGCAGAGAAGTATATCCCACATACTTGGCTTTATTATAGAATGTTGGCATCTTCACTACTGCCTCCTTGAAATGACCCCAAACAACGCCTTGGCTTTAGTTCTGCATGTGTTTATGTCTCTGTGTCTGCAGAGAAGTGTTCTGTGCCAAAGGCTGGCCAGGGCAAAAAATAAACAGGCTGAATTTGATCTTCCGCTTGCATGCTGCAACTGGATGCTAGCATATCACTTCACGTTACAAAGCAGACTTTCATATTTACCAATCAATTTTACTGAGGCTCTCATTGTTTTGTTTCCCCTCCCTACTCTGCCGAGGGATGGTTGATACGATGATATGATATCTTCATCATGAGAGGTATATTATTTTGCAAGTATATTGTTTTTTGTGATGGTGTACATGTACATTAATTAAGTTAATGAACCTCTTCTGACTTTAGCCTATATACTTCTGTAAAACTCCCTTCCACAAAACATATGACATGCATTTCTTTTTACTTTAGCTTTTCTCTAGTTTTGTTTATCATTTTTTTGTTTTTCAAATTATATGCTAGAGTTTTTGTTGTCCCATTTCTTGATTCTTGTGTTTCATACTTTATTTATATCTTTTTATACTTGTTACATTGTTACGTTTTTTTTTGAGGTATTTATCTTTTAGAATTTTTTTACATTTTTATTTTATTTTCATTTCTGTATATTTTTACCTCCTCTGTTTTGTTTTTCTTCTCTTATGCTGGTTTTTATTTGCTTTTGAGCTGCATTTTGTTGTATGAAATGTATAAATAAAGTTAATTATTATTTTATGTTCTTCCTTCCTGTTCTGCCATAGCTTGATTTGATTGGATTCTTTTAGCCTTTTTTCTTTTCTTAAAACTTCACGGCGGAAGGGGGGGAAGCTTACACATGAAATGTACTATTTATGTATTTTTATGCCTTTTGAACTGCTCTTTGAAAAATGAAATGAAAGTTTTTGTTAGTTGTAAATCCAGCTAAACCATAAAAATCAGTAGTAGCAATAACTATACCGACATACCAGTATAGACAGTCTATCCCTCAGCACTTTGATATATACTGATGATCGTAAAAATATTTTATGTTCTGTGATGATTTGTTTTTGCCTATATTGCCTGCCCTTCTGCTCCTCAAATTTCTTCTGTTCAACCACACCTTCCTTTGTTAACCCCTGTTTCCTCCCCTCTCAGGGCTGGCTTCGGCCTGAAGAAGCCGCTCAAGATGAATATGGTGAAGCGGATCATGGGGCGGCCGCGGCAGGAGGAATGCAGCCCGCAGGACAATGCGCTGGGCCTCATGCACCTGCGCCGCCTCTTTTCCGAGCTCTGCCACCCACCGCGCCACATGACCCAGAAGGAGCAGGAGGAGAAGCTCTACATGATGCTGCCTGTCTTCAACCGGGTGAGCGGAAAGTCTTTTGTTTAGTCTGTCATGCTGCTTTGTCAGTTTAGTCATAGAAAGTGACAGTGATGCTTTGTGGCAGTGATTGTAAGTGATGTCAAATGGAGCAAGCGTTTATAAATACTTATGTCTGCTTCAGTTTTATGTCATGCCATATGAACAGCTCTTTAAAATAGGCTTTTTTGTTAATTTAGTTTGAATAGCAGCAATTTAAGATGTGTTACTTTCGATAGGCCTACCTGTAGCCACCCGCTGTGTCAGTTTATCACTGCGTCAATTTGACATAAGTTGACAGCTTAGCCTGTCACAATTACATAATCACCAAATCACAATTATTTGAGATTATTGCAGTTTTTTGAGCTGAGAGCAATTATTTTCCACAGTCGTTTGAGTTCACAATAATAATATGCTGCAACAAGCATAATGTGAATTGGCTGTGTTGGGTTAAGGTAATGTTTATGGGGCAGCACTGAGTAATGTTTGTGTATTTGTTAGCTCTGTACTTAGTTTTTAGCGTCTATGCAGACAGAATTAATATTTATTTTGCTTATATTTTGACTCATGAAGATGTAGCTTTGCTTAACTCTACATATAATTGTGTGTAACTGTAAGCATTTTTTGAGTGTGTACAGTTTTGATTCGACAGTACATCCTGTTGTTGGCAACTAAGCTGTTGTTGTACACCTGTTGTTGGCTAAATCCGATCTTTTCCTTCATGTGTGACACAGATGTGTCATCTGTGTGGCAGTGTGAACAGCAAAAAATCCGATCTGCGGCAATACGACTCAGTCTGAACAGCCAGATCGGAATTCATGCGACATTTACGTCAGTCCTACTTTCATCATAATTTCGCGCTGCTGAGACTCATAAATATTTAGGCTGATGTTTCTGTACTAAAACGTTAGAAGAGACTCATCGCAGCCGCTCCGTGTTTGAAGAGATTTCTAACGAAACGCGGCCGGAGGAGCCCGAAGCTGCAGCGTCAGAGAACAGTTTAAAGAATCCGAGGACACGAACCAAAGAAGCGGCTGTGGCCGAATAACGCGCCCTTTTTACGGCGAACTCGTACACATTGTGGGTGATGAGTCCAGCTGTCAACCACTGGAACTTTATACTCGCTCCTGCGATGCTGGCGAGGGCGAAACTGAAGCTCCGGGAGCGACTGGCGTTCGCTGGCCGTCATGACTGTTTACCTCTGGACGAGCCGCCACGTGAAGCACTGTTCTTTTGCGCATGCGGGTCGGTTTAGGAGCTGATCTGTTCAGACAAATGTCGCATACAGGTCACATTTAAAAGATAATGTGAACAGCCAAAAAAAAAAAATTGTTTTTTGATTTGGTGAGAAAATCTGATTTGGGCCACTTTTACATGCTGTGTAAACGTAGCCTAAAGGATCAGCTAGGAAGTAAGCTGGCTAATCAGCCAATTTTGGCCACTTTAGGCTTGTATTTTAGTAGCAGTAAATGAAAAAAAAAAATTAAATAATTTGTCTCAGGGATCTGCGTTAACTTTTAAGACAAGTGACCTGAATGTTCACCTTCCCAAACCAATTTTTTACTGTCCCTAACAATTCTTTGTATTGTAAAGCATTATTCAAATATAAATGATCACATGTAAGCCAATATATTTAGTTAAGATTATTTATTTTTTAAATAAGTGTGAGTTCTCACGGTATAGTTAAGCGAAGATTACAACTTTTCTTCAGCTGGCCATGCTATTTTCAAAACTTGGGTCCAGAACTCCAGATTAGAAAACAAAAACAGTGGTTAAGAATTGGCTGCCATGGATGCTTTAAAGGGTCTTGACCAAAAATCTAAATGTTAGCATTTACATGCACAAGGTAGCAAATACACTACTTTTTGAGCCATGCCGGTACAGTAGTGGCTACTAAGGGCCAGTCCACTTTTTTCTCTTCTAACCGTGTGATGTGCTGTTGTGACTAACTTGGTCAACTTGGAATTTGGTTTACTGTTCATCTGTCGTGTGTGCGTGCCCAGTGGTCCAAACGCGTTAGCGGCTTTTTTTCTCTGCATGCAGTGTAACAGACTTGTCGTGACACTCCAATTTTACCTCTTTTACCACCACAGTAGATGTAATTGAAGTGTAGAGTTTCAGCTTTAATTTAAAGGGTTTAACAAAAATATTGCGTTAGGGAATTACAGCCATTTTTCCATAGTCCCTCCATTTTCACAGGCTCAAAAATAATTGGACATACTAACATAATTGTAAATACAAGGGTTATTTTTAATACTTGGATGCAAATCGTTTGCAGTCAATGACTGCCTGAAGTCTGGAACTAATGGACATCACAAAGTGCAGAGTGTCTTCCTTGAGATGCTTTGCCAGGCCTTTAGCCACCTTTATTTGCTGCTTGTTTGTGCATCTTTCTGCCTTTAATTTTGTCTTGTAAAAAGCGAACAGTGAAAAACGTTAGGTTGAAGTCAGGGGACTGACTCGGCCATTTAGGAACATTCCATTTCTTTGCCTTAAGAAGCTCTTGGGTTGCTTTTGTGGTATGTTGTGGGTCATTGTCCATCTGTACTGTGCCGTCCTATCAGTTTTTCAGCAGTTGACTGAATCTGAGCAGAAAGTACAGCTCTATACACTTCAGAATTCATTCTGCTATTTCTTTAAGCAGTCACATCATCAGTAAAAAACACCAGTGAGTTCCATTGGCAGCCAGACCAACATAAATGTAAATATAACATATTGTATGCCATATAATATGTTATAAACATATGTGCCATAACACTGCCTCCACTATGCTTGACAGATGATATGACACTGGTATGCTTTTATAGATTTCTTTTTAATATATTATAAGTTTAATGTAGCCTCTCTGTTCCTGAGTGTTACCAGTGGTTTGCATCTTAAGGTAAACCCTCTGTGTTTACATTCATGAAGACGTCTCTTGTAGACTTTGACAACGATATGCCAACCTCCTCTAGAATGTCCTTGACATGACTAGATGTCGTGAGGGGATTTTTCTTCACCATGAGAAGAAGAGACACTTTAGTTGTCATCTGTGGTTTTCCAGGCCTTTTGGTGTTGCTGAGCTCGCCAGTGCATTCTTTCTTTTTAAGAATGTACCAGATTGTTAATGTGATGCATTCTTTCTTTCTTGCAGGAACTCATCGTTTCCTGTGTACCTGATGGCTAATTTTAGTTTGCACCCTGTTGGGCAGTAGGCTGCAAAAAAATCTTTAGAAGTGCTCTTAAAGCATTCTTAAATTAGTTTAATTAGGGGCTAGTTGCCTAGACATACATTAAGCCTACTCTTGGACTAAATTGCAGCGTAAATTGCAGTGAATCACCACTGAAAATTCTTTTAGTCTAGACTTGGGCTTAATCTGGGCCTGTGGATGTGGCAATATGATTATTTCTATATTTTTTCCAGCAGATGATATAGACAAAGTTAAGCCTGTGTTGTAATTACGTAATTTCCTACATGCTGTGTTTGTGATGTATATTGGGAAATACACCCAGTGAACACTTGGTATTTCTGTGTCACATGGTCAAAATAGGGAAGCCAAAAAGTGATTTGTCAGAAGTGCTTGTGATTGGCTGTGATCTTGCAAGACGCTCATTGGGACCATGTGAGACCAGTCAGTATTCTGACACAGCGGAAATTTCTGTGATTTATTAGAGCACTTGTACTGCAGTCTTTTGCTGTATCATAGGCTGGTATTGTGACAGTAATGAACATATTGTGCATTGCTGCTGTAAATGCACTATATTGTAAAGACTGAGAGGATAGACCACCACCTATGTCTGATACTTGATCCAAGAAGGTTAATCAGTCATTATGAAATCAAGAGTCTCTCAACGTGGTCAAGTGTGCTGTGGTATTAATCAGCAAGCACAAATTATGCAGAAAGACTGTTAATGTCTTCAGTAACTGTTCATAATTGCATGAGTGAGGGCCAGCCTCTTTCACTCCATAAGGATTTGAAGAGTACTTGTTGAAGTATAATGGAGCTGTCACAATCATAGAAGAGGTAGCGATTTGTATTCAAGTTTAATAGCAGTGTTTAAAATGTTGTATTATAAAACAGATAGTTCTGGTCCTGAAATCTGATTGGTTGAGCTGCGATCGAGGCCGTTGTAATGTATTTAATATATGCACACACCCATGACCACTTCACAGCAATTGAATTCTGTATTGATGTACCAGCATATATAGATACATGAAGTAAGAGCCTTGTTTTGTTTGAAATGAGGGGCTAGGCTAGACTAAAATATAGCAGGTTAAACAGTCTAAACAGTAGCAGTCAGTGTTTTTCATAGATTTTCCATAAATAGTATTAAACCCAGTCTGGGGGGACAAAATGTGTGGCACTGTTAGCTTGATGCTAATACAATACAAGAAGCTGCATTGAGGCGCTAGTCGGAATTAGCATTATCATTGTGTTGGTGATTGGGTGAACAAAAACTGCATATTAAGAATGAAATATTCTGCATTAAACACTTCTCATATAATAATACTTTCATTATTAAATGATAAAGTTCATGAAATACCTGCAGTATACAGTGATGGGCACCTGAAACCACGGCCTCTCGTGGTTTATTGCTTTATCCTGACGGATAGCGTTAGCATTTTAAAGCTCTCATTTTCATATGAGCTCTGTTCATAAACTCCAAGTCCAAACGATATTTTAAGTATGAGTGTGGTTCTTTTTCGATCCTGAAACTTTAAACAACTTCTAACCTCATTGTATATCATATTTGTAGCTTCTTTCTGTAGCTTTTGAGGGCAACTTCATTGAAGTCTGTAACTAAGAAGCTGTGAATGGCTCATCTGTGCTCTTACTGCAGATGACACATGGCTCAACTGTGAGCTTACAAACAGGGCAATTTAATGGTTGATAAAATTTAATGAAGTGAGTTTAAAAAAAGGCTTTTTTGTTTAGATAGGCATGCACAAACTGAGTAATGCCTGTTTGAGTAGGTGTTTGGCCTTCACAACATAGCGTTTGTTAATTGCTAACATGATGTAAACCTTTGAAATCCTGATATTGCAGAAGATTACAATTTGCAGATGGGGCCTTTAACCAAGCAGTTTTCTATATCTGTGCAGTAAGCAGTCACAGTTCCTGATGTGAATGTGGTTTTTGTGGGTGTTTTTTGATGCACCAGTGTTAATAAGAAATCTGAATTTGAAAATTCATCACCACAAAAATTTAATCGTTAAATTAATAGAAAGCCAAATCTGCCAAAAATCAGTTAGCAATAGGTTATGTTTCTTGCTACCACGATATCTGTTTTCCAATATGTAGCCTTACGGTATCTTTACTGGATTGACATTAGCAACTTAAGCTAGTTAGTTAAAGCACTTTCCCACTGCCAGCAGAAGCAGAATGTGTATTGAAACTTGAGTGTTTTTTTTTTTGCTGCGTTGCCATGCTGCTCTGTCTCTGCCTTGCCTATTATTTATTGCACAGTGATTTTTGTGCCTTCTTAAGTTCATCTTTCTTTGCTATTGCCATGGTTCAAAATTCTGTCTGAGCCACAAACAATTTCTTCCTGCAAGGGAACAAAACATAAGCCATTTTGCCCCCTCTGTTTACAGAGTGTATTGAAAAACTGTCAGAATTTACACAGACATAAACATTATAAGGCTTCTTTTTTTAATAAATGACACTTTGACAGGGTTTTTTGAAGGTGAATGTAGTTGTTGCAGCCCTAGTCAGATTATTGATTAAAATCACAATTACAATATGTAGCAATATAACCAAATTACTAGAATATATGCATCTACTAAAATATAGTGTGTGTGTGTGTGCGCATGCGATTTACTATGCCACTCTCTCTCTCTCTCTCTCTTTGTGGCAGGTGTTTGGGAATGCTCCCCCGAGCACAATGAATGAAAAGTTCTCAGACCTGCTGCAGTTCACCACTCAGGTGTCCAGACTAATGGTGACAGAGATCAGACGAAGAGCGTCCAACAAATCTACAGGTAATACCACTTGCAGTTTGATCTCTGACGTTCTTCTTCTTTATCTTGATTACTGCTATTTATTTTCATAGCCTGATGCATTTTGGTAATTAGGGACATTCTTTTTAAATGGAAGTGGGTGTGCATCGGGTGTTGTATATGAGGCTGTCCCCCTCATACAGACCCATGATAGATTCATTATAATCATATAGTAGATGTCATGTTAAAGAAATATATTTCAGTTTTACCATGCTGATATTTGTTCTGCTAAATTTGCCAGTGTTTGACTCAGTTTTTGCTAGTCACATTTATTTTGATGTATATATTTTTATATTATATAGGCAGTAATGCTTGACTGGTCTTTTAAATTGTGTTTACCTCATCTTACTGGGTATATATACAGTTAACCCCACCTATGGGATAGATTGTAACATTTGTACTTATGCCACTTTTGGTTGAGTTTTTTTTTTTTTTAAACAGTCACTGATTTTAACAAGGTTTGGCTTTTCATTTGTAGCAGAAAACAAAACAAGACTTTGCTCCACTCTCCCATACTGATATAATGAAGTATTGCAATAATCACTAAATTTCAAACAAATTGAAATATTTGTTCTAACTGTAGAGTTGTGGCAACATTATTTAAGCTATTTTTCAGTATTAATTGCTAATGCAGTGTAGTCATGTTGGCTCAGCTGGACAGTGAAACTACACTAGATCCAGATAAAGAATGAGAAGTAAAGATGTGTAGATTCAAGACTTCCAGACCAGTTATTGTTACAGAATAAGAGTGTTTAGACTGAGTATTTTAGTTGTTAGTTGTCTCTTACTTACAAACAGTTTGAGGGGTTGTCTTTTTGTCTCCTCTTCTTTTTTTCTTTTGCTGTATGTTTCTCACTGGCAGGCTCTCTTGCCTCACTGCTCTGGCTGGATCTAATCCTGTTTACCATTTTCACTCTGTTTCTGCTTTTGAACCTCAAAGGAGCTTCTGAGACTCACTCCACATACACTTGATTGGCTCCATGTTTTAATCTTGAAAGTATTTCTATATACTGAAGTGTTCTGAGCAGCTTGTTTTAGCACAGGATGGATTGTCGATGTTGCGGTCAAATCACCCCCACAGCATTTGCTGCCCATTCCTTCAAAGACTGGCCCGGATCCTCAGCAGCTGGTGATAGTGTGTTGAATGTTCCCACCTCTTAAAGTTCTTAAGCACCTCAGCTTCAGCAGCTTAAGTCATTGTTCATTTACTATATTGTTTCATGGGTAATGTATGGGGGCCAAGCACCCAATGAGCAGGTTTTTGTTTTTAAGGGCCTACATTTTTTTCACTGTTTTTTTTTTTTCACTTTTTATATTTGTATGGATGTAGGTAAGAAAAGATGCATACATTTTTATATAACAAATTCAAACCTCTCTTTATCCCTTAGAATTAAAAGGGCTGTTTTTATTACTGTGTCTTTAAGGCTGATAAATTGTCACTGTTGGAAATCTCATATCTCTAAAATGATGATAATATTAATAGAAAGAAAAAAAACATTCTTAACTTTGAATGGAAGTTAATGTCAAAAGGTTTTTTCCAAGTTTTTTTTCGACCATTTTTGTTGGTCCATTCATCATTAAGGGCATCTGGAGTTAATAAATTATATATAAAAAGAGAAAAGACAAAAATTAAGATGCATGGTTTTGTCCTCACAGCAACAATATGTAAATAACAATAATAAACTTAATGGCTGCCCTGTATTATGCATTGTTGACAAAAGCGGTTTGGGCTGAAACTCTCCTTGTGACTACAACATTAATTGACAGGGATGTAAACATGATGTGGGCTGAAAGATCAGATGTATGTAAATGCATTGTTGTGACATCAAAAAAGCCTTTTTGCATCTTATTTTCCAACCATCTGACCATCTGATGAGCTGGTGAGTGAACAGTATGTTTTGAAACTAACAGTGTTACTAAAAGTATATCTGTTAAAAAATTCTACAATATAGCCCTTTAAGTGTGTTTTTTTTTCCATCATGGTCATTGCTCAAAAACAGATATTTTTAAATGTTACCTGCCCTTGGTTGGTGCATTTATCTTTTTCTAAATTACGTGTCTTCTGTTGGGACAGATATTGTTCCAAAGCTAGAGTCAGTAATGGATGGAGGAGTGAAGGCTTTTGCATGTCATTGTCTTTAATTGACTCACTATCCTCCCCCAGATGAGCCCAGTCACACGCAGGGCAGTGTGTAAAAATGAATTCGATCCACATGAACAGACTGATCCACACTCTAATAACATAACTCTCTCTCTCTCTCTCTCTCTCTCTCTCTCTCTCTCTCACTCTCTCTCTCTCTCTCTCACTCTCACTCTCTCTCTCTTACTCTCACTCTCTTGCACTCTCTCTCTCTCTCTCTCTCTCTCTCACTCTCTCTCTCTCACTCTCTCTCTCTCTCTCATTCTCACTCTCTCTCTCTCTCTCTCTCACTCTCTCACTCACTCTCTCACTCACTCTCTCACTCTCTTGCACTCTCTCTCTCTCTCTCTCTCTCTCTCTCTCTCTCTCTCTCTCTCTGTGTTTCCTTCCACAGAGGCAGCCAGCAGAGCCATTGTGCAGTTTTTGGAGGTGAATCAGAGCGAGGAGGCGAGTCGTGGCTGGATGCTCCTGACCACCATCAACCTGCTGGCCTCTTCTGGACAGGTCTGTGGCCTTGCAGTCTGTGAAATCTGGTTAACCGATGTCACAACCCATAAAGCAATGCAAAGTGCATAACAGATTATATAAGTATGCACTGAAAAGACTGTTAACTCCTATTTTGTTTTCTTTTGTTCTGAGTGTATGAGATGGTGGTTACATTTAGAAGGATTTCTGTCTGTAGTTTGCACACTATTGCTTATGTAATTTTTTTTTTGTTTGCTTTTTTTTTTTGTTATCCACAGTTATAGCTTGTATTTTTTGACAGACCGCCTAGCAGGACATTTTGCAAGAGTCAGAGTAACTCACTGACTCACTGAGTGACTGACTGATCTGTTCTTCATTAACAACTGTTGTTGAAATGTGCATGTTCAGGATTTTATGATGTGCCGCTGTACACCAATAAATATCACCCTCATTCCCCCCAAACACGACCAATGTAAGGCTGACTAATACTGGAAGAAAGCAGAAACGCATTCATTGAAACACATCATTGGTCTAATAAAAACTCAGTGCTGAGTACTTGCGTTTTAGTCTGACTAATTCAATTCTGACTTTTCTTTATCTTGCTGTATAAGCAGATTTATTTAGATAGTTTTAGTGTTCCAGGTAAGGATAAGGTCATCACACACTAGTAGATAACTAGTGAGCGCACCAGATTATAAAATGGAATAATACGTTGATGTGTCTATTGCTATTTTTAGAATTATTAATTTAAATAGAGTTTACCAATGTAACATGGAAAAAAAACTGAGGAACCTCAGCAGGCAGCGTTTTATACAAACATTACATCTGGACTTGACTTGGTGTCTTGCTGCCTCAGAATACTGTCTGTACAGGCAGCATTTATTATGTTTCAGACACAGCCATAGTTGTTGTTGATGTTGATGTTTTTGTTGTTAGTACTCTCATCTGTCGTAGTCGTAGTACAATAGAAAAATTGTTTATTGACAAGTGGCTGGTCAAATTTAGACTGACAGTGCAGGAACGTGGGTTAAAATGTTAATTGCCCCCCCCCCCCAGCACATAAAGTTTTAGGGTACTTTTTGTTCTTTGTATATTTATATACAAATATATACAGACTGTATCACAGACAGTTGTGTGCTCTATGCAGTGCAGCCAATTACAGTCCAGCAAAGCTGGGCTTGCCTAGTCTTGGTTTCCCTTTAAAAGTATAAAGTAATGCCAGTCCTGCTACACTGTTACAGTGAGACACCCAGAGTAATTTTATAGCAGTGTAATTTGAACATCAGCTTGCTGGCAGTGCTTTCTTTGCATTTCATATCTGCACACTTTGCATTTGCCTTTTTTGATGTGCAAAAATGCTGAAATGAGAAAACTACATCATATTTTTCCCCTCTGGAGTCCTTATGATAACACTGATGCAGCATCCACGATTCATTGTTTGCTTCTGCTGTGATTACTTTCGGCAAGAGAAGGTTAGTTTATTTATTTAATGATTTTGGCCTACATGCGTCTGAGTGGTAGGTCATTAGGGTTCTTGTTCTGCGTACAAGCTTTTGTTTAAATGTTGATAATCGCTTTTATTCCTGTCCTGATTTTTTAATTGTTAGTTTATTTTTGACTCTTTGGCTTACAGTACTAAAATTCCTGTTGTACCAGTTTCTTAACACTCCATTTGACATTTTGACATACTGGTGTCATATCCTTGCAGTGATCAACAGCAACATTGTGATCATTTTGTTCTGTCCAAAATTTCAATGTCATAGAAATTGGCTCCAAACAAGCTTTTTGTCTAGAATGGTGAAATGTTTGGATTATAGGTCTAACACTCTCAAACAATGACATTCCTCCATTTCAAGCCCGTAATAACAGTGGGCTTTTATTTTCTCTAGAAAGATGCCCTTCATGCTCCATATTCCCAGTGCACTCTCGATTCTGCTCCCACTTTTCTTTTCCATCATGACACTTTGTATTAGGAGATAATGAAGTTACCCTTACCCCTCCTTTCTGTGCTGACCACTGGTCAGGTGCAATTTCCCCATGCCTGACACTGTCATTTGGAAGCGCAAGGCACTATTTGCGTAACCTTGACCTTAGAGCTCTGTAGCATTAGCATTCAGATGGACTTCACACAGAGCGAGCTATTCCCGGCCTTGACCGTCTGCCACTACAAAGCTTTCCCTGCTGAAGGAGGCCCAACTGTGATTTTTATTCTCACATGCAAGGACCTTTAATTCCCTTTGCCTAGCAGGCTTTACTAATGCATCCATGAATTTTTCCCCTTTATTCAATGTGTCGAAGGTAATGAATTCACAATGCCAGGAAGAATTTTCAGCCTGCTGCTGATGTTGACAAGGTATGATTTACCTTGCCAGAAGTAATGGGCTTCTTTTCCTGGAATCACAATGCAGTGCCACAATTTATATGATGGCTCTTTTTTTACTACGTTTCTTAAGGAAGCTGTAAATTTGCTTTGTGTAATACATGTTCTACAAGGCAGGTCACTGTAACAGTTAGAGGTGGCGCCAGTCCAATACCCTGTAGCGATTTTGTGCCAGTATAGGCCAAAAAAAATTGTGGGCTTTGATATTGAAAGAAAAAAGTACATAACAATGTAAAGAAAAAGTAAAGCAGGTCGCTTGATTACAGTAGCCACATGTAACCTAACGTTACTATAAGAACAACGATTAGAAGTATTATACTAAAATTAAAATGTGTAAGTAGATTGCTTTTACATACATTTGCATTTTTACATTTGTGAGACTTTTTTGAGGAATTTTTAGTCAAAAATTTTGGCCTTTTTTTTCTCTTTTTCTGTGACTAAAATTTTGCTGAATTCCTAAATTGAATAGGTCTTAAAACACAATATTGTAGCATCTTTATTAGTGCTTGTTTAAAGCTTTCTGTAGCTGAATAGGAAAAGGGAAAATAGTATTGTTCCACTTTGGCTTATGGTTTGCAGTCTTTAATAGTCACTTCATCTTCACAGGCACTGTGATTACACACTGTTTTGCGTGGCAAACCTACAGTGACTCACAGCTTGTCCGTCTCCCAGCCACTGTGCTCTGAAATCTGTGTATGTGAGCGTCTGAATGAATCATCCGCCCGAATGAGTAGGAAACCATTTCTGTCTCAGATTCTTCAAAATCAGTAAACAGAATTATTTGTTCTCTTTCTTTTTTTTTCCCTTTTAAATCTCTTGCCATTGTTGGCTCATACATGCTGGTGGCCTAATCTACCTGCAGTTAGTGTCAGAGCTGTGAGTAATGCAGGTGTTAATACCTGCTTCTCGCTTGCTGCTGCCTTTTTTGTTTCCTCTTTCACCCACCTGGGCCCCGGGCTGATGTCATCACTCTTGCCCAAATATGGATACACTAGTCCACAGCACGTTTCACGGTGAAGACGTACAAGTGCAGTTCATAGTAAATATTGTTATGGTAAGACATGTTGATAGTGTTTTAGTAACACCTGATAGCTTCCTTTTTTGGGACTGTAATTTGTAATTATGTTCTCAGTTTCTCACAGAGTTGCTGCAGATCAGGACAGTTACTTGATATGGTTTCATAATTGATATGCAATTACCGCAATTTTAGAATACATGTGAATACATGTGAAATGACACACCTCCCAGCTAGAATCATTTTCCTTTCCATCAAGCGATGGAAAAATGTCTCACAACAATTATGCAGTAAGAACGACACTGGCAGTAGATTAATCAGTGTTGTTAGACAGTTACTGAGGAATGTATAATTCAAACACTATCTTTATCATCTGGAGAGTGGTGGAAGCTGGAAACATTTTTAATTAAACTGTTTGAAAGACCAAACTCACAGCACAGTGTCAAGACTGTGGTAAAACTAAGGGTAAGCTAAGCAATATCTAAGTTTCTATAAATGCTAAAAATAATTCAAATAATTCTAGTAATAAATAATGTTACAGCACAGTGCTACTATAAAACGAGCCACACAAACAACTTAGTCTTGTGTGAAATGACATCTCTGGGGAAAAAAATGCTGTCATATTCTGTAGAATTGAGTTTCTTAAACATGAAGGCCCTTAAAGAAGCATTTACTTATGTTCTATGTGGCTGAAATCAAGTCCGTATGTTCAGTCTGTTCAAACTGTAGTCCTATTATAAAAAGCTATTTAAAAAAAACCACAAAGGTTCAGTCCTTAGATATTTACAAGTATCATGTTATGATATATTTAAATCCAGGGCATTCATTGAGAGAGTAATTAGCTAAATATATAGGAAATCATAATTTATAGGGTCAAACCCTAATTGCTTGTTAAATTTACATTAAAGTTAAAAAATGTAAAAATGTTGTTCATTTTTAATGTTATTTTTAAGACCTTTGATTTCTTTCAAAGTGAAGTTGGAAGATTTACATTTATCATGAGTTTCATTTTTAAAAACAAAAAAATGTATTATTACACAGAGTTTTAGTTAAAGCATGGGGCCTTATTTTAGCCACACCCCTGCATTTTAGAGCAGACAGTGAGACTGCATCCCTGTCCCTCATAGCCACATGGCGAACAGTTAGATCCCATTGTTTTGAAGTAAATGTGTCCCAAAGTCTAAAAATCAGTGTGTATCATCAAGAATCGTAACTAGCGAAACACACATTTTCTGCAGTTAAGCAATTTTTTTGTATCTTAGTGAAAAATATAGTGATTTTGTGTGGGTTCAGCTGTTCATAGATGTGTTTGCTAGTCATGTACTGGCTGCTGTTTTTTAGTTATGCTTAAAATTTGCTAAAATTGTCACTTCTAAAACATTTGGTTTTATTAGCGTAATGATTGTTTTGCTTGTAACAAGTTGGAATGTTCAATCATTTGTTTTAATAAAATAAACAATTTTAAAATAAAGGGTCATTCAACGCAAAAGTCAGATAGAATGATCCATATATCACTGAAAGAAGTACTGCAAGTTCAAGAGCTTCTAGGTTTATTTTTTTTATTCTTATTGGGGTATGACCAGTCTAACTCTTGGTAAAGTGAGACTTCTTTAGAACAGCTTATCACAGTCAGAAACCTTACAAACTCCACTGAACTGAGAAGATCAAAATAGGAGCCCAGTTTTTTTTTTCCTAAGCCCTCTTGCACTTCCTAACTGTCAGCTGATGTAGAACATTGGAGATACAGTGCACTGACAACCGGTTTAAACTCAAAAGGCCAGAACTTGCCTCCAGCCAATATTGAATAAAGATGAACCACTGCATGTATTTACCCTTTTCTCTTACATGTTGTCTTTTGTGTACATTGTTGCGGTTTTGATATTCACTCAGGCCATAAATCAGTTCAGTAAGAATCTGCTTTACATACACTTTGCTAAACTCCTTTGCATACAACTCTGTTGTGTGCTGATGTACAGAGGTATGACTATCTACCTCTCAAACAGGGTTAAGGTAATGGAACGAATGGTCTCTGTCTGAACTCTCTCTCTCTTCTTGGATCTTGCAGAAAACAGTGGACTGCATGACCACCATGTCAGTGCCCTCCACATTGGTGAAATGTCTGTACCTGTTCTTTGACCTGCCTCATATGCCTGAGGTCCCCGCTGCCACACAGCCCGAACTGCCCTTGGCAGACCGCCGCGCCCTCCTACAAAAGGTTTTCGTTCAAGTAAGTACGTTTTTGCCACAAATGTAAGGCAGAACCTCTTGTGACTGGGGTACCAGCATCAGAAGGAGTCTACCGAAGCCTATTTCAGCAATAGTACTGCAGTTGTAGTGGTAATTCACTTGAGTTCAAGTAAAAAAAACCTGAAAACTAAATCAATGAATTAATTGTTAATTGAAAAACTTTGGTGATTACTTTTGAGTTACTTTAAGCTGATATTCGCCTTACGGGAAGAAAAAGTCCAGCGCTCAACTTGTTAGCTTATCTTTAACATTAGCTTGCATAAGCAAGGTATCGGGCACTAGTTGTGGAACTACAGGCGAATGCAAAAGTTTGGGTGCTCCTGGTCAGATCATATGTTTTATTGATTTTCTAAGTGCTGTAGTGTTCTAGGTTCTCCTCTACGGAGAACCCACTCCTGCACCTTTAATTGCACAGTTACTGTTTATTTGCTGAATAAAACAGAAAAACCAAAATGTAGCCTGTTCGAAAAATTACAGCTTTTTTTCCCCCAATATGTTAAACTCCACAAATAAATAGTTTAGGTTTGTTCCCTGTAGATCATTGATTCTCAACTCCAGGACTAGGTTGGTAACCACTGCTGTAGAGGATGTGTTAACTCATTTTCACTTAGAAAATCAACTAAACATAATTTGATGAGGGGCTGATGTTTGTGTGCAATTTTATAAGCTATGGCTTTAGGCTGTTTAAAGAACAGTCATGCTTGTTATTCAAAAAATACAAAATGAAAATTAAAACACAGTTTTAGCTTCAATTAGCCAGTCAGCCAGCTGGTTATTTTTTTAGGTTTAAAGTTAGTTATGGAAATAAAGTTTTTTTAAAACTTTGTATTCGTTATTCAACACTAAAACAATAAAACAGCCACATTAAATATTATGTTATTCATGATATATATTGTTTGGAGTGTACTTTGTTATAGCTGTATTCCACTTGCCTGGCTCAATGCAAAACAACATAAAAGGGAGACCACACGACCACATGAATGTTAATTAAGCAAAGATGATATATTTCTTTAAAAACAAATGAACAAAGGTTAAGATGCTAGATGGCAGGGATTCTGGGGCACGCTGCAAACAGAGCTGGCATCGCCTCTGTTACAAATATCAGCAGTACCTGGTTCCAGCTCGATCCTGCTGGGGAAAAAGAAAAAACATGGAGCAGATCATGACAGCTGTTGTTATTTTTAAACCTTGTTATATCCACAATTTCTACAAAAGCATATACAGTAGTTTGAAATGATACTCTTTGATTACAATGACTTAAATTATACTCAAAATAGTACTCAAGGACTCCAACATAAGTAGTTGCAATTAAATACTTTTTAAGGAAAGTCTAAGCGGCTGTGAAAACAGGCCATGGATTATCTGTCGTGATGAACACAAAAAATGTAGTTAATTATGGCAGTGAGTCCTAAAGTGTTTCATACTTCTGCTGACACACATGGAGCAACCCTTTTGTCCCGTTTCTTCTCAGATCCTGGTGAAGCTGTGCAGTTTTGTGTCTCCAGCCGAGGAGCTGGCCCAGAAGGACGACCTGCAGCTGCTCTTCAGTGCCATCACCTCCTGGTGCCCCCCCCACAACCTGCCCTGGAGGAAGAGTGCCGGCGAGGTGCTCATGACCATCTCCAGACATGGCCTCAGTGTCAACGTCGTCAAATACATACATGGTAAGTTCAGGCTAAAAAAAATGCCAAACATCTAATTTATCCTTTTTTTTTTGTGTCCGACAATTGCCTCTTTAGCCTCACAGCTCCAGTGTGCAACTAGTGTTACTAACAAGTAATGGAAGCTTATGCTCCACCAATTCGCACGAAATTGCATAATTAAATGTTCACACACTTGCTTCAAACTGTGTTAAGTTGTTAAGTAATATTAAATTGCAGTTGCACCATGCACTTCCTTTCCAGGCTTCTTTCATCCCAAGCTTCCTGTTTCTTTAACATTGCTAGTAATGAATGAAAGTTAGTTGTTACTGGTTAGTGTTTGGTAGTACCCGTTTTCATGTGAGCGGAGCGCCTGAAGCTGAGACAAGCACAATGCTGACTGGTAGAAACTAACTGTCATTTATTACTAGCAGTGATTAAAACACACAAAGCTGGCCACAACTCTCAGGATTTTATTAGTTGCGTTCTGATTGGCTATCCACACATCTCTGTATACAAAACGTTTTTTGTTTTTCCAGCTAAATTCTGGTCAGCAGTAGTGAGCAGCTGTCTGCACTGGACATTATGGTGCAAAATGAGCCTTTCAGAGCAAGATATATCTGTGTGATTTTCACAATCGCTTCCCCTACGCGCCTCGCCAAAACAGCCGGATGTGATAGTCGTTTTGCAGGTCGGCCTCTTCCTGATGAGATGAGTGTTTTTTTTTTTAGCCACATTATAAAAATAGGAATAGTTTGCTTGTATGTTCACCTAAAAGGTTAAATGTGGACTGTTTATATTCTGAGGCCTGTTATGGAGTATTTTGTCTTGGAAGCATAGCTGAGTTTTCATGGCTGGCTGAGTTCTATTTATTTATCCCCTCTAATTGCTTCTTTTGCTGTGTAGTTTCCAGTGAAGCTTACGCATGGATGCGTTCTGCTGACAGTGTTCCGTTGCTTGTGTCTTCTGAACCTCAGTAGCGGGTTCACTACAGAATTTCCTTTTTTGTTTGCTTTCCTCTTGAACTGCTGTTTGCTATCATTCCTGATGACATTAAGTTTTTGTGAGAACTGTGGAGTTTTAATGAATTCCTGCTGCTGCAAGTACGTGCATGCAGATGTCATGCCATTGAATTTTTTTTCCTCTTGTTTACAGAGAAAGAGTGTTTGGCAACATGTATCCAGAACATGCAGCAGTCAGATGACCTGTCTCCACTGGAGATCGTGGAGATGTTTGCTGGGCTCTCTTGCTTTCTAAAAGATTCCAGCGATGTGTCTCAGACATTACTAGACGATTTCCGCATGTGCCAGGGCTACACCTTCCTGACTGACCTCATGCTCAGGTGCCTCATGCAGTACACATCTAGTATGAACTGTATAGTGTATCTGCAAATGAATGATGTCAATGACTATATTCATATGGGATGCACCGACATTTCAGCCACCAAAATGTTTCAACCAAAAACAGCAGAAAAAGGCTGAAACTTCTGGCCAAAAGAAAAAAAAATGCAAAGATTAAGTAGGCCTACAATGAAGTGTCCGAATACAAGAATTAATAAATGATTTTAATGATAATGTAAATTAGAAAAAATGATAAACACTTTCACTCTCTTGCGCCAATCAACACAGTTATGTTAAGTTTAAGCAGCAGCAAAACAGTGAAAAAATGTCGGCTGTGCTCCTCTCGAGCATCAACACCCAAGAACTTCTTAACTACAGGTGTGACACCAGTTGAAAACACAACATCCCACTCAATACTCAGGATAATAATAGAAGCAGAAGGGAAAGTCACCGCTGACACACCAACAGCACATGTGGCTTCAATTTTTAAATGATGACAAAGTAAAAGTGCAAATTGTAAATAAAAAAATTATGGAATTTATTGTCCTTCGATGACCAGCAGTTCTCTCAGCAGTGACCTCTACCGATCAGAGAACAAATAAAACTGTACATTCCTAGTGGTAGCACCTGCTTCCTTACCCTTGCGACCATGATGACCATCATCAGGTCATTAGTAAACAAAATACTTACAAGAATAGCCTAGTAGTTATTTATCCAAATAAAAATAAGTTTGATTGAAATTACTGGGAAAAATTACAGGGACAGGCAGTGAGACCCATTGGTTTTTGACAAAAGCTCTATTACCCATTGTAGAGTTATGACCATTTCTGATGTGCTTCCAGATTGGAGCAGGCCAAAGAGGATGAATCCAAAGATGCTCTGAAGGACCTAGTGAACCTGGTGACTTCCTTGACCACATATGGTGTGAGCGAGCTGAAACCAGCTGGTCTTACAACTGGGGCACCCTTCCTGCTGCCTGGCTTTGTGGTCCCACAACCTTCTGGGAAAGGTCAGTACCCTAGGAAGTGGGATGATTTGAACAGTTGACCAGTGCACTGTAATGTCACACCACAGCAGGCATGGTGGAAGCCCTGCGCGAGTGCTGAAGCAAAGGGGAGGAGATTTTGGAGGCCTTTTTACTGCACGGCATGTAAAAGTTTAACAACAGTAATACATTATATTCATTTTACTTATGTGAGTTTAGATTGTAATTGTTTGAAATTAGTTCCACGTATTTGGGTAGTCTGTGTCTCTTAATCTCTTAATGTATAAACCAAGCACTCTGCATTTCCATTTGCTTTTAGCACTGGATGAGGTAATATAATATACATTATTGTAAAGTTTTAGGTATCTAAGCAAACTGTTTAAATACATCAGCTTTATTAGGACAATAGCTTTATTTATGGAACATGAGAAAAATCCAAACAAGCATTAATACAGACAAAAGTAACAAGAATTTCTTGTTTTCAAAGAAGTGTTGATATCTCTAGTTGGAAAGTCTTATCATTTGTATGCAAAGGTTTGGGTGCTGCTAGTCAAATTACATGGTTTGTTGCACAGGTACTATTTATTTGCTGAATTTAACATACTGGGGGAAGAAAAACATTAAAATGTGGTATGTTCAAAAGTAAGGCATGTTATATATTTTATGTTTTTTTTTGTTTTTTTTTCTTTCAGAAAGTTAAACTCAGCAAATAAATTGAAATTGTGCTCTAAAATCTACAGGAAGCTGCCATATTTACGTTTATTCTCTGTAGAGGATGTGTAAAGTCAACAAAATATGTCATTTGTCCAAGGGTACAAACGTAGGTTTGGTTCCACACGTAGGTTTGATTCTTGATGCCCCCAGACATCACATGGATTTGTTAAATTCCATCACCAGGACACTTGATTTAACGTAAAGAAGCATTCTTTGATCTAAACCAAGTACTGGTTAATAACTGTACTGATTTCCTTGATTTCCTCAAGGAGTGGTTTGGAAGTGGTTGAACAAGCACATTTACATACATTTAAATCAGTGTTTTTTGTATTAATGTTGCTTGTATTTGTTCTGATATTAATGTTTTTCTGAGTCAAAAATACTTTATAACCACATATATAGGTTTTTTAAAAAATAATTTTTTCAGCTGCCGACAACCGTTGCACAACATTGTATTGTACTGCAGCTAAATAATCAAAATAAATCACCCTTTTATTGTAGCACAGACTATTGCTTTTTCTGTGGTCTCACTTGTGGGTGTCTCATGAGGTCTCTGCAAAGATTCAGCTTATTTTCACCAGCAGAACGTTCCTCAAAAAAAAAACAATTTGCTTTGTAAACAAAGAAACCCAAGTGCAGATGGTTTGATGGCCACTTTGCACTTCTTTTTATTGAAACCGACAGGAAAAAAGGAGCTGTTTGCTGAAAAATCATTTTCTGTGGACATGGCTCATTTAGGTCACTTCAGGGCAGGAATGACTCGCTCATTAAAAAGCAGACCTTCGAGGTTACACCAGGAATGCCACCAGAACAAAATCACTCTTTAACAGCTTGGTAGGGTGAAATTAACCTTGCTCTAATCAATAGCTGTCTGTCCATCTCTGGCCGGACGTGAGATTAGCAGAATTTTCTGCTAATTCACTCTCCTTATTTCACTCGTTAATCTGTTCATCAGGGACTCAGCTTCCCGCCCTCGCAGTGTAGATAAAACTTTTAATCACACTCAAGGAAATGGAAGGCTTACAGGTTCTAAGGGGGAATTAAAACATTAAGGCTCACCAGCTGCAAATGGCATTAATTGGACTGAATGAGGCAAGCATCAGACACCTACTGTGTAATTTGGTTAAGCTATTTGTTTGGCCTGTCGCATGCCTCGCCATGATGCGTTAAGTAGAGTAATTAGGACACAGTAGCACCAGCATTGTTTATGTGCCCTGTCACATCGAGACTTCTGCTTTTTTGGGAGGTCTTTGCCCCAGATGTTTAATGTGTTCATGCAGTGTTTTCACGTGGAGCGGTGTTTTCAAGTGGAGCCTTGGCACTCACATTGCTGAAAGTGGATAATAGCTGAATGCACAAGAGTGTATTCTTAATGGAGTGGTTTGGTGAAAAATGTACACGTCCCATTTACCTCAGATGTAGTTGATCAGCCAGGACATGTTTGGTGTCCATATTTTGCTTCTGTAGTTTAGCCCTGGTGTTACGAGGCAGATTTTCTCTGACATGCACTAGAAGTCAATAGTCACCAAAATCTTTTCCCGAAATACAGCCCAAAAACTTCTCTGAACCCACTCAAATCGCATCCAGGTTTTCATTAAGATTGCTCAGTTTGACTCAGTTTGAGTTGGGACTCAGTATGACTTACTGTGAGCTGTAAAAATGAACAAAAGTTCACCATGCTGAATAGGTGTTGTGCTGAATTCTGACTTCCTCACAGAATCTGACTATTGCTTGCATGCATGTAATGCAGGCAAATGGATACTACATTATATTCATGATTTCTGTTGTGTCTATTTAGAAACATGTACTCATAGAGCTTTTTATTAGCATTAGCCCCTGTACACATATATATTCAGGCAATGACCTAATCAGCCAATCATGTGGCAGCAGTGCAGTGCATGAAATCAGGCAGATAAGGGCAACAGCTTTAGGTAATGTTCACATCAGCCATCAAAATGGGGAAAAAATGTGATCTTAGTGATTTACTACTACTACTACTACTACTACTACTACTATTACTAGTGCCAGACAGGCGTGTTTGAGTATTTCCATAAATGCTGATCTCCCAGGGGTTTCACGCATAATCTCTAGATTTTCAAAAAAGAAAACAGTGAGCGGCAGTTCTGCAGACGGAAATTGGTGATGAGAGGGGTCAAACAGAGAATGGCCAGACTGGTTCAAGCTGGCAGAAAGGTAACGGTGACTCAGATAACAATTCTGTACAATTGTGGTGAGCAGAAAAGCATCTCAGAATGTACACGTCAAACCTTGAGGTGGAGGTGCTACAACAGCAAAAGACCACGTTGGCTTCCTCTTCAGCCAACCAAGAACAGAAAGCTGAGGCTGAACACCTTTGGGATGTGGTAGAATGGGAGACTCATAGCATGAAAGTTCACCTGAAAATGGAATTGCATGATACAGTGAAGTTGGCATGGACCAGAACCTCAAAGTAATGTTTCAACATCTTGTGGAATCCGTAACATAAAGAATTGAGGCTGTTTTGAGAGAAAAGGGAGGCCCTACCCAGTATTAGTATAGTGTTCCTTATAAAGTGCTCGGTGACTGTATATCTTCAGTTGGAAAGTTTAAAATTAAAAGCACAAGATTAATAGACCTGCACAACCTTAATGAAGACCTACCTCAATGCAGTTTGAGTAGGTCGAGGGAAGTTTTGGGGATGTATTTATGGAAAAGATTTGGGTGACTATTGACTTCTATTGTTTATCAACATTAGGCTCATATCTCCAGCTTTAAACTACCAAAGCAAAGTTTGGACTCAATCGCATGATGTGTAAATCAGATAGTTTGCCATACTATTCCTTTAAAGATGCACTGTTAAATGTTGTTTTAATTTTGATTCATTTTGTGCCATTTTTTGTGACTGTTCATCACTTCTTAACCCCTGCAAGACAATATAAACCTTACTGACTACTTGAATATAACTTTTTTTTAATATTTAGTTGTTTGCAAAAATGTTAACACCCCTGATCAAATAACATGTTTTGTTGATTTTCTAAGTTGGTGTACCTTTACAGGAAACAAACTTTCAGATTTTCAGATTAAGATTTTTTTTCTACAAAGTTTAGTGCACAGTTACTGTTTATTTATTTACTGTTTATTTATTTTCTATTTATTATTTACTATTATTATTACAGTATAACATATTGGAAAACCGTAAATTATAAAATGTACCATAGCTTTTTTATGGGCCATATTTTTGTTATAATTTTTCCCAATATACTGAATTCAGCAAAAATCTACCAAAGTCTGTTCTCTGTAGAGGATGTGTTAACTTATTTTTGCTTTCAACAAAACATGTAATTTAACCAGGGATGCCCAAAGTTTTGCACATAACCGTAAATATTGTTTCTCACATCGTGACTATGGGGTAGTCAGTTTTTTCATGAAAAAAATGATCATTGGGATTGGAGGTCTAACTATTATTTTGATTAATAATAGGGGTGATAATAGTTAAGTGTCTCATTGCAATTTCTTGTAATGGTTTGTATCATATTGTTCTTTTTCTGATTATATTATCAGTGTATTAAATCAGCACTAATATAACATGTTGCGAGTTGCATCACTGATGATCAGTGATTCCCAACCCTGGCTATTAGCATATGCAGCTATTCCTAATTGAAACTAATAAAAACCCAAATTCATACCTCAGAATGAATAGTTGTTCTTGAAAGACTAGGTAGAACATGAATCAGCGTAGTTGGTTCAGAGGTTTATTACCATGTCTTGTGGACCCTTACAACTTTAAAATTGCATGCTTAAAGGTTGCCCTACCAGTGTTTCACTAAACTTCTTCTTGCTTTCCCCAGGTCACACTGTTCGGAACATCCAAGCCTTTTCTGTGCTCCAGAATGCTTTTCTAAAGGCAAAGAGTGGCCGGCTAGCCCGCATGGTGCTGGAATCTATCGCTAATATCTATGCTGCTGACTATGCCAACTATTTTATTTTGGAGGCACAGCATACACTCTCGCAGTTCGCCGAGCGAGTACCACGGCTGCCAGAGGTCCAGGCGAAATACTTTGAATTACTGGAGTTTGTGGTCTTTGGGCTTAATTATGTACCCTGCAAAGAGCTCTTCAGTGTTAGCGTGTTGCTAAAGTCGAGCACCTCCTACGGGTGCAGCATCACGGCTACGCGTACCCTGCTCAAACTCAGCCGCCACCACCCAGTGTTCAGCGATGTTTTCCGTGAAGTCGGGCTGTTGGAGGTGCTCGTCAACCTGCTCCATAAATATGCAGCACTGCTGAAAGACCCAACACAAACCCATGGAGAACAGGGTGAGAATTACATTTTACGTTAGGATTTAAAATAACTACCAGCCTCTTTTGTATGCTCATACATCCTAAGACAAAAATGCTAATGTGAACACTAATGGATAAAAGCTAGAGGGGATCACTTGGTTTAGCTTATATGCATAATGCTGACTGCTCCCAGCTGCTTTCATCTAGTTTTAGCATAGTTGGCATTTTTACCTGAAGCATTCCTTTAATCCAACTGATTTAAAATATATAAAATGATTCATACATTTTGTAACTGAAGTCCAGAGTTTTTTTTAGTATTCTTAGCATGTAGTACTTGTAGGAGTACGTATGGTTTAATATGTGTTTTATGTTGTATGTTGCTTGTGCTTATGTACTACTGTGCAAAGTTAAGAGACCACCCTTCATTTATTTAAAATAGCCATTCAGTACAACTTATGTCTGAAGAGATTAGACATAATCCACTTGCATAAGGACATCAGAATAGAAAAAGAAGAAAAAAGAAAAGCTTCCACAACAAAAAAAAAGTTCAAATTACAGAGAAAATGTGATTCCTAACAACCGTGCAAGACCTGCTAGACCACCAAAATTGTCACTGTCAGATAAACAACACTTGACATTTTCATCTTTGAGAGGATAGGACAAAATCAAGCTCCACTCTTGCTTTGGATGTGAAAAAATCTACAGCTGTTTTTGTCCATCCTTCCTCTGTGAGAAGACAAGTGATATGGGCCTGAAATAATGTGTAGCTGTCAAGAGGCCTCATTGAGAAAAGTACATAGACAGAAATGTAGAAAATCTGCAGATCAACCAAAGAAGCTACTGGTGTTCTCAGAACAATGGACTGACCACCCCAGAGCCCAGACCTCAACATCACTGTATGTGTTTGGGATTATTTCGATTGTGAAAAGCAGAAAATGCAACCAACTTCTAAGACTGAACTTTGGATGTGTGGAAAAATCTCTCTTCAGATTTGAAAAACTAAAAGCAACTGTCCTGAAAAGAATCGAAGCTGTAATAAAAGCAAAGGGTGGAAACACTTAATGCTGGAAGATGATATATTGTTTTGAGGTTTTTGACATTTTCTGACACTGAAAAATTAATAACTTGGCTCTTTTGACTTTAAATAGATGAAGAGTGGTGTCAGATTTTGAGCCATACTGTATGAGCAAATTGTTCATGTTCTTTGATAGACTGCCAGTGTTTGCTGTGTGTTCCTGAATGTTTTTTCTCTCCTATCAGGTGATTCCAAAAACAATGTGGCAGAAGAGCAGAAGCAGTTAGCTTGGCTTGTCATGGAGGCTCTCACAGTCCTCCTTCAGGGCTCTAACACCAATGCAGGTCTGTCCCACCCCCATACTGTATCATTAAATGTGATAAAACTGCAACACATAAATCACTCAGTTCATGACTTTCTGTGCTGTGTTACCATAGAGGTCCCACATTGTATGAGAACAGAGGAATTCCTTGCTGGGATTAAAACCCCCCTCTGATCTGAGAGGAATCGTAATACCACTAACGTCTGAGTGTAATCATGAGACTCCTGAGGTCACCCTTTGCCATCTCAGTTTGGATTTGTAAAACAGACATTCTACTGCTGACAAACAACTCTAAAACAGCACAGCCTGTTTGCATTGGGGTTACGTAAATAGCAGTGCACCAGTTTTGCTGACAAACTGTCCAAACCCGACATATCCCCCCTTCCCCACTCTCTCTTTCTCTTGCTGTTGCTGTTGGTGAGTGAAAGAGGAAATGGAGTAGCGAGTTGAGATTCAGGCTGACCTTCTGGTTTTGGTCTTGCTGTCACTTCCACTCAGCTGACTGGGTTTCTGCGTATGGAATAAGATGTCAAGTTCTCTGGAAAAACATTATTTATTTATTTATTTATTTGTTTGTTTTGTTTTTTTTGTACTGTAGCTCTATTGAAGTTTCTGCATCCATGTCTTATGTGTCCTTCTCTCATTTTTATTCTGCTTCACTCTCCCTCTTTGCTAGTTCATCTTCCTCTCCTTCCTTCCTCCTGCCTTTTCTCTCTGTCTTCCTTTTTTTCTTTCCCCTTGCTCTTTTTTCTGTAATTGCCTCTACCATTCCTCTCTGCCCCCTTGCCTTCTGATTTTATTACTCTCTCTCTATCTCTTACTCCCTGTGAAACATCTCTCGTAAACCTTACTGTCTGGCTCTGGAGATGCAGGTGCTGAGTAAGGTTTCTGATAGAAGTAGCTCATTTACATGATAAGGCCAAAAGTAAAATTAAGCATACAGCCATGCTGTTTCCATACTCAAATGTTCAGTCACTGATAGTTTCCATCTATCGCATTTGTGAAGTTGGACGATTATAATTTATTTACTATCAGTTTGCTTTTGACAAGTTTTCTTTTTTGAGAGGCAGCAAACACGACCGATAATATTGTCAATTAACGATGGCAAGGGGGAACATTGCACCCAATTACTTAAGTCTAGTGGGTCACACCAAACAGCTCAGTTACTTTCAATTGACATACAATGACATACAATACAATGACATGCAATGGTCATAAGATGTCACCCTTCCAACAAGTACATTCCTTGAATTTCTGCATTGCCTAGAGCTGCCCCAGTCAGCTGTAAGTGTTGTTACTGTGGAGTGAAAAAGTCTAGGAGCAAAGTAAGCCACACATGGTCACAGACTTGCCTCACTAAAGCTTTTGTAGCTGAATGGAAACGAATCCCTGCAGCCATGCTCCAAAATCTCAGAAGATGCCTCTTGTATTTAATTTCCCATGCACCTTTTTCTTCTAGATTAATGACATCTGCAAGTTATCATTAGTGGACAGTAGGTCTACTATATACTATATTGCTAAATGATGGTAGTCCATTAGTGGACAACAAAAAATATCTTGTTAACATAAAACAGCTACTTCGGGTATATTTTGTGAAACTCAGCTTCATCTTTACGAGGTGTCTTCCTTGCTATGAAGAGCATGTTTTGCCTAAAAAATGATTTGACAGTTTTCTTTTCCAAACTATTGTTAAAAGTTCAAGGGGAAATGATTTGGCCCAAAATCTTTTGGGGAGCCCCTATCGCTGGTGGATAGAGTAAAGTGTGCTATTAATGTTTTGTCAGGTCACTAGTTGAGCTCTCCTGCTCCTGTTTCTCAGGTTTGTTTCGGGAATTCGGCGGTGCCCGCTGCGTACACAACATTGTAAAGTACCGGCAGTGTCGAGAACACGCCCTGATGATTATCCAGCAGCTGGTGCTGTCGCCCTCCGGAGACGATGACATGGGCACACTGCTGGGCCTAATGCACTCCGCCCCCTCCACAGAGCTGCAGCTCAAAACTGATATACTGCGGGTGAGGAACACACACACACACACACACACACACACACACACACACACACACACACACACTTCATCGCAGTTTTCCATTGATGTTTTACTAAAGCAAATGTAATGTAATGCCCTTGTTGTCCTAATCTCGGTAGGGACGTGCATTGCAGTTAAACCTGAAGACATTAATTGATACATTTTAAAACAAAAATAATAATAATAAGTAAAAGACTCTAAAAGGTGCAGGCTACTGTGTGTGTGTGTGTGTGTGTGTGTGTGTGCATATATATACATATATACATACATACATACATCATCTAAACCGCTTATCCTTCTGGGTTGCGGTGGGGTGCTGGAGCCTATCCCAGCTGTCATTGGGCAGAAGGCAGGATACACCCTGGACAGGTTGCCAGTCCATCGCAGGGCTATATATATATATATATATATATATATATATATATATTATATATATATATATTATATATATATGTATGTGTATATGTGTGTGTGTGTGTGTGTGTGTGTGTGTATATATTTATATGTATGTGTATATATGTGTGTGTGTGTGTATATGTGTATGTATATATATATATATATATATATATATATATATATATATATATGTCTATATATATATATATATATATATAGTTTTTTTTTGTTTATATATTTATGTATATGTGTAGCAAGCTCAGGTCACAAAATGTTTGTATTTGGGGAAAATTGTGTAATTTAAGGGTTTTTTTTGCCTATTGGGTTACTCTGCAATTGGCCTTAATGACCATAAAATCCTGTTAGAGAGTAGTCTTTTTAATTTTTAAAAAATTTACTTTGTTATTTTTTAATTTTTTCAGGCGCTTCTCGCCGTCCTCCGTGAGAGCCACCGCACGCGTACTGTTTTCCGCAAAGTGGGTGGTTTCGTGTACGTGACCTCGCTGCTGGTAGCTATGGAACGCTCGCTGGGCTCGCAGCTGACTGGTGGCTGGGAGAAGGTCAATCAGAACCAGGTCTTCGAGCTCCTGCACACCGTCTTCTGCACACTGACGGCCGCCATGCGCTACGAACCGGCCAACTCGCATTTCTTCCGCAACGAGATCCAGTACGAGAAGCTGGCCGATGCCGTGCGTCTGCTGGGCTGCTTCTGTGACGCCAAGAAGCTGGTGCCGGCCACCGCTTTCCCCTCAAATGCCCAGCCTTTCCAGAGGCTGCTGGAGGATGAGGTGGTTCCTGCAGAAAGTGTCAGCCCTGCGCTCAAGCACTGCAGCAAACTCTTCATCTACCTGTACAAGATGGCCACAGACTCCTTTGACAGGTCAGGATCTACTGGGGTTTGTTTTTGTGTTGACAGAAATTAAGGAGTTGGAGTGTCTGACACTTTGTTGTTGTAAATTAAGCTGTCACTGCTTTGACCATGTGTCCTGATTTGTAACGTTCCCATTTAGGCCCTGACAAAGTTGTTAAGGCGAGAATTTACTAAAAAATCTAATTTAAACAGTTTTCCCCTTACATCCAAGACGGTTTGGAGCTATAAGGCTAATGTAGCTAACAAGTCATGGAAGCTTTTAGCTCACCAGTTAGCAAATTGCATACCTAAATCATCACACACTTGCCTCAAACTGCGTAGAATTATTTTGTAATGTCAAATAAATTTGCTAATGTGGTTTCTGGCATTGTATAGCATACAATTATCTTTGAAAACAAGGACAAAAGTATGTTGTTTAGCTTTTATAGTACATACTGTCTCAAAAATCAGTTTGGGATTAATTAAGAACTGGTTTCTGAGGCTGTGCTGATTTAACGAATTTACTTTGAACAATGCCTGTTGTACTATGTAATTATCCAATGCATCTAAACTTCCATTATATGTTACTAGGGATGCACAATTGTGACTTTTTCTGGTTGAATCTAATTCCATTATAGCTAAATTGGTTTGTTGATTGATTTGTAACATAGCCGATTTTTATTATAACCTTTTTATTTCTTTTCAAACTTAAAGCTCACACTGAGGGCTAAATGAACATATTTACTCTTTAAATGGGTCAAATTGGCATTTTACATTGTTAAACAAAAAATGTATTGTTTGCATAATAACATCAGGTGCTACATAAGAAGTAAGAGGCAGCTGGCTATTTAGCACATGAGAATTATGTTGTGATATTTGGTACAGGTATAGAGCAGCGTTCAAATACAGTGTGAGTGCGCTTTACCTAATTTATGTCAGAATTGCAACACAGACCAGCCAAAATAATAAATTGATGATTTCAGATTGTGTCTTTGGAGTAAAAAATTTCCTGATTCCGATCATGCGTTCTTTCCTCATTAGCTACATCAGCCTCTTTTCTCCAGTGAAAAATAAAAAAAAATGCTAACTTTGGGCACCAAACTTGTCTTATCGGATTGATTTAATTTAAGGTAAGGGGAAAATTGTATAAATATAATCGTCCTCCTGTATCTTAAGGCCACTTTGTGTTACCATTTTTGATTTTCAAGCTTTTTTTTATTTGGTGTTTTGCTTTATGAATCCTTTTTTGTCTCTTCTTCTCCCCTGGAAACCTCTTGATGCAATCTGCAAAGTGAGGCTCTATATTTATGGTGCAGGACAGTGATTTTTTTCTCAATGAATAGGCGCTATTCAGTTCTAAGTAATATGAAGATCCAGTTGCTGTACTGGTGCTTTGGGCTTTGGCCATTTCCTGGAAGCGTGTGAGTGTGTGTGTGTGTGTGTTTGTGTGTCAGTGTCAGACTTGCATGTGCTGTAGCTGCTCCTCTCTCAGTATTAATAAGCCTATGTGCTTTGCTCTAAGCTCTCTTTTCAGCTTGAACTAACTGCGTCCCTCCTGTTATTCTTCTCTCTCTCCTCTCCCTCTACCTCTCCTGAAACCCATGGCATCACCTGGCTGCACATGCGGGATGTGTGTTTGTGTATGGCTTCACCCGGCTGTGTGTGGGGATTTGAATGGTGGTGGGTTCGTGTGTGTGTGTGTGTGTGTGTGTGTGCGTGTGTGTGCGTGTGTGTGTGTGCGTGTGTGTGTGTGCGTGTGTGTGTGTGTGTGTGTAGTCGTGCGGAGCAGGTACCCCCCTGCCTGACTCACGAGACCTCGCTCCCCTCTCCTTGGGGCACGCCAGCACTCACCAGGAAGAGGTACTGCGCTCTGCAGTTTTCTGTTCTCCTCTCGCTTTACCCCCTTCAACCACTCTCACTCTCTCACTCTCATCTCCCCATATCGCTCTCTCTGTAGCTCGTTTAAGGGCTGTCCCCGTCCTTTTTTGACAAAAAAGCCAACTAATCATCACCCAATCCCTCTACCCTCCAAAAAGGCAAATAAAGAAATAACATAAATGATATCAGTTTAAAATTGGATTAAAATTAGTTTGCATCTGGCTTGGCCTGCTACAATTTAGCATGACAGCGCTTTACACACTTTATATGTTTAGATGCAAAGCCCCTTATGGTCCTGGCTTGTAACTCATTCACTCATGTTTAGGAGGAAAAAGATTTTCCACAAGGGGTTGACGTATGCCTAAAATTAGGTCTGTGACGGTCAAGAAATTTTAGCGCAGCTAATTAAAGTAGAGTCTTTTTTTTTGTGCAGCTATTAAAGTAGAGTCTAAAGCAGTTCTGTTGGCTTATTAACCATTTTCTTTCCTAGCGCTTTACTTAGCAAGATTAACAAGAAATAATAGATTGTTCTGTAGTGAGTAACGAGTGTCTACAATTTCACAGTCAACTGGAGCTTACATTTTTCTCTTAAAGCTATGAAAATGTGAGGGGAAAAACTCTTGTTCTACAAGCACACATGTTAAGTTAGCATTAGCTATGCTGGCTACCAAGTTAACAAAAAACTTGCCCCGTTGTTGTAGCGCACAGTTAAAAGTAAGAACTAGAAAAAAAAAAGGATTTATTTTATTTACATTTATTTGGCTCAAACTAACTAATGAATTTTTGTGGACTGGATACCCAGCTATCCTGAAATGCCACAATATTTTTGAAAATTATTAAAAATTAGACACTTGAATGGATTGAGCTCAACTTTTTGAAGGTTGCATTTTTTTTGCTTATTTCAAGTACCTCTTTGAAAATAAAAAAAAAAACCTGCAGATCTCAAAAAATGTGTGTTATAGCACCCAGTGCTGACAGGTTAAGGTGCCTTTACTTTCATGAGTAGCGGGTCTGGTTTGACACCTGTGTACCTGGTTAAGTTAAGGCCTTTGGTCACTGCTGTGGAAGTCTTTGCAGCAGAGAAATATAATAAAAGCCTTTGGTGCTTAGAACCCTGACAAGTGCAGTTAGTCAGCTGACAGGATCTTGGTCAACCAAAGCCTTATATGAGTGGAAGTTTCAGGGAGGTCCCAGGGTGATTTTATTGCCATCCAGATTGGCCATGTCAGTGTTTCTCTCCCTCTTCCGCTGAGTTCCAGGCCAAATTACCTACTGTTTTTCACTGAACTCAGTGGTGCACCATGTTTATCCTATTTGGATACACATCTCCATGTTTTTTCAGGCAGATGTCGTCTTGCGCTGATACTTGCGCAGACTGGTATTTGATCTCCTTGGGTGCATATTAGAGATCTTCCCCACTAGAAACTTGCTCAATTTTATTGCTGTTCTCTGAGGGGAAAATTGTTTTCAGATGTCTCTGTGATGAATAAACCCAATCCGAATAGGGTGCAGGAGCACTACATGTGATTAGTCTACCAGCCAACTCGGAGGGGATGGTCCGAATCTCGTCCCTGCAATTGTGCCTGCTTTTATTTATTTCTTCATACACAAGTAACATGTGCTGCGTTCCTGACCATGTGGAAACTGGCAAGTTTTAGACCTCTAAGTGGGTAAAAATCCATTTGAACATACCTCCAGTTTGTTCAGAATTTCCCAAGAACTCCGACTTCTCTTCATGACCTAGTTTCGACATGGTGGTGTCTGTAGAACAAGAAGTAATAGCATACTTTAAGCTTTTCAAACAGGTGGATTTTTGATCAAACCTTTTTCGGCACTGTATAAATGTTGAATGGCGATAGCCTACATCCACTTTCAAAATTAAGGAAAAACTAACTAGATAGCTCTTAAATTTAAATGTAAATACTTTTTAAGAGATTTTAATACGCAGCACACAGCAGCTAAACAAGTGCTAACTTACTGTCAGTGATCTTTTTTTCCGACCATAAACAGCTGAAACTGCATGAATGCTTTTAAGTGGGAAGTAGGAGATTTCCAAGTTAGAAAATTCAGGGCTCCCAGTTGTCATGAACACAGCTATAGATCTCTGCTCCTTTCCTTGATCTTTTATCTCTCTTTTTTCCCCTCCCTTCTCTATGTGTGTGCCCCCACCTCAGCTGCCTTGTCAAGCTGTTCTGCTGGCCCCTAAGCTTGCAGTTGCAAAAAAAAAAATCCTTTCAAGCATTTCTGCTGACAGCCTTTTTAAGCCCCTGCTTTTTTCCCACATCTCTTTGGAGACTTTTGATCAGTAATTAATGTTGCGTCAAGGCCGGTCTTTAATTGACCTGAGTCAAACAGAATCCCTGTTCCTGTGGATTCTTCTAAGGGTGTAAATTTATGCATAAATATATATATGGACTACAACTGCCTCCAGATCACACATTTATTAACAAAAAGCCAGTTTAATTCCAACCATGTTTCTACTGCTGATGTAGAAGTGAACAGGGTTTTTTGTTTTGCTACTGTCTGATACTGTACTGTACATCCTGATTTTTCCAACAACAACTTTTACACTAAATTAGCTCAATGTGAAGAGAATGTTACTTCGCATTTGTAAAATTATGTCCTAACAAGATGCTTTTATATTTATACAGCATTAGAATGATCCCCATCTGAGCAGACATAAGAAACTTACAATGTTGATCTCTGATTCCAAATGCCTGAGATACGGCTGGCAATGGCCTTGTGTGCTAACCTTTCTCTTGGCAGACATGGCTACCACGGTTCCTCTGCCTCGGCTCCAGTCAAAGTCATCACTGACTTAAAGCTCCACCTAGGGGAACCCCTCTCAGCACTCCTCAGACCCTGTCGTCATTCACCCAGGGGCTGTTCTGGCCATGTTGGACCTCCTAGCCTCTGTCAGCTCAGACACCCAGCCTGAGGTACGAGCACCTCCATTGTCTGCGCTGCTTTAATGTTGAGCTGTGAGATTTTAGTCTTCAGTTTTCTTAATGTGACTACTGTTACAGGTGGAATGCTTCCAATAATCAACATTCATTTTATGCATATAGTTTATGCAGTCTCTATATTGCTGACCATTTGTTGCTCTAGTCTTGTGTCTTATAAGTTAAACCCTTATTTTGAGTCCTTGTTTGCTACCTCACGTGCAAACTCTGCAAACTTTAGTTTTCTTCTTTTAATTTTACCCTATTCCATTGTGTTTCTGTAGGTATACTGTTTACACAGTAGGAACAAACAAAATGCTAATGTGTCTAACAGCAAAAGAAAGTTAACTAGAATAATTGCTGTAATGCTATCTTCACATGCTAATCAGATGGCCCTATTTACCAATAATGAATTTGTAATTATGTAGCCTTTGTCATCTTTGTAGTCAAAAAACAAAAAAGGGTGAGTTTATTTGGTAAACACTCTGCTAATGTTATCTAGTTAGCTAGCCTGATATATTTTAGAAGCTTCCTAACATTTTCTGTGTTCTAAAATATGGGAAAACAAGAAAATGGCATCATTTAGAGTAACTACTAAAATTAAGGTGCTTTTAAAACGATAAATAATTGCCCACCGTTGGCCACTTAAACCATTCTTACCTTTGCCGCGACGAAATGGTTAAAGGGTCATTTTACACCTACTTAATTAGGACCTGTCCGATCACATCATGGATTTCCATGAAAAAGTTAAAGGAAAACTCAAGGCTGTGCTCCAATCAGTTTTTGTATATGAGTGAATTTTAAAGTTTGCCTCATCAGGTTCTAAATTGCGTCTTAAATATTGAGTTTAACTTCTCACAGAATAACTGAATGGTAGAAACACAACAGTAGAAATAATATTTTACTTAACTTGAACCAGTTTCGTGTTCATACGTTTTCACAGTATGTTTATTGTAACGATGTGCTTATGAACTTCTGTGTCAGTTTGGATTTATGTGATATTCCTACTTTTCTAGCATTGAATTTTTCTGTGCAATATTTGAAGGTACATAAGTTCAAATAGGCCATTTTGATGCTATATTTTCTCAAAAGGAACCAGTCTAATAACGCGTGCTATGACTCATGAATTACACACAACTTGATTAAAAAGTGTAAATAGAAACTGTAAATAGGAAAACACAGGTTTGGTAGAAATCTAGAAATACTACATGAACCCAAACTTTAGAAAAAATAATTTTGGAAACTGACAAAACTGACATTTCAGTAATTAAGTATTGCATAATCTGACATAAAAATACATCCTTAATAACATGAAGCTAGTTTGTATTATTGTTAGTGTTCAGCCATTCTCAGTCATACTCAATATTTAAAATGTTGTTTAGAGTGTGATATGGTAAACTTTAAGGATAAATAACTTAAACTACTTTGAAACTTTGAACGTTTTCATGAATTAAATTTGTGTTTGTGCTTCTTTTTGTTACCAGACAGGTGAGTAAAAGTGAAATGATCAGTAACAAAGTTCTAAAGCCCACACTCGCACTTGATGTGAGCGAAAGTGCAAATTTTAGTTCAGGAATTTGTGTTTATGTTAAAACCAGACAGCAGATGAAGACCACCAAGTGCAGAGAAGTGCTAATAGCTTGTTTTCATAGCCTGTTAGGTAACTTTTATTGTTAGCATTGTTAGCATCGACAACCTTTTTTATGTTCCTTTATTCAGTTTAGCACCATTAAGCTGTATTCACGCAAGTTAGCGAGCTGTCATTTTCACTATGACATTCTATGTTTAAATAGAACTAAATGCTGCTTTTAGTGTGTTTGAATCAAAACAGATGTTCTTAAAACAAATTAATTCTTTGGCTACATGCAATCCTTATCATCATGTCCTCATAGATGCACTTTGACGTTGCTGCTGTGCGACTGTACATTGGTGTGTTGACAGAAATTTCAGATGATCTCTCTAGAAGAATCTTGTCTTTCTGTTCCCTCTAATGTTCTTTTCTTTATTTCCTGTCAAATTGGTTGTTTTAACAACCTCTGGAAACTTCCTCATGGCCTTCCCTTCAAACCTTCCAAAATGATATCATTTCCTTGCAAGACCAAAAAAAAGAAACCCAACAACTTTGCAGTCTTTTTAAAAGCTTTGTTGGGAACAAAGCTGCCTGACTTCACACTTCAGGCTTACTGCCAAGATGAATCACACTGTAAATTCCAAGCTAAATTTACCTCAGAGCTGTACTGGCAGGTTCAGATGTACAGTTTGAGCCACATTAATCACTGAATGGCATCACTGCAGCTGTGACTGTGATATGAGGCCTAAAAGGAAAATGTTAAGCTGATTCATTTAATGAAAACCTTTAATGAAATTTGTAGGATGTTCATTTTATGATGACAAAAATAACAGATTATAGATGCTTTATATACATTTCTGCTCAACGACCACCAGAGACCACCATCTCATTTATTTAATATCACATCGCAATGGCCTTGAAAGGAACAATTTTAAAGATTTTTAGTCTAAAAGTTTCCAAAATTAACTAAAATGATCAACGGAATGAAGAAATAACAGTTTTAACAAGAAGACATCTGTTTACTGTGTTGCAGAGATATTTGGCCACTTTAGGCATATACTTAAATGCTTACCATGAACAAAAAATCATTAAATTATTAATTGAAAGTTATTACAAGTTATTTATATTATTATTATTAAATTTCATGAACATGACCAGGTTGAACTGCGTGATATTGGAGGTATAAGGCCGACATAGCTAACGAGTAAAGGAAATATTTAGCTTCCATGTAGTAATAATTTCCCTAAAATGTAAGAGAATTTTGAGTTAAAAAAAATGTAATAAACCCTAATGATGTAATAACTTGCGCAATAATATGTTACATTGTCTTGACTGGTAATGTAATCATGTTTTTACTGATACCTTATTACATTATTGGAGTTTGGTACATTTTCAGGTTGACTTTACGTAATAATTACATTATTGGGTGTTATTACATTATTGGGTTCTTCATGCAAGTTAGCATCATGAAAATTGTAATATTGTCATTCAGTATCCGAAACCACATAAGCAAATCTGTTTGAGATTACAGCCCAGTGTAGTCTGAGGCATCTGTTTGAGGATGTAGATATGCAGTTTTCATGGTGCCTCTAATAGTGTTAAATGTTCTTTATATTCTGAAATTACTCTGATTTGTCACTAGCTTTTTGTGGGATTTTGTGATCTCAGGTGGCAGAAATCAATATAACGAAAACATTTTAATGCTGTTTGTTTAGCCTTGGAGGCTTGAGAGCTAAAATCTTAATTCAACAGTTTACCTGCCACCTGTCCTCTCCTTCCTCAGCATGCGCTGGACCTGCAGCTAGCGGTGGCGAACATCCTGCAGGTGCTGGTGCACTCCGAGCGGAATCAGCAGATCCTGTGTGAAGCGGGCCTGCACTCCCGTCTCCTGCAGCGCTGCAGCTGTGCCATGGGGGACGAGGACCATCCACTTCACCCACCGCTGCAGAGGATGTTCGAGCGGCTGGCCTCACAGGCCCTGCAGCCCATGGTGCTCCGGTGAGTCTCAGCTGTGCTAACATGGCATCAGATTACTTTTTTACTCAAATACAGTGATGACACCTTCAGTTGAATAGGGATTCAACAAATAGTCAACAACATTAGATACATTCAGTAATTAAAATATTTGAATAACCCACACCTTTACCACTTTTATGAACCCTGGCACTTCTGTGGGGAAACTAATGTTCATGAAATAGTAGCTTCTCTAGCCAAATAGTAGCTTCTCAACAGTAGCACGCAGCTGCCAGCTCTGCACACCAGAGTTTCTTACTTCTCTGGATTGCATGCTAGCTAGGTAGCAGTCTCTCAGTTCAGTTTATTACCATGATAAAACAAGAGCGTGCCGGTTAGGGACCTGTCCAGAGCTGTAGGAAAGTTATTGAGACTACACCGCCCATTAAAGCCAATGTGACTGAGTTTGGCGCGAGCTCCATTAAAAAGTGCTTTTGAGACACGAGTTCAGCAGAAAGTTGTTTTCCTTTTTAGGACACTAATAATAATAATAATTAAACCAACACTAAAATGAAATAAAAACTTGATACTTTTATATTAGTTAAGAAAATTAAACAAGTCTTTTCTTGTCAAATATTTAAATATTTAAGATAATGTTTAATAGAATATTAGAAAATATTTGATAGTTGCAGGCCTTGTTTTGAAGTGTGGTTCTACAAGCATCAGGGAATTCAGTTTGGATCCAAACAATGTCATAATAAATAATGCTCATTTATCAGGTGGGATTAGCAATAGCTAGGCTGTCACATACAGTGCCATTTAAAGATTTGGACACTTGTAGCCTATGGTTTTCATAACACTTTTTATTTAATGGCTTATGCTTAAATACTTCAAATTTATTTCTGCAACAGATGTTATATAGTGTCAAAATGTCAATTGTCAAATAGTGAAGTTCATGCTTTAATTTAATACATTTTTGAACTACATAATTCCAACGTTACATTATTCTTAAATGCTAAAGATGGAACAAAGAAAGACCCTTTTATGAGTAGGTGTGCCCAAACTTGTTGCTGGTACTGCACATACAGTAAGCAGGAAAAAAAACATGGATACGATATTTTACTTTAAAATAAGTAATATGTTGTTTGTCGCAAATGTTATATTGCTGAATATATCGTCAGTGTTAGTGGTACTGTTGTAATTAAGTTGCTGCTGTTCACATGACTGATTTTATGGCTTCTCATAGAATAGAAGGTGACCTCTGTTACAGCCCCAGTTTTCTAGCAGTGAACTGATGTACAGCTTCATGGAACCATACAGCTGTCTACTAGCAGTAACTAATTCTCCTGTTAATTGGGACTTTAATGTCTTCAGTTGTTTTAAACCTAATGAGCTCTTCAGCCCAAACCAATGAAGTGAAATCACTTTCTCCTTAGCAAACTCCTCCACAGTGTAAATGATTTGGATCATTATGCAGTTTTTTAATGTACGATTCTTGAACAGTTTTATTTGTTGCACCTAAGACCTGATGAGACGGATTGTTAAACATTAGTTCTGCTACTGTGGATCCCTCAGGGTTAGATTTTATCATTATTTGACTTGACTTGTAAATAAAATCCTGCCACCACATGCAAGATTGCCTGATTTATCCAAACAGAGCCCTAGCAGTGAAATCTCAGCACTCTGCCAGTCCTTCACATTAAAAGAAAATGATCAAATTCGGCAGGTCTCCATATTATTCGAAGTTCTCTGTGGGTAGTCTCTAAGAAGTGCGGAGCCAGATTAGCGTTTTCAATTTTCCGCATGGCTGGTCAGCTGTGATGAAGTATGCAGACTCTGCTAGCAAATGACAGCAGTTTTGTGTATCTGTGTGGTGTCTACATCCCTATGCTAGGGTTCAGACAGAGGGCTGTCCTTTGGACTTCAGTGTTCCCTCTCTGGGGGACAAAAGGAACGGAAAACAAAAGACCTTTACAAAGCATGATACAACCATGGCTGAAGGTTTTCTGTCCTTGGATCAGTCATTCTAATTAGGAGATTCCTTTACATTTAAAGAAACATCCCATGGCACAGTGTAACGTTATGTAAATAATTCAGGCAACATTACCTAAGCATTTTTAAATTAATGCCCTTTAACTTGATGCTAGGGCTGTAGTACTCAAGTCCAATCTTGAGTCCAGACTCAAGACTTTTTTTTTTTTTTATCGTCTCTGACTTGTTTTGGGCTCGGTAATATTTGTACTCAGACCAAGTTCAAATACCACTTCTTTTTTTTTAACTATCACCAATGTGTGCTGACTCAAGCAGCTCAGGGGTTAAACTGTGCCAGCGCAAACTACAGTGAAGCTTCAGCAGCTTTGGTTCCTCTCAACTGCTTAGTCTTGCTTTAGACTTTGTCTTGACTCAGTCTCACTCTCATTTGGACTTGGTCTTTAACTTGATGTCATTGCTAAATAAGTACATTGCTAAAGATACAGAATAAATACAGACATATCAGTAATGAAATATAAATAAATGTAAATTTGTACAGGACTAAAATTAGCAGTACTGTTTTAGTGCAAGAAAAATAATACAAACCATACAGCACTGATTAGTAGGGATGCACTAATATGGGAATTCTGGCCTGATGCTGTTATCTGATATCTAATATTTTTTACAGATATATGTGAATGTTGAGGCCAATACATATTCATATATTTAAGATGTAGAAACATGCTAAATCCACCTGGATAGCGTTACAAAGAAGTGTACTATTTATTTTAGAGAGTAAACGTTTAGTAGCTTAACGCCTCCAAGTTATCTCTCGCCTTTTTTTCGATTGTGGGGATTCGTCCCATCTTTTTATTTACAATTATCTGCTGACACTGACATGATTTTGATACAGTTCTTCATCCGTAATAACTAGAATATGTAAAAGATGAAACATCAAGCAAATAGGTCCACTAAAAGTTAATAGTACTGTTACAATGCAAGGAAGTAAAACAAAGCAAAGACAGCCAGCGAGTTCTGTCAAATTTGGTCAGACTTCTATGGCACAAACTACACTTGGCATTAACATGCGTACAGGTACAAGTGTGAACAGGGTCTAATATTCTTGTAGATACGTTGTGATCTGATCACCCAAACCCACTCTTATACCAGAGTATACCATCCACTCTTAGACCAGAGTATAAGAGTGGAGTGGCAAACATTTCTGCTTCTCACTCAAAGTGTTCTCTGCTCCAGATTTTCTGTTTCCCACTCTTTACTGACGCATCAGAGGAAACCCGCTTCATGTCCACGTCATATGATCCATTCTCTGTGATATTTATTTAATGCCTGTAATGAATGGATGAGGCACTATGCACTTCATTTCATAAATTATTTAATTTGTGGCAGTTATTAAACAACAACAAAAAACACAGTAAACCGTAAAACACAGGTTTTTTGGAAGGTATAGGCCTGAAACGATGGCCCAGTCACAAGCCAGAGAAGTGTAGAGGGTAAATAAATGTACATGCGTTTAACATGATCTTCTTTATAATTAGCGCAGCAAATTGGATGACGTTTTGCAGCTCAGACGCTGTGTATTTATGGCCATCGTGTACAAGCTGTAGCAGTCACTCTGCTGCATCATTAATATCACACAGAGGTAAAAGAAGGAGGGATAGCACAGTATTGGAGTGATGTCAGAGTGTGAGAGAGAGAGAGAGAGAGAGAGCACTGTTGCTCTAACCTTTAAAAAGTCTCTGCACTTTGAGTAAAATCAGGCCGCTCCACTCCCACTCTACACCTCTCACATAGTCTGCTGTCAGGTGAGAACACTACAATCTTGATGTGTCACTGACAAAAATGAAGGACCACCTTACCAACTGAGTCATTACAGCAGAGATGAAACTTCATAGCTTCTTTCTTCTTCTCCTCTGTTGTTTGTTTATAAATTACGTTAAAATGTTGGTAACAGCTTGTACACATACACCCTCAAGGACCAGTGGCACGTTTATCTGTCGGCAGACACACCGAGAGACTGGCATAGCAAACATGCTTCTAGTCACAAAATCAAAAGTGGGAGACGATTAGGACTAATGGAGATGCCAGGTTTAAATGACTACACGTCTCGCTGACTGCTTATGATCAGATCAATCGAGACTCCTTTTTCACCAGGCCATGATTGGCTCCAAACTGTCCTTCGCCTTTTAATCCTTTTTTCAAGGCATAATTTTACCACTACTATGCTTTTCCATTGGCAAAAGACCACAGTGTGGTGCTAATGGAAGACCCAAGCAGAATGTTGTCATCTTCTTTCAATGTGAGCCTGTTGTCAGATAACATAAACACTAGCACACCGTTTGCAACAGAATTTGGCAGAGATTTTCTTAGAAGCTTCTTGTACAATATGACATGCACGACCACTGTTATCACACAGTTTGCAGCAGACTTGGAAACTTTTGGTAAAACTGCTTTTGGTAAAATGATATTAGCATTGTGGCAAAAAGGAAAGATTATGACTTAGAAGAAACTTTATCAAACTAGTTCTTATGCAGTACTATATAAAGATCTTAGGCACATTGTTTAAAATCATTGGCAGTATCTTAGCAGTAAGCGTTTTGCTTGTAAAAACACTTTTTATCATTAGAATGAATGCAAGTATAAATACAATAAAATTAGTAACAATATATATATATCTGAGAAGTAGTTGGTATCTTATGAGCTTGTTAGAACAACAAAGTTTGGTTCTAGATTTCACCTTGATTCCCCTAGCCATCACATAGATCTGTTACATTCTATCATCAGAACACCTCATATAATTTAATAAAGCATTGCTTAACCAAACCAGGTACTGGATGATCACTACAATTAGTACTGGGTTGCCACAAGGATGTACAAGGATGTAAATGAGGTATACATACTGTGCAAAAAATTTTAGGCACATTTACAAAGTTTACAAAGAAAATTTTTGCACAGTATGTATACCTCGTTTATCATTGCCCAGAGTTCTTATGCACTTTTCTTTCCCTCAGCAGCTTTAATATCATGGTGAGATCATATTCTGTATTCCAAAATCAGATGAGTAATTGCAAGTACTTCAGCTACAGGGTGCCTGCAGTGTGTTGAATGAATTCCAACACACTTAGAAATCACAGTAAATGATGGATTAGTAGTTTTATTCTTCTTGATGTGTAATTTTCAGTTTTCACTTACATTTAATGTAAGAGGCAAAAACATCAAATGTTAATATTATGTTTTTTCTTGTTTTGCCTGGTTGTTAAAAATTATTGTATTCCACAGGGAGTTTTTACGTTTGGGGAATCCACTGAACTGCGGTGCATGGGATAAGAAGCTTCTGAAACAATATCGAGTTCACAAGCCGAGCTCCTTGAGTTATGAGGCTGAAGCAAGAAGTAAGTAGAAAGATAAAGCACACATTTTTTCTTATTTCTTCTCTCTTTGACCTGTCATAGCTCTTCATAATCTTCATGAACAGCACACATCAGTGTCGTTCCTTGTCCTGCTGTTTTTCCTGTGCACTTAGTCTGGTGTGAGTGCAGCATTTCAGCACTTACCTACAGCATCAACCAAAGCACTCTTATCGGTCTCTGATGTCTCTGGCCATAACTGCAGCCGGTGATGAAATTGAACAGGCTTTCCTGGAGATGAGCTCTCTGCTGCCATAATTACTGAGGAAATAACCTTTCTTTAGGATTTCATCTCACTCAAGGAATCCTATTAGAACTTGCAAATGCGAAGGTTTTATGATTGCGCACTGGAATGGCTTGACTTAATTGAGCAGTCTGGCCAGCCTTAAACACATGATCTAATTGCAAGAAATAATCCTCAGCAGATTTCCTTTGGGGAATAACTTTAAGATGATCGTGATTAAAGAGAAAAACGTTTTCTTTTGAGAAACTTTAGATGTTGATCACTGCAGAAACACTGACCCGCCTAACTAAAACAGGATGTGTGACTGAGTTTCACCAGAGAGGAAACTTTGTTCTGCTTTCTGATTTGCAGGCTTTAACACACAGCTGTGATTTTGACCTGTACATTCCATTTCTGACCTTTTAACCTTAGTTTATGGGTTGTTGATGGGTTTAAAGGCCTGGACTGGGTTGCACTGGTTATGCACAAGTTTGTACTTCAGTTTGTAAGTAAAGTCTTTATTAAGTCCTTAGTTGACACTAGTTTCAAACTATGATTTTTTTTACATTTTTTTGCACAACCAGTCCGTAATGTCTTAACTAGTAACAACGAACTAATGTGTACAAAGCAACAAACGCTAAACACTGAAGCTTTAACTTGACAAAACCAGTCAATAAACACACTACCTTGGAAACATAGACAGCAGCTTGCGCTGGCTATTTGTATTTCTTGGGAAAAATGATTTTAGAAGTTTTGGAGGGAACAGTTTGTACAAATGCATGTTTTCACAATTGAATGAAATTGAATACCTATAGCCATTACTTTTTCTTCTTGACAGCCAAATATGCAGCTGTTTTAAACAATGGTTTCTGACAAACTGACACAACAGCAGCATTAAAAGTTTTGGCATTTGCTGAGTCTCACTGAATTGGAGCTGTGAATGTAAGCTTAGTGTTTGGAGCGGGGAGTTTAAACCAGCATCATGATTAGAGTGAAACCTCAGCACACAGCATTGGAGTTTACATTAGCTAAGCGATCTAAGGTATCTTAACCATAAAAGGAGCATTAGCAGTCAATATAGGCTTTTGTAGCTGGGTCTTGTTGTTGTCTTCTTTGTGCTGTTATACTTCATTGTTGATTTCCTAAGGCTGGCTTTACACAGTGAAACGTTAGTTGCTCGAGACCTACATGAAACTAAATTACACTTAAGTTGCGTAATGGCTGTAAAGCTCAGTTGCAACAGAAATGAATTTCATAAAACAGCAGATCAAAACTGTGGTAATGCGTCACATGATCATGTCAGATAACATTTCAAACGATTGATTTCACTGGATCAATAGACATGAACAGAAGATCGTTTACTGGATGGCTGAAAAAGTGATTCTCCTAAGTGACTTCATGTAGGGTTGGTAGACAACTGTAACCAGTTCTGGCTTAACTGGCCAGTGAATGCTGATATTTTTGTGATCTGCATAGCTAGAGAATTCATTTTCTTCTCTCTTGATGCCGCCTATTTTTACACAGCTCAGATTCTTTTGGGAACCAAATGATCAAATTTATAACAGGTGAGCGCAGTAAGTTAAGCTTATGACCACCAGCAGAACAAAGCAAAAGTAAGTTTTGCTAAACTGCTGAAATGTTTTGCTATGGACTCCACTGCCAAGGCTGATGTTTTAAATCGTTGATGAAACATTTGCAGGTGGCTCAAACCTTTAGAAACTGACTTGGTAGTAGCCTGGAACACCTTAAACTCGGGGCTCCTAATGGAAAAAAACAAACAAACAAACAAAAAAAAATGCTACTACTTGTATCTCTTGCTCTGCTCTCAGGATATCAGGATATTAAATACTATCATAATGTAAACATACTTGTGATTTCTAGCATGTATTTTGTGTTAATGCGCTGACTAGTAAAGGTTAGCTGCTAGTTATATCAGTTAATCTGAATTATTCAGTGTGCTGCAGTAGGGCTGGGCGATAAAACGTTAACGATAATTATCACAATATAACTTTTCCTCGATAGATCGATAAGAAATGTTCGATACATTTTCGATGTAATACACCATTCTCACACTTCCACATTCTAGCGAAAGCCCTGGTGGTGTTTTCTATTGGAAGGAAAGCGACGCTACTCTGCTGTCGCCAGGAGAGGGCGCACTTCCGAGTTTTTTGACATGATTAAAGAGGGAGGGGGCGACGAGTGAAATGAGTCTTTAGCAGTGGCTGAAACGTTACATTCCCTGTTTGAGTGGAGCGACCGGTGATCTGTTCTCTTGTGACCAAGTGTGACTGACAAGAAAAATGGCATGACTGTACTTACTGTCCTAAAGTGAACTCACCTCTTTCCGTACATCCTAACAAGCTTTAGTAGCATTAGATCACGTCTGCTCCTCACAACTAAAGCGCTGTTACAGCAGTCAGTCATATTTTAGTATTAGTGCATTCCCAAGCAACGGAAGTGAAAGAAAGAATTGGGTTCATGCAAGTTACAGCCCTGATTTAAACGAAAGTAAACTGAGGAAGCTGTGAGGCATTGGAAAGCGGGAGAGCGCTATCTTTCTAGGCTAGCTGTTTTTAGCAGCTGGCTAACTTGAAGCAGCGCTTCGTCACTGCATGACACGGCGAATTAATGATACTGTAGATCAAACAAGACACAAAAGCACCGCTTTCAGTTTAAACGTACCTAAAAGGAGGACTCTGTTTGTCTGGTGTTAGATATATTGTGGTTCACCCCTTAAACTACTACAATAGAATAGAGAAATCCAGACATTGCTAGCTGGTGTTTGAATACTGTGATGTGCTCTGGCATGGAAGTGGTAGGAGCGTTGGCAGTAAGGCGGAGTGATCCATCACTGACGTACCGAGCCAACTAGCGTTTGCTGTTCGTACTACGTTGACGTTGTTGAGAAACCAAACAGTTTAGCACTGTTGTTGGCCACTTGTTTAGCATTTGTAACGGGATAGCCTAGCACTCGTCAACAGACAGCTAAAAACAATCTTTTCTTTCTTAAATTATGACTACAGCTGATGAAAAACAGCTCACCCGACATTTTCTCCCACTCTTCCATGACAGATTTGTGAAATGTTCTGCTGTTTGGCGAGTGTTTGTCATGTTCTGACCATAAGGGATAAAAGACCCAGGAGCGAAAATCAGCCTTCAAACTTGAAAGAAATAATGATTTGACATTTATCGCGATATGTATCGATATCGAACGATATGAATTTTGTTTATCGTGATAACATTTTTGGCCATATCGCCCAGCTCTACGCTGCAGTTATGATCCTGTAGATTTATTTAAAACTCAGAAATTGTAAAGAGTTAAGTATTTATTGCATGTAGATAACAAGAATGTATACATTCTTTCTTTAAATATGGTCTGTTTGGAAAAGGGTGGAAAGGGAGATATTGAGTTCTTTTCAAAGAAAAATAATGCAATATGATACTGGTTATCCAGTGTCAATGTTATAATTTTGCTTTGCATAAAGACCTACTGCGTTTCTTAATTATCTTGTTTTCTGGGTCATTTTTGATACCCATATTTTTGGTTTCATGGATCCCCAAAGTTGCTCTGGCCACCCAGTTACCACCCCATTTGTACAGTCGTAGAATTGCCACTGGTCACTGCAAGGTTGAAAGTGGTCCCCATTCCAGAAATACCTAACCAAGAGCCACTCTGGGGTCAGAAATTGTCCTAGACAAAAAAGACTAACGCAAATTATCCTACAGATGGGCTACAGCCCCAACAAACTTATTTCTAATAAGGGGTTTCAAGTACACTGTTCTACACAGTTCCACCCAATCAAACTGTCCTTTTTCCAAATTGCAGACAGCATGACCACATCTATGGAGGGCTTCGGGCCGGACAGCGTGTTTGCAGTAAATGAAGACAACAGCCAGTACCGAATCAGCCGCAGCCTGGTGCGCTCAGCCGAGGGCAGCACAGTCCCTCTCACTCGCGTCAAGTGCCTGGTCTCTATGACTACTCCACACGACATCCGCCTGCACGGTTCTGCAGTCACGCCCGCTTTCGTGGAGTTTGACACGTCGCTGGAAGGCTTCGGGTAAGTTAGTCGCCACAGAGTGTGACTTCAAAGGAATAGTTTGAGGAAAAATCAGATGTAGACCATTTTCCCTTTATCTCAAATATAGTCAGTCATTTGAAACATGTTTGGTGTCTGAAGTTTGCACCTTTAGTTTTTCATTGGAGCAAATGAGGCAAATACAGCTAACAAGCAGTAGAAGCATACACCCAACCTTAGGGGTGCAGATTTCACAATATGATGTTGTGTCATATGATGATATCTTGTTGTTTTTGTGTCACAATATGATTTTTTGATACAGAATTAGAAAAAGAGATTCTAATGTAACATTCTTATTTATTTAGTCATTTATGAATTAATTTATTAATTAATTATTTATTAATTTCCGAACCTTTTTTTTTTAATTCCCACTCTTGTCCCAAAAAACACAGCAGTGCTTTTTGAAGGGATAACTGGCACGAGACATTTCCTCATAAGACATCTTCTGGCTAAAATGAATGAGAGGGGATTTTCTAACATGACTCAGTCACTCCCAGCAAACTGCAGAATCCAAGACTCTCTACAGCTGAGTAGGAGTGCAGATCAGTAGCTATAAACATCCCTGTGGAGTGAGTTATTTATTTTGCCTGTTTAGAACAGCCACTTAGCGGCTGCTTGAATCCTGTGGGGAGGAGTAACTGCTGACACTTTTGTGCTCTCCTCACTCCTGACACATTTGGGTGATGTTTTTGCTAATGAGTTAACATGTTTGAGGTATTAGCATGGGTATATGGCAATTGCGTCAAGCAATGTTGGCACACTGTCACCTGTCACTATTCGGTCTATCACTCCTTGCCCATCATTATTGTAATCGAGTGGAAGATGAATGCAAGAATGATTTTGCTTGTTCCAGCTCATTCTGCTCGCCTTTTCAGACAGCTTGACTAATTAACCATTCAGAGATGGCTACCCAAAACAGTAGAATAATGTTTTTTCCAGTTCCAAGAGCGGCTTTTTTCAGTGTTTGTGTTCAACACTTTTAAGAAAATAATGGACTGTGTTAAGTACAACTATAGAAACCATTTCCAGTTCACAGCGTGTATTGTCTGGCGACCCCTGTAATGCAAAAAATTAATATATTAACCTACTTTTGTATTACACAACCCAGCTTTACTGTGCAGCTTTCAGAATTGGAAAAAATATATATAGTTTCATTAGCTTACCGTGGACAAAGCTGAAGTTTCAAAGCTTCTTATTCGCCTGCTTCCAATTTTTTGTTCCATCTTAAATGGTGCAGCAGGTCTGTTCTGTGTGTGTGTGTGTGTGTGTGTGTGTGTGTATGTGTGTGTGTGTATATGTATGTACATATAGTGGGCAATGTCCTCCTGAGACCCAGAAAAAAAACTTGTCACGGTGAAAATCTTTTCAAAAACGTTTTTTATTATATTTTTTATGTAATGGACATTTATATAGTGGACAACAGGATGCTGGATAGTAATTATATTGGTGTCATGTTTCTTGTTTCCTATACTGCATCAGACCAAAACCCTGCTGCAACATCAGCAGCAACTTCAAAAACCTTGTCATCAATCTTCAAAGTCGTTATCACCAATGTACTGCTCAAAGTAAATCCAGGGCACCCAGTCAGTACATCTTTGGGTAGGTCATTTAGCAGCAAACTGTTCCATGGTAGGGATGAATCTTAGGTGTGAATGGAGAGGGAAGAGAATTATTTTATTTTTAATGTTTTAATTTTAAAATTTACAATTACGTAAAAGGAGATTTTCTCATAAATTATGAGATTAAATAAAGCTCAGATTCCGAGCTTAAATGCCTGCTTACACTTATTCCAGCTGTCCATTCAGCTGTAAGAGTAATACTTAGAATACTGGCAGTACAAAAAAAAAATGAGGACCAAATAGAAAAAAAAATAGATACAGTAACATCACAGTAATGTGTTTAACTGCTTACATGTTATTGCTTCTAATCCTAAGAGGGGTGTGATCATCCTTTTATTTTCTCTGCCTCAGTCAAATTCCTATCACCTGTAATACCATAGATTTCATGTAAAAACAAATTAAGTTTTTGACATCCCATTCTTAATCCTTAGGCTTTAATATGATTTCGGCCCACCCTTTGCAGCTATAACAGCTTCAACTCTTCTGGGAAGACTTTCCACAAGGTTTAGGAGTGTGTTTATGGGAATTTTTGACCATTCCTCCAGAAGCACATTTGTGAGGTCAGACACTGATGTTGGACGAGAAGGCCTGGCTCGCAGTCTCCGCTCTAATTCATCCCAAAGGTGTTTTATCGGGTTGTAGTCAGGGCTCTGTGCAGGCCAGTCAAGTTCTTCCACACCAAACTTGCACATCCATGTCTTTATGGACCTTGCTTTGTGCACTGGTTCGCAGTCATGTTGGAACAGGAAGGCGCCATCCCCAAACTGTTCCCACAAAGTTGGGAGCATCAAATTGTCCAAAATCTCTTGGTCTGCTGAAGCATTAAGAGTTCCTTTCACTGGAACTAAGGGGCCGAGCCCAACTCCTGAAAAACAAACCCACACCATAATCCCCCCTCCACCAAACCTTACACTTGGCACAATGCAGTCAGACAAGTACCGTTCTCCTGGCAACCGCCAAACCCAGACTCATCCATCGGATTGCCAGACGAAGAAGGGTGATTCGTCACTCCAGAGAACACGTCTCCACTGCTCTAGAGTCCAGTGGTGGCGCTTTACACCACTGCTTTCGACGCTTTGCCTTGCGCTTGGTGATGCAGCTGCTCGGCCTTGGAAACCCATTCCATGAAGCTCTCTACGCACTGTTCTTGAGCTAATCTGAAGGCCACATGAAGTTTGGATCCCTGTAGACTCTGCTGAAAGTTGGCGACCTCAGTGTCCGCTAACCCCGCTCTGTTATTTTACGTGGCCTACCACTTCGTGGCTGAGTTGCTGTCATTCCCAATCGCTTCCACTTTGTTATAACACCACTGACAGTTGACTGTGGAATATTTAGTAGCGAGGAAATTTCATGACTGGACTTGTTGCACAGGTGGCGTCCTATCACGGTGCCACACTGGAATTCACTGAGCTCCTGAGAGCGACCCATTCTTTCACAAATATTTGTAAAAGCAATCTGCATGCCTAGGTGCTTGGTTTTATACACCTGTGGCCATGGAAGTGATTGGAACACCTGAATTCAATGATTTGGATGGGTGAGTGAATACTTTTGTCAATATAGTGTATGTTGCATAGTATGTAACCATGGCAACTATATAGAAACCTGAATTTTGTGATGTAAACCTGCAGTTTGCATAATGCTAATTGGTTTCCATTAGCTTATATTACTTGTTAGCCACATAAGCCTTGTAGCCCTCCACATAAGCCCTCCAGTGCAAAACTATAGCAGCATACTTTAGATTTGTATGTTTCCTTTTTTTGCCGTGTAAAATCTGTTGACACTAGTTTTTAGATAAAAGTCAGTGTTTTTGCTGTTAGATATGCTGTAGGAAAGCAATTAATTTTGGCACATATGATAAATATAAAATAAAGCTGTAGACCATACAGGGAACAATACTTTCACGATTTTGAGGTTGTTTACCTTATATACAGAATACACAGGATTATGAATGAGGTGCTGTCACTCTGAAGGGTCTTGCTCTACATTTAAGTTTACAGAAGACAAGATACTTGAAAAGTCACTTAAATCTCTTAACCTGAGTTGAAAGCAGAGCGCATGTGGACTGCATTCCCGCCTGGTTTCCCTTAAATCAATCCAGAGTCAGAACGCTGTGTATGGTCTCAAAATAACTCCTGTCTTTTATATTTGATAGTTTTCATGAATTATGGCGGCACAAGAAAAGCAGTGTGCCTCATTATTTTTCTTTAGTATTAATGCTTATTTTGAATGTTAACTCCTGTGACCTACATATTTCCAAGGCTACAATGCTTGGACAAGAGTTTCTGATTTTTAGCATCAAACATCAAAAGCAGTTTAAGCAATGCTGCCAGTGCTTGAGGCATAACTCTACTATCTGGTGGAGCCCAAAGGAGGATAGCTTCTCCTTTCAAGTCTTGGTTCCTCTCAGTGTTTCTCTGTCTGATTCATGAAACCATTGTACGAAATAAGCAGAGATGCACAAATGATGAATTAGCTTCTGCCAAATTGAAACACCTGTCCACTATTTACATTTGCAAACAACATGCCCCATTTTGCCCTCTTATACGTAATTCCAAGAAACAATCTAATTCATGCAGGTTATGTAAGAGTGAGCCAATAAATAAGTCTCATACGCTTTTTCTCTAGTCACAGAATACTCTTTAACTCGGAAGTGCAGCTTTGATGTCTTATAGCTTACTTTTCAATTAAACGACTAATGAGATAATGAGATCCAACCCTGCAAATCCAGATTAGTACTTACAGATATGTTAACATCAATTACCTTCTATTTGTACAAGGGTTGCTCTGTTGTTGTTGTGTCAAAAAGTAAAGAACAGTGGCACAAGCGTCTAAGCGACAGCCCTATCATCACGAGATTGTGAGTTCCAGCCTTAAAGATGTTTCAGCCATCCAAGGAGGAAGGAGTCCAACAGAGCATTGTTAGCCTTGCTCTTTCTGGGTGGGTGCGATGCTAGACAAAGCAAGCGTCTGTTAGCTGATATAACAGAATTAGTCGTTAGCGTTCTCCTCCAAGCTCGTTGAGCTGAGTTGCGCATCTCCCAGAGCTGGTAGCATTGTGTGATTGTGGGAGATGTAGCTAGAGGGTGGAACTTGAAATGACTACAGTTTGGGAGAAAATTGGGAAAAACTCCAAATGGAGATGCAAAGTTTTGCTCTGCCAGCGACGATATCCTCAACTTTGATAAATAAGACCCACTGTCTGTTGTAAAACGTTTTATACAAATTGAATTGCTTTGAAATACAGTGTTAAGCAGTATGCATATAAGACATAGTACTAGAGCTAGACAGTACGAAAAAAAATATTGCAGTAAATACTCATTTCCAGGAAATCTGTTGTGAATGCAGCTGAAAGACACAGACACAAACAACTGAATGCAGTGATTTCTTTATTTCATATCCTATATTTTGTTGTTTTCGCATTACAAGCCCCGATTTCTTGCAGTTGTCGGTTAGCAGAATAGCATGCTGTTCAGATTAAAGGTGTAGCACTTGCTACGCTGTCCCACATTTCTCCTCTTTCAGACACATGCGCGCACACACACACACACACAGCCCCCCATCTGTGTGTATGAAATATTCATATTAACTCATTCCTTATTGGAGCAGGCGGAGCAGCTTAATGGAGACACAGCTGGGCTGAAGCTTCTTAGGGCTAGTGGAGGGCTCTCTGGAATTGGGGTGTGGGTGGAGGGGCTGTGGGGGGTACATATTTGTACTCACACACAGGCTGGTGGTGGGGTAATGTCTAGTTGTTGTTTCGATTAAGGTTTAGAGGACACATCTGTTTGTACCAGTTGTAACAGTAACTGAAGCTTCTGTTGTTGGAGTCAATTATACTCTGTGGAGATGATGTTGACAGAAATCAAATCAGAGCCATAGATCCAGGATTAAAAATGAAATTTGGCCTGTACAAATGTTATTGTTATTTTTTTCCAGTATATTAAACTCAGCAAATACATACAAAATCTGGATTAAAATGTGCAGAAAATGCCATGTTTAAGTTTATTTCCTGTAGAAGATTTGTTAAATTTAATGTATTGGAAAAAATGCAAAATGTAAAATAGTGCGCTAAAATTTGCAGGAATGTACTATATTTAAATTTCTTGTAGAGGATTTATTAAGAGAGCGTTTATTGGTTTATTGCCATATTGGTTTATTGCTTGAAAGTAGACTCTGGTGTTTTTAACCTAATTTCTATCTTCCACATCGGTAGCATGCGGTCATTTACCACAGACAGTAATTCCAACAAGTTTCTCTGCAGTTAGTAAAGGAACAGAAAACCTCTCCACCTGAAAAACTCTTAGAATAGAAGCCAGTGGGCAGGTGCTTAAGTGCGTTTTGAGTCAATGGATTTTCTGTTCTTTTCTAGGCATGGGGAAATGACTGTGGTAATCGACTGTATGCTGCAGATGCACATAAAGATTAGGTAGAAAAAAAGCTGCAGTGTTCGTTTTATTGCGTAGTGTTTACACAGTACAGTGCAGTGTCTTTTTTTGCCATTATGTGAGATATTAGAGCCACAAATATGGAGCTAGACGTCCTGTGCAGTAAGCCACTTCAGCCATTTGAAAAATGTTGAACATTTACTGGGGTTTGCCTTGCAGGAACAAAATGTGCAAAATGAATATCAGAGTGTGCCAAGTCAGTTCACTAAACACCCCTCCCTTCAATCTCACACTCTCTCTAACTCACTCACTCTCATTTTCTCTCTCCTTCTCTCTTCCTCTCCCTATTTCCCTCTCTGTTTTTCTCTTGTTGTTTGTCTCTCACCCTCCAGATGCTTGTTTTTGCCTAGTCTGGCCCCTCACAACGCACCATCCAACAACGCCAACACATCTGGAGTGAGCGACGGGGCTGTGGTCAGTGGAATGGGAAATGGTCAGTATCTTCTCTCTCACACCCACTCCCACACAAATTCTAACTCAACAAACAGTAGCAGCCCCTTTTCTATTTATATGCAGCTGTTGAAGAGTTGCAGGTGCTGACAAAGGCGAAGCTCGTAGCTTTTGAAAGTTTATATTTTATGTTTGGATGCACTGATCTGATATACTGAATCACTATCGGCACAGACACTCTCCTTAGTAACGAATTTGATAGCTGTATTCTACACTGTTTCTGAGTCATGATTGTTGTGACCTTCTGCAGTGCTGTGAAAAAGTATTTGCCCCCTTCCCAATTTCTTCTGTTTTTGCATACTTTACACACTTGAATGTTTCAGATCATCAGACTACTTTTAATATTAGACAAAGATAACCCATGTTACCATAAAATGCTGTTTTTAATTGATGATTTCATTTATTGATGGAAAATGCTGTTTAGCCCTACCTGGCCCTCATTGAAAAAGTATTTGCCCCCCTTAGCTACTAAATCAACCAGTTAACCAAATTCAAGTGACTATTGGGTTCAGTTTCACTAGCCACACTCAGGCATGATTACTGCCAGATCTGTTAAATCTAAACATCACTTAAATAGAACCTGTCTGGCAATGTGAAGCAGACTAAAAGGTTTCATAGCAGCACATGATGCCACGTTCTAAAGAGGTTCCAATACAGATGTTGAAACAAAGACATTGAAATGTACCAGTCTGGAAAGGGTGACAAAGTCATGTCTAAGGCTCTGGGACCCTGGTAAACCACAGTGAGAGCCATTATGCACAAATGGAGAAAACCTGGAACAATGGTGAACCTTCCTAGGAGTGGCTGGCCTACCATAATTTCACCAAGAGCGCTTCAATGACTCATCCAGACCTAGACGAACCAAAACCCAGCAGAACATCTAAAGAACTGTAGACTTTACTTGCTTCAGTTCAGGTCAATGTACATGATTACACAATAAGAAAGACACTGCGCGAAAATGGCATCCATGGGAGAGTTGCAAGGCGCAATTTGCTGCTGACCAACAAGAACACAAAGGCTCATCTTGCATTTACCAAAAAATATCTAGATGACCCCCAAGACTTTTGGGACTTGGGAAATTCTATGGACTGATGAGTCAAAGGTGGAACTTTTTGGAAGACATGGGTCCTGTTACATCTGGCGTAAAGTTAACGCCTCATTTCACCATAAGAACATCATGCCAATAGTCAAACATGGTGGTGGTAGTGTGATGATCTGGGGTTGCTTTGCTTCTGCAGAACCTGGGTGACTTGTCATAATTGGTGAAACCAATTGTTCTTTATCAGAAAATCCAGAAGGAGAATGGATGCCCATTAGTTTATGACCTAAAGCTCAAGCGCTGTTGGGTTATGCTGCGTAACAATGATCCAAAGCACACAAGCATGTCCACCTCTGAATGGCTCAAGAGAAAGAAAATTAAGGTTTTGGGGTGGCTGAGTTAAAGTCCCAAGAACCATAAACACTCAAAGAACCATTTGCATGCTTAAAGTGTTTTTTGCATGGTGAAATGGCTCTTTGAATTGATGGAGAAGATTGAGAATGTGCTGTGTATGGTTCTATGTAGTACCTTCTTGAAAATGGTTCTATTTTGTACCAAAAGGGGTTCTGCTATTGTTACAATGTCAGGCTTATAACAATAAAAGAACCCTTTCTGGTGTTATATATTGAAAAAATTTCTATATAGAACCATATACAGCACATTCTCAATCAATCTGAAGAACCATTTCACCATGCATCAACTGTAAACACATGATACTTTACTGTAAGGCCATAAACAACAAGTCTGGTGCTCAGTCATTCAAAACAAAGTTTTTGTTTTCTTGTTATTTATTATTTGTTTTTTATTTCATACACAGGGCTGTACAATGGCATTTTGCACTTGGAATACTTCTCCTCACACAAAAATAAAGGAAATGTTAAAGATAAAGATGAAGATAAAAAAGATAAAGAAATTATGAATTTTGAACTAATGTTTGCTAAATAACCACCGTCTTATGCATGTTTTTTTTAAATGGTTGCTTAATACTGTGAACTGTCATGTCTTTTGATGAGGTTGTCATACTGTACAATTGTCCAAGTTCTAACATGTCACTATGAAGCTCTGGTGTCAAATTGGTTCTCTGTATCAACCAACCCTTGAGTTCAGATATCGGTATCAGTATTGGAAGAGAATACGCTAAATCATAGCATCCTGAGGTGTATGCTATGATCCAGCTTCAGAGAGGAATTTAGAGTGAGCAGTTGTTCGTTAAGGGAGTAGAGCTGGAGAGTGAGAGAAGTGTGTGCATGTGTTGGAGTGAGTGCTTCACTGATATACGAGAGAAAAACAATAAAGGCAAGAGCTTGACGGCTGAGAGGTAGACAGAGAGGTGAGCTTTGAGAAGGAAAAATGGAAAAGAGAAGTATATAGAGAAAGAAAGAGTGTCTTGGAGTGTGTGTGTGTGTGTGTGTGTGTGTGTGTGTGTGTGTGTGTGTCCTGGCACAGCAGCCCTGAGTGGCAGAGCTATGTAGTATTAATGAGATGATGCAGAGCTTACTGCCTACAGTATAGTGCTCTCTCTCTCTCTCTCTCTGCGCGCGCTCTCACTCTCTCTCTATTCCCCTTTCCCCCTCTCCCTCTCACTGTCTCTCTTACACTCTCACTCTCTCACCCTCACTCACTCTCTCTCAATACTCACTCGTGTTTCATTTGCACTCTCTCATTTAGGCTCTCTCTCGCTCTCACTCACTTGTGCACTCTATCTTTTTTTTCTCTGTCACAGTCTCACTCTCTTGCTTGCTGACTCTCGTGCACTCTCTTCTCTCTTCTCTCTCTCTCTCTCTCTCTCTGTCTCTCTCTCTCTCTCTGTCGCACCCACCCCCCCCACACAATGTAAATGGAGGTTTCAGTATTTATAGATAGACTCCTGCAGCATGTCCTCTGTCCCATTTTTGTGGATGACATCATCGTTGCCTCTGACTGAGAGATTTTCATTCAGATTGCTAGTGTGTGTCTGCAGTAGGCACAGGTAATGTGGTGATATCGTCATTGTGACGTCAGCAGCCATGACCAGTTGGTTTTACTTTGGCTTTGAGATACTGATTGGCTGCTTTGCTGCTTAAGTGCTCATATTCAATGGAGAATAAAAGCAAATCTTTGTGGACTGCAGAAATGTAGCTGCTACATGAATGCAAGTTCGCTCAAATAAGAATTGCAAAGCTATATTGAACATAGAAACTAGCTTAGTTTGAATGTTTATCAAAATCTAAAGTAAACAACACAATGCTGATGCCAGCAATATCAGTAATTACACAGACTACGCTAGACAGTGCTCACCGGAGAACTATGGATAAACCAATAAAACCAATAAATAACAAATTAACAAAAGAAGTAGCAAAGTGGTAATCTACTGTTACCCTTGAAACAATATGAAACTAAGTGGAATGTCAGTTATCTGAATTTTATCAATCACTGAGGGGCTGGAACGGCCCACTGTTACTCTGCCTGAATATCAGTGATGAAAATTGGAAACTGCATTCACTTTATTTTTATGTTCACCCTGTGGTTATATGATGAAAATAATGTTACTAAATTATCGATTTATTTAAATAAATACATCCCGATGAAGCTCATTGTTGTCATATAACTTAGCAAAAGGGAAATATCTTTTTTTAGGGTGAAATTTATGCAAATGTGATTAACCGCAGTTAACTACACAAAAGATGCTTTTAATTAAGGTTAATGATTTTAATCAGTTGATCAGTCCTAGTACATACATAACTGAATTATATTTGATACCTGACAGTCATGTTGATCAGTAAAGTACTATTCATATGTAACTGTTGGAGTCTTTTCCATTTTTGACCATATCGTATTGTCCAGTATTGTTAATTATCTGAAGATCCCAGTCACAATATAATTAATAGTTAATTCTTTACTAATCATAATTAGTTTCAGCACAGGTAAACCTGTAAAAGTTTGAATGCTGGTGAACTTTCCATTTAATGTTTTAATCTTTTGGTGTGTTGTGAACCCCCTCCTGCAGGTGAGCGTCTGTTTCCTCCTCCGTCGGGTCTGAGTTACTCCTGCTGGTTCTGTGTGGAGCGCTTCAGCTCCTCGCCTCACAACCACCCAGTGCGGCTGCTGACAGTGGTCCGGAGGGCTACTGCCTCCGAGCAGCACTACGTCTGCCTGGCCATTGTTCTCTCAGCCAAAGACCGCTCTCTCGTGGTGTCCACCAAAGAGGAGCTACTGCAGAGCTACGGTAAAATACCTCAGTGCTCACACAGCACTTTCATTTCCTCTTCAGCCTCGGCCGTTTCACCACAAACACTGACGTCCTGCTTACTTTGTCGTTTTTTTTTTGTTTTTTTTTTAATGTTGCAGTTCTTATACAGTGTATTTGGTTTTTGGTGGTAACATTGTAGTAGTGTCTGTATGATCAGTGTATTTGGTTTTCTTATCTTAATATTGATATACAACACAATAAACAGCATTTAGCATAGGGGAATCATGATTTACACAGTAATTTCACAATTACACAGTAATTTAATCTGTGTAATCTTAAGGTTGAAAATATTACAGAAGAACTACAGTATTCAGAAAAGTTTAGTAACCTTACCTCAAAAATATAATTCTTGGAACAGGTTGTCTGAGATTTTAAAAATAGCTGCAACATCAGGAGTGTATAGGTCTGGGTGGGTGTGCTTGTTTTTTTAAACAGTGCAAAGGGTTGAGCCGGGTTTGTGTCTGTTTTTCATGTACAGTTTAAGGCTTGGTCCAAGTTTGGGTTTGTTTTCTAGTAAGTGAAAATAAATTATTTTATGTTTTCAGTTCATTTTTTATTAGAAATTGAGGCCCTGAATACAGACCCTGAGTACATTTTTATTTCCCTTTTTAATATTTGTTCTCTCAGCAAAGACCTTTAGATAGAATAGTCATTGTTAATAATTGGAAAATGTGCAAATAAATAAAGCTGGTATAATTGAGTGAATCATAAATTCATGCCAGGCTTTCACGTTAGCTCATCTTAAGAGTGCAGCAAACTCCAGCACTGTCCATAATTTAAATTATCAGATGATGAGAAAAATGCCTAGTGCAAACTTGCGATAATGCAGTTGAATGCAAAAGTTTAGTCACCCCTTTTTAAATGCCATGTTTTGTTAATTTTCTAAGTAAAAATAAGTTAACACATCCTCTACAGAGGACAAAGGTACTGTTTATTTGCTGCTTTGCTGCCCACATCACTTGTCAGAGAAAAATATAGTCAGTGTTTTTAGACTTAGCTAGAGTAACCTGCACCAGAGCACCAGCCACACTAACTCTGCCTTCTCAGCCACATCCCATCATGTTTAGGCACTTGTGTTTCATAGTAACAAAATATAATACACTTACTCGAAAACTGTTTTGTTAAAACATAAAATGGTGTTCACTTGAATTATCAGCTTGTTTATTCTCTCCATCTTCCAGTGATGAAATGTTACAAGTATTCGAATAGTGATTTTGGTATTCAAACTGATAGTGTTTTTTATCCAGCATGAAAATAAAATGTAGCCTATTGCAGTATGAAAGGCATTTGTTTGCTGGTCTGTTGCCGTACATGATGTTATGACATGAACAGAAACTAAAACCAGTAATGGTTCATGTTCACTTCACTTGTAGCACCTTGTATTTTTAGTAAATTAACTGAATTTATCAGCTGTTTCTCACTTCTGGCTGCATTATCTGTCCATCAACTTGAGTAAATAGCAGCTGAGCAAAGCACTGAAAAACCATCTCAGTGTGCCTGTATATCTTCTTTCTTCTCAGAGGAAATTAAAGTGAGCTGTTTTCAGTCTAGAGCAAGAATGAGTTTCATAATTTTCAGGTCCTTTTTCATGCCTTTGCAGACCTCACAACTAAGTTATAAATAATGAGGCCTGGATTTAACCACAGTTTTCACTTTACGAAGTTCCTTTTGTCCGTGCCTTGTGTGTGATGTCATTTCCTGTCTGGCTCCCCCCACAGTGGATGACTTCAGCGAGGAATCCTCCTTTTACGAGATCCTGCCCTGCTGCGCCCGCTTCCGCTGCGCTGACCTAATCACAGAGGGACAGTGGCACCACCTGGTGTTGGTCATGAGCAAAGGGATGTTAAAGAACAGCATGGCCACACTCTACATCGACGGCCAGCTGGTCAACACTGTCAAGGTGAGGGCGGGACCTTGATATGGACACTTTAAATCTGTCAGTGAATGAATTAGGTGATGAAGAGAGCATAGCATTTTTCAGTGTGAAAGAATTTTAAGTTGGTTTAATGGAAAACATTTTGTGAATGTTATTAAAATGAATAGAGTGATAAGGAATGGTTTTAATGCAGACTTCAAAGGCCTTGTTAATTAGCTGTTAGTTAGGTCTTAGTAGGACGATGATAACCATCCTAAGCTTAGAGCTTGAAATATTTGTCCAAATCAGTGAGATCCATGTTTAGTTAAGGTTTGATGAAGATTTCTCATGGCTTGTCTCCAGATGTTGGCCTTCAAGTGGGTGATATGGCAAAAATATCATATTACGATACTTAGTCATTTTTAAGATGGGTATTACGATATTTTGACACACAGCCAGAATGCACTAGTAGTGTGACAATTTTTTTTTCACCAACATTTCCACCAATTAAACAGTACTAATTATGCTCTTTAAGTGTTGATGATATCCATGATATGCTTTTTATCACAATAGCAAAACGTAGTTCTACAGTAACAAACTATAGTTTTTTGTTTCTATGCATAATCTTTTAGGTCCTCTTTCACCCTGTTCTTCAATGGTCAGGACCACCACAAAGCAGGTGTTATTTGGGTGGTGGATCATTCTCAGCACTGCAGTGACACTGACGTGGTGGTGATGTGTTACTGTGTGTTGTGCTGGTACGAGTGGATCAAACACCACAGTGCTGCTGGAGCTTTTAAACACTCACTGTCCACTCTATTAGACACACCTACCATGTTAGTCCAGCTTGTAGATACAAAGTCAGAAACAGTAGCTCATCTGTTGCTGCACAATTTGTGGCAGTCAGTCTTTAATCATTAATGAGTGGTCACAGGACGCTGCCCACAGGACGCTTTTGGCTGAATATTTTTCGCTGGTGGACTATTCTCAGTCCAGCAGTGACACTGAGGTGTTTAAAAACGGAAGCACCACTGCTGTGTCTGATCTACTTGTACCAGCAGAACACACTGCAGTGCTGAGAATGATCCCCCACTCAAAAATTACCTACTCTGTGGTGGTCCTCTGGCCTGACCATTGAAGAACAACATTACAGTCTGGAACTGTAGAACTACAAAGTGCACCTGTGGTAATTAAATAAAATCCTGAGGTGGATGTAGTAGTAGTAGGAGACGTGAGCCAGTAACCAGAAGGACTGACTTGGTATACCTGGTTGTGCCCTTGGGCAGTGCGCTTAACACCCGCACTGTCACAGGTGAAGCTGTTCTGCTGGTGGTGTTGTGCTTCTCCCAGACTGTGCGTAGTTAGGCAGCAAAATGACAGATTTCACCTGTAGTATCGCTAAAGTACATAACATACATGCACTGTATGTGTTTTGGCATCAGCTGATATGTACTTGAAAAATATGTGATGTCAGTATCAGCCCAGAATTCCCATGTTGGTGCTTTCCCTAGGTATTACCTTAGTTTATTTTTAATCTGGACTGGTAGAATCACTCATTTTGTTGGCAGTGAGGCCCACTGAAGTCTGAAAGACCAACATAAAAACACCACATTATGTAAAGTATCCAGGGTAAAATGACTTGGGATTTTGATTGAAGGCAGTATTTGTAGAATACATTGGTTAAAATGCAACTTAATTTTGGACAGCTGATGATCAAAAAAAACATTTTGTTTTCAATGATCTGAAAACAGCTCTCATATTTGTTAAAATGCTCAGGAATGGGGACTTTTCTTGGATTGCGGTAAGGTTCAGATTCTAAACTTGGTGCTGCTGGTCGACTGACAATGTTTTTGGGACATATTCAGGCCCAGTTAAAGCTCTAACCAGTTTTCTGATCAGAGATCTCAAATCTGAAACTAAACTTTTATATGCCTGAGCTGGGATCAGAAATCCAATCCATCCTGTTGGAGTTCATTTTGTAAAGAGGTCATCTGGCAGCACCTTAGAGGAACCCAACACTGAGGAATACGAGGCGGACGTCTCCCTCTGTAGAAACATCAGACAGGCCTGTCAGACAATCTCAACCGTCACAACAGCGCACCATCTGGCCCTACGCACACGCTCACACACACAACCACTCACTGAGCTTTCATCAGGGACTCCTTTGTGGTCTACCTTTGATTCCACCGCAGCTTCCTTCTGATGCTAGATGAAGCGACAACGGATGCCACAACTAACTAGCTCATAAACCACACCAATAGTGCAAGCCACTTCCTTCCCTCTTACCCACATGAAGTCTCTCTCTCTCTCTCTCTCTCTCTCTTGCTGACACCTGCTGTTTTTTTTCTCCCTGTAGCTCCACTATGTGCACAGTGCTCCAGGTGGTTCAGGTGCTGCTAACCCACCGGTAGTTAGTACGGTGTACAGCTACATTGGGACACCCCCAGCCCAACGGCAGCTCTCCTCTCTAGTTTGGCGTTTGGGGCCCACACACTTCCTGGAGGAGGTGCTGCCTGCCGCCAGCGTGGCTGCAATCTATGAGCTGGGGCCCAACTACGTGGGCAGCTTCCAGGCTGTCTACCTGCCATGTGAGTAAAGACTGGTGCAGTGAAATGGTTTAGTGAGCCACGTAATTGATTTCATGGGAAAATACACTGTCAAAAGTCTGGGGACACCTTACCTTCTTCTTTTCTCATTTTGCCCAGTAACAGATCATTTTCACTCTTACTTTGCAATAAGTTTGCTACATCTTTTGTAAACATGCCTACTCCTGTCATACAGACTAGGGAAAACCCCCTCTGATCTCTGTATTTCTTGTTTTCCACAGAGTCTTTTCATAGCCTGCTTTTTGCTCTTCACAGTTGCAACCAGCCATTGCAGTTCTGACTGAGAAAATGTTGTCATAGCAACATTAAGCAAACCTTTCAACCTCCAAAGTGTCTGTTAATTACATTTCCAGCAGTTCACTGCATGGAATAAAACACTTTCACAGGACCTGCTATTTGATCCTTGGATCAAGTGTTCACTCGCAGTCTCAGCCATGATTAGAGCATATCTGACTTCTACTTGCTTATACTTGATACTAATTCTTGGTATAGTTATATACTTGATACTTATCTTGATACTTATTCTTGATATAGATGTATACTTGATACTTGGTGTTACGGATATCTGAGTACTTTCGTGTTAAATATTGGCTGAATGTCTGATCCACTTTTTGTGTCTTATAGCTCACGGGTCTGGTGATTTTTCAGCTGTAGCATGCAAAGAAAAGCAGGAAAATTACCAAACTATGCAGGATTCCAGCCCTCCAGTACTGGAGTTCCACATTTGTCAAAGATAATACTGTCATATAACTTAGTTAAGATATGCTGTCACTTAATACTACAGTAAATTACCTAATTTTTAGTATGTGCGTAATGTGATCTAATTTGGCATACTTTTATAAATGACTCTTTTAAATTTTGGCTCAAAGTTGGTTGACTTACCTGATGGTTTGGCTACCAGTTACTTAAATATTCTTCAGTGAAATCATTTCAGTTTCAATGTGCATAGTAATAAACGCCCTGATCTTGCATCTTTTATGTTTCTTTTTTGGACTTATTATGTGAAATAACCATTTTATAGTGTCATATATTTTAGTATTTCATGTTGCTTTAACACACCTGCAGTTGTCTCCATTTTTCTGCTTTAAACAAGATGCAATGAAGCACGTCCAGGAAAATCACGTCCAAGAGTTTTTCATTTTCAGGCTGAATCTTCTGTTCTCCTCAGGTAAAGACTCGAAGGCTGAGGCCGTCCCACCATGTCCTGTGGCGCTGGTTCCAGAGGAAAAAGTTTCCTTCAGCCTCTACGCTCTCTCTGTCTCCTCCCTCACCGTAGCCAAGATCAGAAAAGTGTACAACAAACTTGACAGCAAGGCCATCGCCAAACAGGTGAACTTTTCTTATTACAGGATAGAACATTTTGTATTTGTTTTGAGAATGGACTTTATTCTCTTTACTTTTAAAGAAATGAGTCAATAATGAGCAACAAAAAAGTGTGGACGACGTTTACTTATTCTGCATAAAAAATAAACTTAAGTATAGTATGTATAATTATCACTCAGTTTTTGACATTTTGGGCTAAATAAAGGGCTACTTTTTCCAGTATTTTTCTCTTTGTAACTATGATGTGTAGGTTATCATTCGATCTAGGATATTAACTAAGTAATTAACTGTATTTTCTAAACAGACCTATTGTGGTGGAGGTTCTCAGTAGCCAGCACTTTATTCTTAGAATACAGTTTTTAAAATTTTATGTGGTTAGTTTTTTAAAATACTCGAGTACAACCATGAAAAACATCAGCAAAATACAGTTAACTCTGAGCTATTCATCTTTAGACTGTCGGGTAACAGTAAATGTTTACAGTTAAAGGGAATTTCTCATTGAAATGTAGTTCTTCAGTTTGAAATACAGATATTATATAAGTGGGTTATGATGAAAGCCTTGGTCTGTGATTGTGTCATTTAATTTGATACTGTGCTATGTTAATTTGTTATCTAGTCTATGTCTGTAACATAGAACAAAGTTTAGAACTAAAATTTTAAACCTTATGTACAGTTGGCAGTTTCATCACATGAGAATGCCACCCCAGTCAAACTCATCCACAATGCTGCTGGACATCTCAATGGTCCTGCCAGGACCATCGGAGCTGCTGTAATTGGCTATCTGGGTAAGAATTCAGCTCTAGAAAGAATGTCAAATAAAACATTTAGCAAAATGCCTTGTTTGAAAATATTCAGACATTTAAATTTCCTTTAAATGTTTGAATCTTTTATATTTAAATTGTGTATATAGCAATATAGTAGCATCTTTCAGCATTCATATATTTCTAACCTTCATCTCTTGCTCCACTCAGGTGTGAGAGCCTTTGTTCCCAAGCCAGTGGCCACCAACCTGCAGTACACCGGAGGAGCTGCCGCCATCCTAGGCCTAGTGGCCATGGCCTCGGACGTGGAGGGACTCTACGCAGCCGTGAAGGCGCTCGTCTGTGTCGTCAAGAGTAACCCCCTGGCCAGCAAGGAGATGGAGCGAATCAAAGGCTACCAGGTGAGTTGTAGGGATGTAGTTGTGGGATGCCATCAGTTTTGCAAAATGTGAAACAAACAGTAGGCCCCCTACTACACCATTTTTCACAATTTTTCCCATGAACTCCTGCAGTAGTGGATGTTATACCTGTTCTTCCAGTATACTTGTTAAAATTCTTCTTGAGGTAATATTTTGTCATTACTGTTATGCTGGTATGCTACAAATAAACACAGATATCGTAACCTCACTAATTCCCTCATGTCCTGTGTAGTGAGTTGCAGTCTGAGGTAAGTTAGTCCAGTTTGTTATAGAAGGTGCAGACATCAGAATTTAGTGAGTAAAATGGTTAAAAGAAAGTGGAAGGAAAAGCTGGTCTCTTGGGGTTAGTCGTTAGCCTTTCGCCTAGCATTGAGACTAGCTGACTTTCCTTGCGCATGGCCTACGGCACCCAGTTGCTTAAGGCGACACAGTGATCTCAGACTACAAGTAAAATCTGTCTATATATTGTTTTTGTTTTTTTTTTTTTTTTTGCCCAAATAAAATATTTGAGATTTACTTCCATTGTTATAAGTGAAAGGACTGAATAATATGAAACTGTTAATTTACAAAATGGGTTTACTTAAGCATCCAAAATGGTTTTATTTGGAAAACAAAATATATGTAAGTACATTACACATATATACATATACACATATGTACGTATATGTTTGTATATGTACATACGTATATATACGGAAACCATCAGTGATCTTAATTATACTGTGCAATAAATTTTTTACCATATCGCTACTAAGCTCCTGATGTTTTTAAGAATATTCAGAGGTAATTCGGGTGGAATATTAGTAGGTATGATTTGATAATTCAAAGGCTCTTGTGCATATGGATGTCATTTGGTAAACAGTATTGATGAAAGCTCTTGCGTGTTTAATAATTTAGGTTATATATTGTGAAAGGGGCCTAATTAGGCCTGAGTGATGTGATGATTTTTTTTTTATTGTTGCTGTGTCACCAGCCTTTCCCCTGTTGTTATTGCATTGAGTCAGTGATTAACAACTTTACTGCTTGCTTAATTGCACACACATATTTAATGCTGAAAAAGGAAAACATCCACAAGTCAGACTCAAATACAACCAGCCATAATCAGAGCATTTCTGAAAAGCATCAAGTTCAAACATGAGGTGGAAGGAATGTCAGTGGACACTGCTAGAGATTCTTCAACTTTACAAAAGGCCTATAAGCAATATTGAAAAAGGCAAATGAAAGTTATTTTAGTATTTATGTGAACTTGCGGTTGAAATTATAATTTTCTTAATTTTTGTTCTTTATTTGCGTTAAAGAAGTGTAATTGTTGAGAACTGGTGATCAAATCAGTCACCAAAACTATTGGAGTATGAAATTAAAATTAAAAATGTTAAACATAAATATTAAATTGTGTCTCCCAATATTAGTGATCTGAATTTTAAGCCTCCAAAAAATGTTCGTAGTGGTTGGGCCCTAGTATATATTAACAGAATTCTCTCGACTCCAGCTGCTGGCCATGCTGCTGAAGAAGAAGCGTTCTCTGCTTAACAGCCACATCCTTCACCTGACCTTCTCCTTGGTGGGCACGGTGGACAGCGGCCACGAAACCTCCATCATCCCCAACTCCACCGCCTTTCAGGACCTGCTCTGTGACTTTGAGGTGACTAATAAATAAAACAAGTCTTGCCTGGTTGACTATTTTTGGGGTAAAGGGAAAATTCTATACATTTTGCTGAAGTGTTGCATTAAACCATCCAATGTTCAGATCATCAGTGAACAGGCGATTTATTTATTCTTGTTTTTTTGACAGTCTGTTGCTTTTAAAAGACAGATGTGAGATACTCTCTGATCTCTGATTTGTCACAGGTTTGGCTGCATGCACCATATGAACTGCACCTGTCTCTCTTTGAACATTTCATTGAGCTTTTGACTGAATCCAGGTGAGGCTATTCAATCTTGAATTACCTTCATAGTACTGAAGTCAGAACAGTTAAAATGTTGCCTCCTTGTAAATAGGTTGTCTTGGTTCAGTAAAAATGTTTTGGTTTATATCAGCAGCTCTTCTTGAATAAGGAGAGTATATCATAAGAAAGTAAAACAAGTGTCTTGTACTTGTACTAATGAAATAGGCTTGAGTTGGCTACTGGAACTCTTTGTATTTAAGATCTTTCTATGAATGGCTGTGACAATTTAATAATTAATTAATAAATAAATAAATAAATAAATAAATATTCAGTTGATTTTACTCAGACTGATGTTCTTCTGATTGTAGCGAGGCTGCTAAGAACGCTAAGCTCTTGCGGGAGTTCCAGCTGATCCCCAAGCTGCTGCTGACCCTGAGGGACCAGTCGCTCTCTCAGCCCACTATCGCCGCCATCAGTAACGTTCTTAGCCTGTTGCTGCAAGGCTTCCCCAACTCCTATGATCTGCTCCGGTACACCATTCAACTATGCTTCACAATGACATCAAATAATGACCAATAGATGTCAAGTTTATACTTTGAATGATTTTTATTGATTATTTTTGTGTCATGTTGAAAGGATTATTGCTTCATACAAGAAGTAAAAATAGTTGATTAATAAAATAATAATTGCACCACAAAATGGTTGGTTTCAGGTTTTGAAATTTAGTTCTTTTTGGCCTTGCCAGAAGTTTCTGTTTTCCCAGGACGTGCAAGTATTTTTCTTTTTCTTGTTTCCTTTTAGGTTTGGCCAGTTTATTTCATCCACCTTACCCACCTTTGCAGTCTGTGAGAAGTTTGTGGTTATGGAGGTTAACAATGAGGAGAAGATTGATGGAGGTGAGACTGATATGGGTGATATTCCCTTGTAACGCTTTATGAGGGTAGCATTAACGTGGACCGCAGATTCATTTAGAAGATTACAGATAACATGTAGTTTGTTCTCTTTGTCAACGTTCACACAGCAGGTGAAAGTGGCCCGAATTTGATTTTTTTGTCTTCATATGTGGCACAGATTTGGTTTTTGACATGTGAACAGTAAAACTAAACCTGATGTTTCAATTCTGATGCCTTGAAGCATCATCAAGATGGCTGTTACTGTGGCTAGGCTTCTTCTATTTTGTTTTGGAGACAAGCGTAGCCGGTGTAACAGATAAAAATGCTTTCTGCCAAGAGAAATCAAACTAACAGCTATTCAAAACATGATTGTATGATTACATGATACATGTTTAAACAAAAGACTTAAAAAAATGAGAAAGAAACAGAGGAGTTAAAGGAGCTTTACACAGATCAAGACTCTTTATCCAGTACATTTTGACGTTTTGACACTGAATGTGTTTCCCTTTGCTAGCATTCTTCTTCACGGCAGATAAACAAAGGAAACCGAACTGCCTCTGTCTGTTTGATCGGCTTTCACAATTAAAACAACCTAAAAATCAATAGTTTTTACCCTTTTCTGCAAACTTCATCCTGTGTGGTCGTATTAGTGTCTGCTGTTTGTGCTACAAGTTTAAAGCAGCAATTCTCATGCGTTAAAGTTTGTCATCACATAAAGTCTCTTTTTCTAAGGGAATGGGAGGGGACAGCTGTGTTTGTTAGATGAGTGTGTGTGTGTCTGTGTTGTAGATCCGTGCTGTTTGGCGCATGTGGGTCAGTTCGGGAGTGAGATCTGTTTAGACTGATACAGAAACAGATTGTAGCAGTTAATTGGATATGGGCCACTTTTGCCTTCAGTTTGAACATAGACTTAATTGATTATAGTTGATTGTTTTAAAGAAACTGAGTTTTAAGGGGCTTTCTTTTGTGCCTTCTAGTGATCTGACTGCCTTCCTTTCTGTTTAGGGAATGATGACGACTTTGGTGGTTTGCTCTCCTCCAACATTATTTTGCTACGCAACCGCCTGCTGGACATCCTACTCAAACTGCTCTTCAGCTCAAAAGAGAAATGCAACGTAAACGCCCAGTAAGTGACCTTAGTGATATAATCATGATTGTGTCCATGACAAAAGTTGCATATACTACGTTGTCATGTCCTCTGTGTTAAATGCTTAGTCTTTGGTCACAGTGTATGAAACACGTTAGGCCACCGGTATTACAAGCTTTAATGCTGCCTTACTTATTATAAAAGGTCACTGTCAATACTGTAGTCCATATAGTTTTAAAGGAAACAGATTCATCTAAGAATAAACACTCTTCTTAATTAAACGTAACCGTTGCATTTAAAACAGTAGCATATTGAATACCATCTGCTGCAGTCTGATAGACGAGCCTCCTAATTATCTTTCTATGTGTGTGTTGGACCATGCTTTTTTAAAAGCTAGCTATGGGCTAGTACTGAAACAAAAATTAGCAATTATGGCTTTTTGCAAATTAATTAAAATGTTTATTATTGTACTAAAATATGCATTAAAAATAAAAAAAGTTGTAGCTGTACAAAATTAGCAAACACCTGGCTTATAAGAATATTTTAAACAAACAAGCAAGTTTTTGATTTGATTTGCAATAGCTTAACATTTAAAAGAAACTGCCAACTGTTGTTGCAAAGACTCACGAAGGAAAAGGAAACGTTCAAATTAGTATTTAGGCAAAACCCCCTTTCATACAAAGGAAAGCACTTTGATGAACATGAGGCTGGGTGTTGCAAAATCTGCCCAAAATATTATTTGTAAATAATACAATGAAAAATTGATGTTATATTAATAAAACTTTTTGTTTGTAGTATTTTTCTTACTTCATTAAAAAGTTAAAGACGGCAATGTGTCCTCAGGCTTTTTATGTGCTGTGTATATCACTATAATAATAATAGTAATAATTAAAAATCATTAGTGAAATTTGTATACCACCTTCCTCAAATCCGAGGATGTTTTGAAATTACAACAATTACACTAAAACTGCAAATCAGCAGAAAACAAAACACGCACACGGCGAGCAAGAAAAGACTCTCCCAACCACAGTGAAAATTCTTCTGGCTCGCGTCTCAGTCAGACTCAGCTACTGCGTTGAAAAGTCTCCAGGCTTGTGACCCAGTCAAACTCCACTACCGCAGTGAAAAGTCTGCTGGCTCGCAGCCCAGTTAGACGATGCTTCTGTGCTGAAAAGTTTCCCCTGCTAGCAGCCCAGTCAAACTCCACTCCTGTGGTGAAAAGTCTCCTTGCTCGCAGCCCAATCAGTCGATGCTAACATGATGAAAAGTCTTACGGCTGGCAGCCCAGTCAGACTCTGCTTCCGTTGTGAAGAGTCTCTCCACTCAAAGCCTGGTCAGAGCCCTCAGCTTCGATGCAAAGTTTCAAGGCCCAGCCAGACCCCACTGCGGCACAAAGTCTCTCATCCGATTCTCAGTCGACGACGGGAAATCACAAACACCACAAACAACTGAAAGCACAGAAAAGAGAACTTGATGTTTGTTGGCTGCCAAAATGCATGCAGCATTCTTACACTTACGGTTTGTTGTTTTGACTCTGTGTCTCACCTCTTTTCCTCTTCGCTGCCCCTTGTAGAGCATGTGAGGAGCTGGTGCGGACACTGGGCTTTGATTGGCTGCTCATGTTTATGGAGGAGCACATTCACTCGAGCACGGTGACGGCAGCGCTCTGGATCCTGGTGGTGCTACTCAGTAACCAGTCCATCCTGAGCCGCTTCAGAGAGGGTCTGTCTGGAGGAGGCTGGCTTGACCACACCGACTCAGTGCTCACCAACAAGATTGGCACAGTGCTAGGTGGGTGAGACAGCTGAGTTCAAACACTGATTGAATGAATACATTCTTTGCAATAATAAGTTATCGTTGGGGAAAATGTAGATATACTGACTTTTAAAATTTTTAAAGGTCTTTGACTTAAGAAGTTTTGAAAGGTCATCACAGCAGAACAATAATACTGCTGTGGGATGCTGTGGATCAAGGTTTTTTTTAGAAGGTTAGGCTCCAAAAAATTATAGAATAATGGATTATAGGAGGATAACACAGCAATAAACATGTGCCAATATTAAAATGGTTTATCACAATAATTACCTAACCTTATATAGCATAGCATTGCAAACTAAGAGCTTTGAAGGTCCTCAGACCAATAACACATTATAACAGCTGTCCAAACATGAAATTAAGCATTAGATAACAGTGACAACGAGGAGCTTGTGAACCCATGTGTCCATCATCAGGAGGGAGAAAAAAATCTTCTTTGACAAGAACAATAATGGTGCATCAGTTTATTGCAGAATGACTAGTGACCATGGTTTCAGTGAAGACACCTGTGGAATTTTGTAAAAGCATAGAAGAAAAAGCGTTATTGGACCCAGATGATTTTGAAAAGTAGACATACTCAACGATTAACGCCTGATATTCACAGTGACAGACCCACTGTTGGTCAGTCATAAATTAATTATGGCTGTTTTAGTACCTGACCCCACACAAATGTTATAAGATGATCTCAAGGAAAAATATAAAATACAAGTCAGATGTGTTTGGGCCTTTGAAGATTTTCTTCTTGTTTTAAGAATCATGTCTCGTTCTTCTGGTCATCGCAGGCTTCAACGTGGGCCGTAGTGCGGGTGGTAGGTCCACTCTTCGTGAGATCAACCGTGACGCCTGCCACTTCCCAGGATTTCCTGTGCTGCAGACGCTGCTGCCCAAACACACCAACGTGCCTGAGCTCTACTTCCTACTCATGGCTCTCTTCCTGCAGCAGCCCGTCACTGAGCTGCCTGACAGCCTGCAGGTACATGTCAGTATGCAACCCTTTTCCTACTAATCATACTAACTGTGTATCCTCGTGAACATGTTTTTGTAAACATTCTGTACAACTTACTTACTAACAGTTGTCCTCTGATTAATTCCTCTGACTCATATAGTTAGAATTTCATGCTTACAGCTGTATGGTAGAATGCGGTTGCTGTACTAGTCTAACCACACAGTCATACTGTAGTTCAAAGCCCACACACACTGGAATACCATCTGCCTCCATCTGAATCCCTTTGTATTGGCTGTGTCTACTTGCATATACAAGGAATTTGTGGCAGCACTTGAACTCTGCTACTTAACATTGACTTTTAAACATATCTTGGCAGCTGTCACATGCTGTCAGTAGCATGGTAAGGATAACATGATGCTGTGATATTACTGAAAAATCTGTCAAGACAGCTCGTGACAGCATATGACCGCTGTACGGAAATGTCAAGGGTTAATTAACATGATCTTTTTTTTTTGTTACATTTTTTTTCTTTATATGCCCCTCAATTGTTAGTATATAAAACATGTCCTTAAATGTTTTAGAACTTTACCTGTTTTAATGAAAATCTTTAATAAAACCAGATATTAAATAATAAAATATTGAGTAACTTAACATCTTTTGAAAACTACTCATACACATGCATTCATGAGCTTTTTCTGGTGCAGATCCGTGGCGACTTGCGTGGTAATAGCGCTCCCCGCTGGGCCACGCCCATACGCATTACATATGAAAAAAACGAGCCATTTTTAAGCTAAACATAACAAAGTAAAAAAAGTAGATGGTGAAGAGCTGTGTGGTAGGTAAAGCTAGCATTACAGTGTGTAGCAGAAAGTACCAACAGGTAGCTTCTTTACAAACCTCTCCTTTAGTGTGCGCCCGAACACTTCTTCAAGGAACGTGAGCCCCAGTTTCCCAACATATTTAACAAGTTGTTTAACGGTAAATTAGTCCTCTTTAGTTCTGTTAGTTCATTTTCTAAACAACAGTTATTGGCTTTTACACATCACCATTGGGTTACTTGTCAGGCATCAATGATATCCAGTTAAATCGCCCTATCGCCCAGGCTTAGCATGGTTATGTCGATGGTATGCAGCAGTGTTCAAGTAAAGTGCTGTCTTGGTGGAATTGTAGCTTGTGTAAATGGACCATACAGAATACAAACAGCAAACAAATAAATACAGTACACAGCAGGGTGATGATAGTTGATAGAAATGATTTTTTTCATTTGATTTTATTTTGATCTAGTTTTTATTTATTTTGTTAATTTCAGTTTAGTTTCGGTTTTGATGGTGAGTGATTAGTTTTAGATTTGTTTTTCTGAAATTTCCTGAAAAAGCAGGAAAGTACTATGATGAAAGCTGTGATGCAGATATTTGACAAAGGTCAAATAAACAGTTTAAAATGTTTGGTTTCCATAGAAGTTGTAAAATGGTGAACTTTGAGATTACAGCTTCAAAACACATTTCTGACGCATACTGTTCTTAAGAATTCTACCAATTCTTAAAAACGTCTGTGTAAATTAGTAATAACAGGTAAACAAAGTCAGCCTGAATGGTTTGTTGTGAAATGTGCTGTTCCAAAGAAACTTGTTGACTCAGAATTGATCATAATGCTGGTGATAGGAAGCAGATGTGGAAGCGTTTAAGCCACATCACAGACAGTTATTGCACAAAATAGTTCCAAATGCACTGCCTGGTGCCTGAGACATTGTTTTGTGATAGTTTTGAGGGAATGTGTTTTTAACATGCTGGTTGGAGAGGTACATGCAGGGCGTTGTAAGGAAAATAGTTCCTAAAGAAAATTTAAATTGGACTGGAGTTCTGTTCAGACAAGCTCTGCTGCTTTAGCAGTGCTAAATTAACACAAGAGTAGAGAGTGTGCTTGGCTAGGAAGCCAGCTTTCCTTAAAGACAACTAAAGACAGAGAAGGGATCTGCTTCTAAATTGTTCTTAATGCATATATTGAACATCTGAAAACTGTTTGTGAATGAAATGTTTTTTTGAAGTAATTCTGTTTTGTTTTCAGGATAGTATACTATGAATTTTTTGTGCGTTTTTAAAGGCTTTTATAATTTTTTATTTCCATTATAGTTACCAAGTAATTTTTTGTTTTTGTAATAGTTTTTTTTTAATGAAAACTAGTACACAGCCACAAAGGATATCACAAAGTATCCATATTCTCCGTATGTAAACTAAATATACCAAATATGTATTTACAGCCATGTTGATCATGTAACAAGTGCAAATGTGCAAGATCTCTTCTAAGCTAATTATTAAAAGATGCTGCTGCATGTTACACATATCATAACACCCAGTATACGCTAAATAGCACATGACAAATATGCCGTGCAAAGTGTGCAAAAATATGGAACCTGGGTCTAGATTCCTTCCAAAAAATGCGTAAAGATGAGACCTGTTCAGTCCTCGTACACACTGAAATTAGCCAAATGTTTTCTTAAAGCCCCTGCTTATACTAATATAAAAAAAAATACGTTCTTGTGACTGAAAAAATAATATTTTCTTAATTTTCACCCCTTATGTTTATATTTGTATGTTTGTAGTTGTATGTTATTTGTGTGCATGTTATTTATCCTGATGTTTTTATCCTTTCCAACATTTGTTTATACTGCATGTGCATGTGTGCTTGGTAGTACATTGATTCGCTTTAATTTGTGTCATTAAATAATGAGTTTGTGATTGTGATTATGATTATTTGATCAATGTTTTAGTAGTTATGCTGCGTTCACGTTTGCATTGAAAAAACAGTCATTGTGCGCCTCTTAATGGTACGTGGCCAACGGCAGCATGAAGCCACGCAAATGTTGAGTGACCGCGGTGCCGAGAAAATGGGTGATTATCAGAGGAGAGCGGTTTTCTGTCACGGCTCCATTGAAAACAGTGGAATGTCTGGTTTGCCATTGTCTGCCTACTGCAAACATGTGAATGCAGCATAATTAACTAAGAAAGTGATTAATAAGGTGTGACATTGAATGTTCTAACAACGTAAGTAAAACCTGTAAAAATCATACAGTGACAAGAAGTACTGAGTGAAACGTTCCCTATGTTGTCACAGTTTGACCTAGACTCCATCTGGTCGTTCATCTTCGGTGTGCCGGCTTCTAGTGCTACGGTGGTCAGCTCCATTCACAACGTGTGCACAGAGGCGTCCTTCCTTCTGCTGGCCATGCTGCGCAGCATGCTCAACCTGGTGAGACCCTCATTCGCTATGTGTGACTTGTTAAATATAAACAACCTCTCAAATTATCAGTGCTTATGTTGTGTATAGACAAATTAGATTACATAATTATTTAAATATAGTGATACAACTCCAAATCAAAAAAAGTTGGGATGGCATAAAAAATGCAAATAGAAAAAAAATCTGTGATTTCTAAAAATTTACTTTGACTTGTATTTCATTATGGACAGTACGAACACAAGATATTTAATGTTTTCACCTTTTAATTCATTTGTAAATATATATCCATTCCTGCCATTTAGACCTGCAACACATTCCAAGAAAAATTTGGATGGGGCAGTTTAGGGCTAGTAATGAGCTAAAATAATTAAATCATGATGTGATTTGAAACAGGTGATTGTAATCATGATTTGGTACAAAAGCAGCATCCAGGACCAAAGATGTGCTGGGGATCGCCCAGTTTGCCAACAAATGCGTGAGGAAGTTATTGAAATGCTTGAAAACAATGTTTCTCAAAGAAAGATAGGAATGGATTTGGATAATTCATCTTTTACGGTGCATAACATAGTTAAAAGTTTCGAGGAATCTGGAGGAAAGTCGTGAAGGCAAAGGCACAAGCCTGAGCGGAATAACTGTGCTCTCCGATTCCTCAGACAGCACTGCATCAAGAACCATCATTCATCTATAAGCTATATAACCACATGGGCTAAGGATTACTTTGGCAAACTTTTGTCAAGCACTACAATACATAATTACATCCACAAATGGCAGTTGAAACTTTACTGTGCCAAAAGGAACGCTTATGTTAACCATGTTATCGTTATGAAGCGCTATCATTGACTTGCCTGGGCTCTGAGACGTCTGGGATGGACCATCACACAGCGAAAATATGTATTGTGGTCAGACGAATCAGTGTTTCAGGTCTTGTTTGGAAAAAGTGGACACCGTGTGCTCTGGACCAAAGACAAAAAGGACCATCTAGACTGTTACCAGCAACAAGTCCAAAAGCCAAGGTCTGTCATAATATGGGGTTATGTCAATGCCCTTGGCAAAGGTGACATTTTTGTGATGCCACCATTAATATCAAAAAGTACATAGAGATTTTGGAGCAACATATATTGCCTTCAAGACGACATCTTTTCCAGGGACACCCATGCATATTTCAACAAAACAATAGCGAAACCACATTCTGCACACATTAGAGCAGCATGGCTGTGGAAGAAGAGGGTGAGGGTGCTGGATTGGCGTGCCTGCAGTCCTGACCTGTCCCCAACAGAGAATGTGTGGGTTTTAAAACGCAAAAGCCGACAATAACGACCATGTACTGTTGCGCACCTTAAAACCTGTTCTGCAGGAAGAACGGTACACAATAATATCTGAAATGCTTCATCACTACCTGTCTTCAGCGTTGTGTGTTAGAAAAAGGAATGGCAAATTTACATAGTGGTAAATGCTTTACTGTCCCATGTTTAATACGTTGAATGAATAAAAATTGCAATAAATGTTCATTTTGAAAAAAATAATAAAATTCATGAGGTAAAATGTCAAATTGTATTGTATTGTTTTTAATGTAATAGAGATCAAAAATTATTTAGAAATCACCATCCCAACGTTCTGATTTGAGATTTGTATAATTTATTGCATTGTTAATTGTGTAATATGTTCACTTTACATTCTACACTGGTTCGAGTCCGCACAGATTTTTTTCTGTTTGTTTTGGTATCAAACAATGACCTAAACGTGACAAAAATGTAAAGGATGTTCCTGTCATTTCTGTGCATCTCGTCCCCTTAGCCTTGGCAGTCTGAAGAGGAGGGCTCCTGGCTGAGGGAGTACCCAGTCACTCTGATGCAGTTTTTCCGTTACCTCTACCACAATGTCCCCGACCTGGCTCCCATGTGGCACAGCCCAGACTTCCTGTGTGCCCTCGCTGCTGCTGTCTTTCCTTTCAACATCCGACCTTATTCTGAAATGGTACGCTTTTTTGATTGTGAAATTTGTGTTATTGCATCTTGAGTCCTGAGGTCTTAGAAACAGGCTTTAACACCAACATATGCAGTATTTTTGTTTCACCACCTAGTTATATTTGTATGTGTGTTGTTTTATGGTAACTGTGTTATCTATGTGCATGCTGTATGATAAATTGTATTTAAATTGTTACCATGTAAGTTTTGATGTTAAACACGTTGATAAGGGCTTTGATGACAGAACAGTTGAAGTTACCCAGTGTACTTTTTTATGCTTCTTTTAACCCTGGCCGCTCTTGTGGCTAAATGGCCAGTTACAAATGCCCACGAATAGCTCAAAAACTACTCTGTCCTGAATCACTAGCCTGTAACAAAAATGCTTTAACTGTGATGACTATTCTAACTTTAAGTGTTTTGTGTAAAATGCATAGACTGTTTAAAGCAATAATGGCTAATGTCACAATTATTATTTATTATATGGACCTTTTAAGGCATTAAATATGTATTTATTTGTTTTGTAGGCATATATTGAAGATAAAAATATACATATTGATTTCTATTTGTAGCTTCACTGAAGCAGAAGTAAAAAGCAGAAGGATTTAGAGAATCCTGACAGTTTTTTGACTGAAGTACCTCATGGAAGCAGAAGTTAGATTTACATTTGCACAGCCCAAAAAAAGGCGACATATCCAGTTAGAGGCGCACTAATTTAATCAGAATTTATCACTTCTCATAGTGTCATCATGATATCGAGCTGCTTCATCGAACATTGTATTTTATGTGTGTATCGTGCAGTTCTGCTATATATCATTGTGTGGCGAAACCTTCCTTCCTGTTTACTAAATGTGCATGTAGACTGGTAGTGCAGAGTTCCATGCTTGAAAGTGCTGTTATTGAATAATCAGATTAATTATTATGAATTAAACTTTAAACTTGAGCCAAAGTATTATTCCATCAGACCCAACACCTTACAAAGGGATTAATCTAGCTCTTTGGTTTTTGCCAACCATTTATTGGATTGCAAAACTTTGTTCTAATTTCTGGCTCTGGTAGGTTTTAAGTCTTCCAGATTATATTCAGGTGAATGTCAAGTGGTTGATTATACAACATGCTTGATAAAAAATGTTTTAACCTTTACCTCAGGTCAGTGATTTGGATGACGAAGCTGGCTCACCCACTGAAGAATTCAAAGCTTTCGTGGCAGACACAGGCATGAACCGCAGCCAGTCTGAGTACTGCAACGTGGGCTCAAAAACCTACCTGACCAATCACCCAGCCAAGAAGTATGTCTTTGACTTCATGAGGGTGCTAATCATGGACAACCTGTGCTTGACTCCTGCAAGCAAGCAGACGCCCATCATAGACCTTCTTCTGGAGGTGAAATCACAAGTTTGATTTGTTAATTGAAAATACCAGTTGATTTTTCTTGTTTAAAGCATACTGTGGATTTTTTTTGCTTCTCTGAAATGTGTTGGATGTAGTGTTGAAACACATCATTTTGCAGTGCATATGTGAAGTTTTGAATTCATCATGGTTGTAATGTCACAGCCATGAACACATTTACATATGACTGCCCATTCAGCCTACAGTATTTTAGCTCTGCCCATTCAAATTAAAGTGATAAGGAGTGTTGTTTCTGCAGGCAGTCTGTAGCAGAGTTGTTGGAAGATACTGGAAAAACAATTAAATGTGCTATTCCTTGCTGTCAGTCATCAAATAGATTATTGCAGTCTACCAAAGGATCCAGATGTCTGAAAAGAGGTTTTTTTTTCCAGAATTCAGTCTAAACTTTGTTTCACTTGTCAGCCCTCACTGCTTTCTGAGCAAGGCATCAGTGTAAATCTTGTCAGTGAAATCACTAATGGAAATGCTTATTGACAAAGGATTTTAATTAAAAATTTAAATGACTAAAATTTAGTCAGAGTAAAATAGGCTAAAATTAATTGATATATAATTTGATCAAAAGTGGACTGAAATTTAAAAGACGTTTTTTGTCTAAAGACTAAAACTATGACTAAATCAAAAAGATGTGAAAAAATGAACAGTCCAAGGCATAATACAGGGTAGCCAATCAGAACAGAAGGCATTTACATATATCAGCATTAACGGTGCAGTATCAAAATCAGCCATTTTAGTTTAAGCCTCTTTATTCTAAAAAATAAAGGTTGGAAAATTATGTAAAAATATATATGATTTTTTTTGGTTACTTAAACACAGTGCAAACAGTATAAGAAAAAATATATACACAAGAGAAAAGTGGTATGACAATATCACTCTTTAAAATGATACATATGCATTATAAACATGTTTTAGTGTGCTGTATGTTTAAAATGTTTGTTTAGTGTGCGTCTGTGTGGCGAGATCGCTGACTTGGTGTTTTTTTGCAGGCCTCCCCTGAGCGCTCCACAAGAACGCAGCAGAAGGAGTTCCAGTCCTACGTCCTGGACAGTGTGATGGAGCATCTCCTCGCTGCAGACGTTTTGCTTGGTCAGTTAGCTCATAATTTTTCTTGGGGAAGACTTGGCCCTTTCTTTCACTGGTAATTTTTTGACACAAGTCTGAATGTTCCCACAGGGGAAGATGGATCTATGCCTATCACAACTGGGGGGTAGCTACCAGGTCCTGGTCAACAACGTGTTTTATTTCACGCAGCGGGTGGTGGACAAGCTCTGGCAGGGCATGTTCAACAAGGAGTCTAAACTGGTGGTGGAGTTTATAGTGCAGCTTATCAGTCAGGTGAGAAAACAGTGACAAAGGCTACCAATGGGGGGCATAGACTAATGGCCCATAAAGGCTGATTTCAGATTAGATTCACTAAGTCAGTGTTATCCTACTTCCAGCACCAGTAACTCATATACTGACTCAAACTCATCATCACACGTTTCTTGCGGTGTTCTCATGACACCCTACTATTTCAGTTTTTTCCTGCTATTTTAGTTTGCTGACTCTGGACACACTAGGCTTTAAAGAGGGATTCCTATAAATTTTTTTTTTCAAAGTTTCTGTGTACTGCAGTCGTTCAGATGTAAACAAAGAATTTCAGAGTGGTTTGATGTGATGTGCACCATTCCAAAGAATCATACCGAGTTCAGTGATGGTAATAAGAACCAGACATCTGAAGCATTCAGTGCCTCTAAAACCTCACAGAAAGTTATTGAACTAAATGTTTATAAATGTGCTGCCTGGTGCCCGATACCTTGCTTTTACAATGGCTTTGTGATAGTTTTAGCATAAAACATGTTTTTAAAAATACATCCCTATTGGAGAGGTAGGAAGGCATTGTGAGGCAAAATAGTACCTAAAGAAAACATCAGTTTTCAGATTTACTGCTGTTTTACCAATATCAACCCTACACATAAAACTCAGACAGATCTGAGGTGGTTTTGGATAATAAATGAAACGGCTATATTTGCGTTATATGTTGCATTGTGAGTCGTGGTTCCTTTCATCACCACTGTAAAGAAATCCTAGTTGGTAAGTTTCTCTATAATTCACATTATAATTCATATCAAACTACTCTAAATGACTTAATATCTTAAAATATTAATAATCATGAAAAATCAAGCCTGGAGACAAGATACGGTGTGTGGACTCACACAACTCAAAAAAAAAACATCAAATTTAAATGGAATATGGTACGATTATGTTGCCTAACTAAAGGTACTGAGGATGTACCCCTAAGAGTACCACCCCAGTGACGGTTTAGTACCTTTTTTCTAGAAGTGTATAGAACAAGTTCTTTCCTCAAGGTCTAAATTTTACTTTATCACTTCAGAAGGAATCAAATGTGCTGCTCACTCCACAGCCCCTCCCTTCATGATCATAAAGTTTTAACTAACGTTCTTGTAAGATGTAATATAAATGTGTTGAGAATAAATTTGGACTCATCATTTGTTCAGGAGAGAAAAGAAGAAGTGGGGAGAATCTTACATTTTGGGGCTTCTCCCCTCTTATTAGCTTATATTATGTATAATAATACTGGTATTAGTGTGATAATCGATATATTAATACATTTGTTTTCAAATATATTCTTAGTCATTTAGGTTCTAGTTAAGCACAGCCCCTGTTGTTCAGCAGACAATGAAATATCTAGTTTATAACGAATAATAATAACAAATGTAGTATTTACTTTTATATTACATTTATTTGTACGTTTAAAAAGCCAAAAAAACGAAAGCAATATAATGCATTACTAAATGAATTAATTAGACAGCGATATGAGTCAAATGAATAAATATGCATGACCTGAACAATGACCTAACAGTGGTGTTGCTGTCTGAATATTTTAGCTGTTTGAGGCACAGATGTTTGAGAGCCTATTTAGCAGGTCACTGTTGCCCCCAGTGTACGCCCACACTTCACAGCAGCGCACTTATTTGTGAGCAACAGAGACTTTCGTTTGAAGTCGCTGGAGTAGGCCATGACAACCACTTGAAGCATGCATATCACTTTTTAGTGTCTAAAAAAACTGTAATGTGAATGTTCCCTGTCCTTTTGAAGCTGATGTTTGTAGATGCTAATGAAAGCACTTTGCACAGTGTGATGGAAGGAGACACAGAAGGCATCTGTTAGCTAAAGAAGTAGGAGTGAATGCTCCATAACCGAGTGTACTTTGCACTAATGAGCAGATGAGCACGTTCTTTGAGAACACTGATTGAATTAGTCACCTACACTTCAAATGCCCGCCGAATGCAGCTCATTCAGTTTGTTCCTCTGAGCTTAATTGACTTTGGCAGGCTCTTCAAATTTGAAAGAAAACTCTGTTAACATGGCTGGGCTGAGGGAGTTTTATTTGTGTGATGAATAAACAAATATAAGTCTCTCTGTGTAAGTCTCATAATTTTACCAAAAAGGGTCTTATTTGATAAGATGGAATATAGTAAGAAAACACCGGAATTTTGATTATCAAAGACTTTTGGCCAAAAATTACACTTTAAAAATGTTACGAATTCTGACTTATAAACATATTGTGTTTCCTTTTGGTTTGAGGGAAACAATTCATCAGTAAAAGTTAATGAAATTGTTATACAGAAATCCTGCACATCTCTTATACATGCTTGCCGATACAACTTAATTACTTTCTGCTGCTAGCTGGCAAGCTAGCAATGGTAGCCTGCCTCTCATGGCTAACAACTACAAAAGGAAAGGCACTATACCACGGCTCTACGGCAAGTGAATAACAAAGCATTTACTACAAATGTTATTTTCTTTATGCTCAAATGTCTCAAAAAAACATTTTGCATGGCTAACCTGTTAGCTCAGTGAGGCTAACAAGCTGAGGGCAAATGCGTTCCATAGGAATAATCTACTTCTTTCCCCTCCCGCCCTTCTGCTGCCAGTGGCCCCTTGTGTATCATAGGTGTGACGCACTTTCAAGTAGTGAGTTGAGGTGGGCATGGGCAAGTTTAAAGAAAAAAAAGAAAAAAAAATTGAAATGGGACCGAATTTCTCATTATTTTGTTGTATCATAGAATGATAAACAACAAAAAAAAATAGATTACAGTAAAAAGAAAAGACCTTTGCAGTAGAGAGGAACTGAAGAAGGCATACTGCTCAGATTAACTGCTCCTTAGTTGTAGCCTTATTTTTAGTAGATCTACAACAAAATGTCAAAATATAGCTCAGCAAACTGTTTCAATGGTAATGACAGTAAGAAATAGCGGTTTATTGTTCAGGCTCGTTCATCGTCGAGAGGCAAAACCATAAAACTTTCAAGTTGTACTGACTTTTCAATAATACAAGTACCTTTTAGTTTTATTTAAATGTGTAAATACAAATCAGAATAATTAAAAAATAACCGTCAAAAAGGAAATTTCTTTGTTCATAGTGCATCACTAGAAAATAATGGTGCCATTATTAGAAGCAAAAACCTATCATGAGATTTGCGTTAGTCTCTATCCCCCTCCCCTTTTTCTCTTGCACAACTAAATCCTAACAGGGACTTAACAGCAACAGTGAGAAAATCTCTAATTCCCTCCTTTCTTTGTTTCCTTCCCTCAGTCTAAGCGCCGCTCGCAGGGTCTGTCTCTGGACCCCATCTATCACTGCCTGAACCGCACCATCCTTTATCAGCTCTCTCGGCCGCACAAGACCGTACCACAGCAGGTGGCCTTGCTGGACTCTCTGCGTGTTCTGACTGTAAACCGCAACCTGGTGCTGGGCCCCGGAAACCACGACCAGGAATTCGTGGCCTGCCTCGCCCACTGCTTCATCAACTTGCACGCTGGGAGGTGAGCAAGGGATGTGTAAGGGGTCTATTCTGAGTCTAACAGCAGGAGTGATCAAAGAAAGAGAATCTGTGCATGTCTTTTGAGTTTGGAGACAACAGAAAGAGACAGGTGTTTATTTAGAGTGAAAATGGATTATCTTTTTAGCTGTAAATTGAGGTGATGTATCCAAATGTTGGGGTTGTTTATCTTTTGTGATCTTGACCAGTATATTGGTTGGCCGATTATATCATCCGATAATAGGTTCTGTGGATTCATCTGTCTTGGCAGTAAAGTGTAGATTAGGGCTGTCACTAGGCTACACAATATGGACATAACATGCAGTGCTCGATAAAGTTGTTGGATATGTTGATGGTGATATGAGAAGTGATGAATTCTTATTAAAATAGTGTGCCGCTGACTGGAGGTGTCACAAATGCAGACTGTGAAACATGAGTGAGTTCCCTGAGGTGCTTCAGCCTAAAGCAGTCAGGATTCACTGAACCACTTTTTCTGTTTGTGTTTGCAGTCAGGCTACAAACACTAAAGAGTAGGTTTATTTTTATTTTTATAAAAATGGCCCTACAAAAACAAATGAACATATATTAAATTCCTCAAAAAGCTCCTTATTAAGATGCAGATTTGTTGTGACAGTATCTATCACTGTTTTGTACATTTTACCATACAGTCAATGCATTTCATACACAATAGTCAGAGTGAGAATGGTCATGGCCTTTTTTGTTACAGGACAGAGTAGTTTTTGAGCTGTTACGTGGGTATTTGTTACTGGCTGTTTAGCCAAGGTTCAAACAAAGCATGTGTGGTAACTTCAATTGTTCTGTCATCAAAGCTCTTATTCATATGTTTAGCATGAAAACTCATATCACAATAACAATAAAAATGCAATTTATCATGCGACCCGAACATATAGCCTGCACACATGTTGCAGACTTGTTGTGACAATGTCTGTTACTTCTTCATGTATCTTACCATACAGTGGTAAAACAGTGAGAGTGAAAATAGTCATCATGTTCAGGCTTCAAGCCCAGTGCAGGTGCTTCTCACCCTATGTTCCCATTAATGTAATGACGTAACTGCCCGTGTGAGGTAATTTGATCCATTTTGACATCTCAGCCAAAAAACTTGCACAAAAATCTGTCTCCATCAAGCTCTGCTTCTTACTCAAAGGGCACACCAGTAGGACAGTGTAAAATATCAGTTATCAGGGTATATGCAAGTACCTGCAAATTCATTTGAATGGTTTTTAAGTCTATACCATTTTGAGAAATCTTTAATGATTCTCCTAGTGCCTCTATGGGGATTTGTAGTGCCAAGCTTAAAGGTTAAATACTACTTTTTTTAAAGTCAGCCTATTTTAAAGGAATTATGGCATTATGACAGTGTGCTAATATTTAATGGCTTTTCCAAAACTAACCTGTTGTATAACGTTATAACAAAGAAAACTTACTTATTACTAAAACTTCTAAGAAAAAACTGATAAATATAACAAAGAACTAATAGAGCTATTTAACAGAACCAACAATATCCTTATAACTCTGTGAAGTTCGACCCTTGAGCTACAATATTTGTATTTTTGAAGAATTTGAAGTTTCAGCTGTTAATTTGAGCTTAATGAAACAGTATATTTGACATTTGACAGTTGACAACTGACAGTCCTGACAGTCGCTAAAGCACTTTTACTGTTACTGTCTGTAGTTCTTGAAAATATAGAATAATATTTCCAATATTTAATTGAGTTTTTGATTTCTTAATCAGTATATATAAAATCAGTGTATATATAGGGCCTGCTTACTAGCCTGCTGATGAGCTGTGATGAATGTTTTTCTTTTTGACCAAGACGGCTATATTTAAACAGTAGTGGCAGGTTTGCTTGTGTTTGTGTATGCCTGATCTTTGGTAACTGTATTTGAGTGAGTTTGTGCTTGTAGAATGCGCTTATCTGTGCTGGTGTGGGTCTCATGTCTCTTGTTTTTCTGAGAGTGTGTGTGACTCACACTGGCACAGAAGGGCCTGACGCGGAGGCTTGCGTTGTCAGGACTCTGTAACTAGGCTGACTCAGAACTCTGCCTTCTGATAGACTTGGAAATGAGCTTTTAGTGGAACGATAACACTCGCTCTAACAGAATCCTGATCACACCCACGCAAAAAATTGCATTACAATGCCACACAATCTGGCTGTGCACCGATTGCTGATGCAGAAAAATCTATTACTGTGATCTGATTTTTACTGACCTGTTATCTGTCATCTATAAGTGACTAAAAATACTTATTACAAGGCATCAGGGAAACTTAATAGATGAATGTTTTGGCCTCCTCAATTTATTTGTTTAAGAAAGTGTCAAAATTTGTTGTGTCATTAGCAAGAAAACACGCTTTCACAATCTGTCCTTTTGCCCGGTTTTGTTTGTATTCTGTGTACGTCTTTAAGGGAAGAGTTTAGCAAAAAATCTAAATGACACAATTTTCCCCTTACATCAACTGCAAGATAAGACATGTTTGGTGTTTGATGTAAATTTGTAATGAACAATTATATCACTCCACCACATCCCCACAAACACTGATTTAATGAAAATCACATATTAAGTAATAAACTATTGAGGAACACAACACATGTTGGTCATTCATGAGTTACTGCTAGTGGCTGTTTCTTCTATTTAAATGATGCTCACCAAAGCGATGTGTGTGCTCCCCCTTGTGGAGAAACTTTAGACTGCTAAATGTTGATAAGTGAGTTCCAAAGCCACGATTATTATGTTTTACATAATAATAAATAAATAAATCTATAAAATGGGTGTTTTTCTGTCGCTATAACAGAGGGGCTTTGGAATTCAGAAGTAGATCTCTGTGGAAAACCATGAAGTATTATTTATTCAGAAGTTTACAACTCATTTGAACCATCAGGACACTTGAGCTGTATGGAAAATGCAGATAATTTGTCTTCAGACTATGTCACACTCTGAGAAACCCCATCAGATACAGTGGGAAATTTGCTTTATTGTAACATAACATATTGTAACCTTATTAGTGCTTAGTTTTAACAGTAAAAGGGAATAAAATATTGCATGTACCTATAGAGGTGGGCAATATGATGATATTTTACTGTTACTGTAATATATTTTATCATAATGAACCATATACTTTTCTGAGCGGACTGTGGATGTCTGGTTGTTTCATTAAAAAGAGAGCAAAAGTAGTCCTGAGTCCTTAAATGTAGCACTGTGCATTGTGTCCAAATATTGTGTATAGTGAAGGTATTGTGATATATTTTAACCATATCCAACACCCATATGTATGTATGATTTAATGTCATTTAGCAAGCTGTTTTAAGTGAAATTACTCATCTAGTACTCTGTCAGTTCTTTTTCTCAACATGGCAGTTCTTGCTTTTGAAATGCAGTCATGAGAATACTCATCAGTAATCACCAATGTCTGATTACCTTGTCCAATTGCCCAGGCCTAGTTTATACTCACCAATTAGCATTTTGCTAACTGCATGCTTAAATCATCACATGCTTGCTGTGTCATGTTGTTAATTGATTTCTGATACACATGCTTTTGTGGTTTCTGACACTGTATAACATACTCTTATCTGTAAAAATGGACCAAAAGTACAGGAAAATGTTAGGCTTTATTACAGCTTCTGATACTGTTTTATGTTATGGCACATGCATCTCAGTTTTTATAGATAACAGTACTTCATCCAGTGTCAGAAACTACATAAGCCAATAATATTCAGGCATGCAGTTTTCACAGTGCTAATTGTTATGCTATAGGCATTGAGTATGTTTGAGATAAGAGTAAAATTTCATGAACTAGATTTTTTGCCGAACTACAATGTCACTTTTGTACTCAGTTCTCTGACAGCGATAGGTCAGTGATTGCACTCTTGTTCTTTGTTGCAGTAGCGTAGAGGGGTTTGGGCTGGAGGCTGAGGCCCGGATGACCACCTGGCACGTGATGATCCCGTCAGAGAACGAGGCCGACACTCCCCACAGCCAGGATGTGAGCGAGGGTATGTCTCCCTTTACATCTCACAGTGAGGCTTTAGTCTAAGCCTCATCGGTTTTAGTGTTTCTCAGTAGTGATATTACTAGCTGTAACTCAAATAAGGCCACAATGACTACTTCATAAACAATCCACAAACTACATTGCATATTTTGTTTTAACCCAGAAAAGAGCAAAACGTTGGAGTGGTTTAAGATTGCTTGATCCATACCTAATCCCCAATGTACTCAAAGCAGCTGTGACCTGACCATGGTCTAATCACATATTAGGATTACATGTGCATGACTCCCAAATGTAAGTGTTTTTACATTTACAAGTTATGTACATATGAAACAGCTGGCGCCTTCTCAGTTTTCTGCATTGTACAGATGTGTTAAAAATGAGATTGACCAATCCGAGCTCTGTTTTCATGGTTGCAGCCTAAACAAATGTGTATCAGCATTCGAAAGAGTATAGCGCAGCACAAAAGTTATCCATAAAAATGCAGAGATTAAAGAAAATATTTGGCTGGCCATAGATGAAAGGCTGGGGAATTATGGCGAGTATGTTACAGCAACTGTATAAAGCCATTTTTTTTGTTGTTGTTTATCTAGGTATATTTTAGTGTCTTCTATTAGCTTTCTAACTATGACCTTCCCTCATTTAGCTGTTAGCTCTTCTCGCTAATGAATGCTCCTTGTCAAAGAGAGGAGCAACAAGCAGAAGTAAATCTTTAATTCCCCCACTGACATATGAAAACACCTTTGGAATCGTTTGTTATTCAGCTTCAGCTCTTGTATTAGGAGCTACCCATGTTGGTGTCTTTACTTGTAGAATGGGCTGTATCCAGTGTTTGCGTCGTTCAGTTGCAGTGCTTAAAAGAAAAATCTTAAATTCATCATCACTGCTACTAAAGGACTCTTCTTCCTCTTCCATCTTCTTCCTGCGTTTTCAGAGTGTTCATACAAAAAAAAGCCCAGACTTAGTGTGAAGGTCCCACGTTAAATTATTATTTTTTTTTTTGACGAAAAAAAAGCCTTTTGGTGTGAAAAGGCCTTTAGACGTACCACCTTCTGAAGAGCCCATTTGAATGAACTTCTATATGAAACTGATTTAGGTCGCCAGTTGCTGCTGAAGGCCGTGAACCGAGTGTGGACAGAGCTGATGCACAGTAAGAGACAGATGCTGGAGGACATCTTTAAAGTCTCTTTGCCTGTCAATGACAGAGGACACGTGGACATCGCCACTGCTCGGCCTGCGCTGGAGGAGCCAGCCGCTAAGAGCTGGCAGAACCACCTTGGTGAGTGAAACATGCTGTCTCTTTCTCACTGATTCTGCTTTTTTTTTCCCTCTCTTTCTCTTGCTCACACCGAGACACACATTTATCCATAGTTGTGTACTGTCGTATGCGAAGGTTTGAATGCTCCCAGTTGAAATACATACTTTCATAGTTTTGAAATAACGCAAATTGTCTGCAAATTGTAATGGCACTATCTTTATTTATTTGCTGAGAGATATAAAGCGTAAAATATGGCCTCTTATGCCACATTTTATGTTTTTTTTTCCCCCTCATTATGTTAAATTCAGTAAAGAAACAATAGTTCTGTATTAAAATGTGCAGAAGTGTGTTCTCTGTAGAGTATATGTTAACTTATTTTCACTAAGAATATCAACAATGCATAGACTTTGAATGGGGATGCCCAAACTATTGCATGTGACTTTCTTAGTCATTGGAGTTCTCTGCCAGCTGTTGTCAAGCAACAGAACTGTAATAAAATTATTTATTGCTTTACATATTTAATAAACACTTTTGTTTCACTTTATACACTTATGTAATTAAACCCTTTTTATACTTATTCAAAGACTGTTATTACTCTCTGTCCAATTTAGCCCATGAGAAGAAGTGCATCAGCAGGGGTGAATCCGTCGCCCCAGCGACCCAGTCCAAACTCTCACGGGTCAGCAGCGGCTTCGGCCTGTCCAAGCTCACCGGCGCCCGTCGCAGCAAGAAAGAGAGCGGGATGAACAAAAACAACCTCTCTGCACAGGTGCAGTAATTTGTGGCATTTTTGGTGGCATGCTCCTGTTGTTTTACAGGAATGATTTGGTAAATATTCAGATTTACAAAATGATCCACTTAACTCAGGTATTGTAGATCAGCTAAGACGTGTGTGGTGTCCAAATTTTGCTTCTTTAGTTTGGCGCTGGAGCTACAAGGCTAATGAACTAACAAACAATATAAAGTCAAAAGTCACCCAAATCTTCATCCCCAAAACTCTTTTCTCAACCTGCTCAAACCACATTCGGGTCTTAATTATGATTGTGCAGACTTGATGTATTTTAGGACACAACATGACTGTAACACAAAGAAGCTAATTGCTGATATTTTAGGTATATTCTGTACCTCTCAGCTTCATGTTCATCAAAGTGTTCCTTGGTGTGAAGAGCACGTTTTGTCTGAATAATGATTTGACAGTTTTCCAAACTATTGTTAATAGAACATTCTGAAATTTTTGGCCCAAAGATGGTTGAAACACCTGAATTTGAATTCGGTTGAGCACAGACATCACAACAGAGAAGTAAATGTGGGGTTTGGCATTATTCCCAGGGTAGTACTGTCTCAAATATTTACACGAGTGATATATTCCTCAGAATGAACCTGATTAGTCTTTAATGTTACATTATTGTAAAGCTGCAAAGAGAACTTACTTGTTTGTTTTAAAAATGGTTTGTTTCCAACAGTTTTAAGGGTAATATATATACCTCATGAGCATGTTATTTAAGTTCTAGTTCTGTATGCACAGTTCATTTGAATTGAATGGGATTGAATGTTCCTCAGTCTAATGTGAAATTGTGTTCTACAGGAAACTTTCCAGTGGATGTTCACTCACATTGCAGTGGTGCGGGACCTAGTGGCCATGCAGTACAAGGAATATCAAGAGGTTAGCAGCTAAGACAACTTTAGCGTTGTGCATTTCACATTTAACCTGTCATCGATAGCAAGAACTAGGACTGACCACTGAAATCCTGAAATTAGAGTGAAGTAATATTGATTTGGTGGACACAGATTCAGGTCAAATTTCCTGATCCAAACTGCCAGGCTTTTGTTGGAGACTTACTATACTTGCAGTTCATACTGCAGCAAGGTTATGCCATGCCCTTTTCAGGTAGCTTTCAAACTTTAAACTGTGAATTTCAGTGTTTGCATTACTTTTGGCTCTGTTTACACTAGAGATTCAAATTTCTTGCGAGTTCTTTTGACGGATAACGACAATCATTAGTCTGCGATCGTTAATCAACAAACCAAGTCAAGAACTTACACATCAGAATATCACTTAGAAAATGGACAGTTGCATTTCTGAAATCTGATTCATTCAGCCACATTCAAAGCCAAAGTAAAATACTTGATATACGCACGTTTATGAACCCACACATCAACTGAATTCTTAACTAATAAACTGAGTTATTAAAAAATGTTCCTTGTATGGACTGTGGAACGTAGTACTAATAGGTGAAGCCAGGCATAAGCATATATATATATATATATATATATATATATATATATATATACATATGTACATAAGTATTTATATATATGTGTGTGTGTGTGTGTGTGTGTCTATCTATATATATATATATATATACATATATATATAAATATATGTATATATTAAACAAACGTAAGAACCTACATAAGTTTTGAATATACTGAGGAACTGACAACTATATTATGTGTTATTACATGAACAAAAATGAAAAAGATGAGAAAATGATTGGAAGAGACAATAATAGGATACTTCAAAGTTCTACAATTTAGGGTTGGGAAGTTATGTTTAATACTCATTACTAGCCCAAATTAAAATGAACATAAAATAAATTAACATAAAAGGCTAGCTTATGCTCAGTGTACTGCTCATTGTAGCCCTGGAAAGCTGTTGCTGTCTACCCCGTCCTTCTCTGACTGATTTTCTCACACCGCACTTTCTCTTGGAGAAAATGAACAAAACAATTGTTATTGTTTGCAGATGTTTGTATAGATCATCATTGTAGTTGGGTTCCTGAATGCCATTGTTTTCAGCTGCATTTTTTAGGTTTATGCAGCAGAACCAGTTTGTTATTGCACCCTCATGTGTACAATTAAAAACCAACTGTCAACTTGAACAATAAACAGCCTGATCAAACAGGAACTGTTGTTTATGGGATATTTAAATGAAAATAAGTTTGTTTGGTGTTTTTTTTAACTAATTGCATTGTTGAACAGTTGTTTATTTGTTGATTAATGCTTAATTGGTTAATCCTTTACATCCTTTCTTTACACATAACACTATTCATCATTCTCTCCTTCACAAGATTTGGTAAAGTTAACAGTTGATTGTGGTTTGGCAAAGAAGAAAGACCCTGCTGCCTCTACCGCACCATTTGCATTTACTTATATTCATTGTGAATATGATTCACAAGTTGTGAATCTGTTTATGTTAATTATGGTAATTAACATTAATATCAATTATAACCAGTTCTGATAAAATTCTTGCTTTTTATTACAGAGGCAGCAGAATGCACTGAAGTATGTTACTGATGAATGGGCAGGGATTGAGTATGAGTTGCTGCGTGAGAGAGGCCTTTGGGGCCCTCCTATTGGCTCGCACCTGGATAAGTTCCAATTGGACATGACGGAGGGACCCTGTCGAATGAGGAAGAAGATGGTTCGCAATGATATGTTTTATATCCACTACCCCTACGTGCCTGACTTCGAACCAAACAATAGCTCTCAGGTAATGTGTTTGGATACCTCTTTTCTTCTTAATATGTATTTTAATTAGGTTCAGTTCAGTTAATCTAGATCTTCTAAAATGACTTGTTTCCATTGTGTTTTTGTTTTGTTTTTTGTTTTTTTAATATTCCTCACCACCCTCCCATCCATGTTGCTCTATAACTTGCTGCACTAATTAGAAAAAGGAAAAGACTGCATACTCCACCACTTTTTCCCATGTTAAGTTTTAGTGGAAACATGATTTATGCGCGATGACTGGGCTTTAGGTTTGCAAAAGCTGGTGAGAGTTCAGTGCTAACAGCCTGGTAATCTGCAGTGAATGAATCCTTTGTGGCCTCTCTTGCTCAAGGTTTGCCACATGGCGTGGGCGATGTTAGTGTAGGGGAACTCTATAGGGAAGACCAGTATTTAAAGTGCCTTCTTTTTTTTTAGTCCACTTGTACCTTACTCACTTTCCCTCCTGTCAGAATCCTCCTCCAGTGCCCTTGCTAGGGGCAACAGGCTTCGTCCCAATCCAGGTATAAGATGGCTTAAGAATGACTCAAAAATGACTTTACCCTACTCACACAAACATTTGCATGATGCTATAGAATGGCTAAAATCTCTACAATTTCTTTTTTAATTATTGGCTTGTCTGTCTCATAGCCAGAAATGCACAAGACTCAGCTGTATTCAGGTGCTTTTACACTGGCTGTTGCCTAATTAATACATGGCCTGCACCCCAGTCAAGTGTTCTCTTTGGTTCAATATGTTGCAATGTGGTAGGGCTGCACGATAAATCATATTTTTATCTCAATACTCCTCCATAAACACATTGTTAAAGGCAATGACAAAACAGATCAAATTGCCTCACACGCGCAGCACCAAAGTGACATAATTGCATTGGCAGAAATGTAGCCCAAAAAGTGCTTTTCTGCACTGGGCTTAAACCTTGGTCTGCTGTGTGGAGAGTGAGCTTCTTAACTATTTAGCTAAACAGCTAGTTACAAAACACTCACATAATGGCTCAAAAACTACTCTATTCTGAACTACAAGCCTTTAAAATGCTCCAAACATGATTTGTAATTTTGTTTTGTTTTGTTTGTTTTTTTCTTTCTTAAAGGAAATGTTAGCAAAAAAAGGGTCTATAGTTGAGGCACATACAGTCAAAGAAACATTATTTAATAACATTGTGATATCCAGCAGCTTTATCGAACATCACCCCATATCTTGCAGCCCTACATTGCGGTTAAAAATACTACCACAAAGAATTTACTCACTACGTTGCTGTACAACGCTGGTTCACTATCCTCAGCAGCAAAGGTTGTAGTGCATTTGTCACAACTTCGACTGGTTTTCTGAGCTTGTCACTCAACTGCAAGTTCCTCTGAGTGCTTTTTGTTGTCATTCATATTTAGCTAAAGGGCGTATTGTGAACACTGGTCTGCTTTTTAATGAGCTTGATGAAAGTGAGTGTTTTAGCATTTTCATGCTAATTTAGTTATTCTACCAGACTTATTAGCATTTTTGGGTGAAATATTTCAGTAAATGTCAAAACAAAGGACACACAGTTAACTAAACTAAATTAACAAAATTTCTGCTGTCTGTTGCTTAGAAGCCATTGCGTTATCGGAGAGCCATCAGTTACGACAGTAAGGAGTACTACATGCGCTTACTGTCTGGAAACCCAGGCATGTACCAGCACTCCATTCAGCAGAACACGGAAGGAGAGACCACCCAGCAGGAGCCTGAGCATGGGGAGGACACCATCGCAAGGGTCAAAGGTGAGGGCTTTAACCACTTGGAACTTAATCTTTTTCAATTAAATTTTCATTTTAGCATTATTGGTTATCCCTTTAAGTGTCACTTACCAATAGATGGAATAATGATGACTCTACAGTTGCTGTGATGAAAATGACATTAAGAGTATTAAGAGTAAACTGGACATTGTTTAACGTACTATTTAACAGTGATGCCTCACTGCAGTAGACAGGTTACTGCTATTCTTTTTATGTTCATTGTTTCCTCTAATTTTGTGGTCCTTTGAAGCTGCGTACATGGAGTATGTGCACTCTACATTTGAACGTACTGAGCTCCCACAGATCCTTAAAATGTCTTATAAAGCCTTAAAATGGATTTAAAAAATTTAAGGTCATAAAAAGTCTGAAAATATTTTTTTACTTGTAGAGGTATTAAATTTCAGGATGTGCGATCCAGGAATATTTGAATGGCTGAGGTATCGGCTAAAATAAGCTCAAGTTTTCGCACTTTGTTTTGAGGACATCAAAGAGCTTACCGGTTGAAAAAGTAACTATCATGGAAATGTTCTGCTTTGCTGAATTGCATATTCACAACGCTTTTAAATGGTTATTTTACATTAGTTGTCAAAATAACAGCAAATATCAGAGTGTATACCACTATAAAAAATCTTTTATTACTGCCTATTCAGTGGCACAACACCGTATTACAGTACACCGTACACCACCACAAACTGACATTTCAGTTTGGAATGTTTTCTTACAGGACCAGGACATCCTGTGATTAAAGCCTATTAGAGCTGGATGCTGTTCCTCCAGCACAGGCCGGCTACCCTCTGCCACACACCGCTATTGCATGCAGCAGTATCAATAATATGATCAGCTGGACTTGTTTCCTAAATTTAGTGTGTCTTTCATTTGAAAAATAGATTGCAAATTTTATTTTGTCCAAAACACAAGTGCATACTACATACAAGAAGAATGCTAGAATCAAACATTAGCCTGAAATTTACATCCTAATGTGTCTCTATCTCATCCAAGCTGGGTAGCTCATGAGTTTGTATTTGATGGAAGGGAAAACACTGATGTTTTTGTTGGTAATTAAAATCAAAGTCTGTTGGTGCTTCACACAATTCTGGATCTTCTGAATTGCGACCACAGGGAAGTGCTCAATTTATAGCATAACTAGCTGCTACGGATGGCAGCTATAGGGTTTAAAATAATCGGTTAAATGATGATTCATTTATCATTTAAGCTTAAGGAGTTCTGGGCATGTTTATTTGTATTTTTGTCTGTGAGGAGAGACATGAGTTTGTTTTAGACGTGGAGGCTGGTCTGACAGTGGTCTGTATGTGTATGTGCAGGTCTTGTAAAAGCTCCCTTGAAGCGCTCGCGCTCAACAGCGGATGGTGGTGATGAGGACAGTCAGGAGCAGCTGCAGGAGCTGCTGGAGTCTGGAGCCGTGGACGAGGAGCAGAAAACGGACAACACCACCCTGCTCCGCCTCCTGGAGGAGGGAGAGAAGGTCTGTCCTCCATCCAAACATAAGCCTACACACCCAGACACAAGCCCATATTTATTGTTTATTGCATTATGATAATGAGGAAAGACTAATACATAATTTACTTGAAATGTGTCTTCATAATTTACTTGAAATTTCAGTGGACAGTTATTGTACATATATTAATGCTTTTCTTGCCCTGTGCATCTAGATTCAGCACATGTACCGGTGTGCTCGGGTCCAAGGCCTGGACACCAGTGAGGGGCTGCTTCTTTTCGGAAAGGAACACTTTTACGTGATCGATGGCTTCACCATGACTGTCACCAGAGAGATCAGGGACATCGAGACGCTTCCTGCAAAGTGAGACTTAAATCTTTACATACCTAGAAAAAGCATACTTTTGGTTTTTGTGATGTGATTTATTTTGAAGGGCGGAACATACTTGAGTAATTGTACTTTGTTACTGTACTTATTTTTAAATATTTGTAGTGTTGAAATTGTCTACTTGCATGATTAGTTAATTTCCAACAGACAAAAATACATTTTATTCCTTATATTTTCTTTGTCCATACTCTTTCCAAAGTACTCATTACAAATCTCAAAGGTTTGTTCATTTCAGTTTGAAAATAAAACTGTCCCTAACGACACTAATTCATGTTTGTGCAAGAGCTGCAACCACTCATTATTCGCCCCACCACACAGCACACAGTTTGTTAGAAAGGGTTTAGAGAAGGCAGATTTGCTACTTTGAGTTACACAGAGTGCTTTTCAAATTCAGCTTGTTCTCAGTCTTAATTGTATCTATTTAAACGTTTACTTAATGTGCTTGAATATGTTTAAATATAGATACTTTCTTGCCTTTTTACTTCAGTCAAATATATTTTTGGCTCCATTCCTTGTTTGATACAGTACCATTGTTTTCACTTGAAGGTAAAGTTTTTGCACAGTTCCATCACTGAGATGTAATGTCATTCAGAGTGGTTTGATGTGAAATGGTTAATTGTAGAAATACTTACAGACTCTGATTTCTTTACAGTGGTGGTGATAGGAACCAGGGGTCACAATGTCTACAACACAAATATAGCCATTTTATTTACTATCCAGAAACACCAGTGAACCGAGTTTTTATATGTAATGTTGACAGTGGGGAAAATAGTGGTAAATCTGAAAAACAAGTGTTTTTTGTGAAATATTTTGCCTCACAGTGTCCTGCTTATATTTCTCTACCACAAATCATTCAAAATAATTTTCAAATAATTTGAAAATTATGTTTTAGACCAGTACTTTATCTCAAATTCTTTATTGACTTTAACTATCATAATACAGTGTCTCCAGCCTCAGGAAGGGATTCATAACCATTTACATTACTAATCTTTTGTGAGGGTATTTTAGAGGTATTAAAGTTTCCGGGCATCTGGACTGGATTGCACCGGTTTAAGTTTATACTTTGCAAGTTTATACTTAGGTTAGTTGGTAAAGGCTTTAGTAAGTTCTTAATTAACAGTTAGTTTCAAATTATCCCTAAACTAAATTTGGTTGAACCAGAAATCCCTAAGTTATGTCTTAACTAGTAACAACTAACTAATGTGTACATCGCTTTAACATGATGAAATGTTCAGGACCAGTCTGTAAGCCCACTGCCATGGCAATGCGAAGGCAGCTTGCACTGACTTTTTCCATGGAGAGCTATAAGTAACCAACAAGTGTTGGTTTCCCCTGTGCTTACACTTGCTTGGGGGAGGTGTAAATGTTTAGTAACTTCTAAGCTCAACATTAAAACTTGTTTGTATGGTGCGACCCAATTTGATTTAGTAATACATAAACCTGAACTTCGTAAACATGTACGCTACAACTAGCCTGTTACGTTGTAACATACAGCTGGTACAACCAGCTTAAACATTTAATTATGCAGATTTTGTTTTTTCAAATGGTAGAATTTCCCTTTTAGGTAGACTTTCTTTTTATGTTTCTACCTCTGACTGTTTAATGTGCTGTACCCAGCCCATTAACTGTAAGCTGTATTTACAGTACATGGTTAGTCAACCAAGACATTTTTGGTGTTTTGATTGGTTTATTTAGTTCTACAATGCAAACGTAACGTAAACTTAGACTTATCCAGTTAGCATCATGCTAACTGCAAGCCTAGTTCATCATACACTTAACACAGTGTTGAGTAGTTAAAGCAGTGTTGTGTAGTCGTAATACGACAGCACATCATTCACTCACATCCGTGCAAGTCCTTAACCAAGTTTTGACTGAGTTCTTTTTAAATACTCGCAAGTCAGATTCATCCACTTTTGGAAAACCCAAAGCACAACAGACATTCTTAAGTGTTCTTCCACACGTTGAATGCAATTACATATTTCCACCAGAGAGGTCTCCAAATCCCCAAATCCTACATAGTGTTGCTTTAAGTCATTTCTGATATGCTTGTTTATGTGGTTTCTGATGCCGTGACATACTGTTATCTGTTGAAATTGCCTTTTTATAGATCATGTCATACATTCAAATTTTGCTTTTTATGACAGTTCCCAGAACATTATAAGTAGGTCATGATAGAGAGTAATTGGTAAAAAGATTTCCTTGTTGTGGAACGCTAAATGATTTTTTTGATCGTCCCAGCATGCACGAGCCGATTATCCCCCGAGGGGCCCGACAAAGCCAGAGTCAACTGAAGAGGTCCTGCAGTATCTTTGCTTATGAGGACATCAAAGAGGTGCACAAGCGCCGCTACCTGCTGCAGGTAAAGAGTGGTAGCTGCTGTTTTAGAAGCATCCCACCCCACCAAGCACAGTTAGCCGCTGTCTAATGGAATCCCAAGCCTTTTCCAGACAGTGTTAATGGTTAACCATGGTGTTAATTGTTTCTCTTTCATAGCCAATGGCAGTGGAGGTATTTTCAGGCGATGGGCGAAATTACCTCTTGGCTTTCCAGAAGGGAGTTAGGAACAAAGTCTATCAGAGGTAAAATGTGTAAAGAAACTATGACTGCAAGAGGCTTCCTCAGATTGGTCCTTTGATCTCTTGACTGATTTGTCTTGACTGTTCTATTTGTAGGTTCCTGGCAGTTGTTCCCTCACTTGCAGACAGCTCAGAATCTGTCTCAGGACAGCGGCCCAACACCAGTGTAGAGCAAGGGTACTTCCCTCAAGTCCAACTGTGCTAAATAATCTAAGACAAGCCTAGCATGACTCCCTTACTTACTGCAATATTTTTCTTTTTGTCTAGGTCTGGCCTTCTCAGCACTTTGGTTGGAGAGAAATCTGTAACCCAACGATGGGAGGTAAATGATCTGCTGAAAGGAATAATTGACAATACTTTATTTGGATTACCCACTCACTGTAGATGCTTTGTAGATGTGTAGATTGCATTTAATGTACATTCAACTAAATATCTAAAATAGATTAAATTTATGTTTGTTTTTCCAGACACTAAATCTAACACTCATTCTAAACCTAACAATAACCTCAACCCAAAACCTAAAACTAACTATATCAATAATCTTAAACCTAACCATGGTTCTAATCCGAATCCCAGCCTTATGTAGTTTAAACAGAGAGTTTGTTAACAATCTACAGCTAATCTAAAGGGGACTGTCCAAAATGTGCAAAATAATTTGGTGAAAAATTTAAAATCAAACTACACAGTTTGTACCTTGCCCCAAATTTAATTGGCCAAAACATGTTTGCAGGCCAGAGTTTGTTTCTTTTGTTTTGCACCATAGGATAATATGTCTAACAAACAATGAAAGCTTGTAACCCATGAATTCTTTTGTATACATTAAAAAAAGTCTACCAAAGTAGTCAAAACAGTAGTAGCAGGCTGATTCCATACTTTATTCCATTTAGATTGACATTGTGTCATACATTGTTAGATGCAAGTATGTCATGATTTAGGCAGTCAGTTTGCACAAAGCTAGGTAAGTGTAAGCTTCCGTTACTTTTTAGCGACATTGATTTGATATTTGGGCAAAATATTTACTTGCATTTTTTTCATCAATATAGTGACTGTAATTTGAATTGTGGATATTTTATATAAACCGAGGTCTACGTCTCTGTTTTTTTGGCCAAGAAGACCAGTATTCCCACTTTTCTGGCTTGAGGGTTGAACGCTGAATGTAGCATGCAGGACTGCCAGTTAGTTGTGGTTGTGTTTTCATGTACACAGCACATAGGTGTTTGGTTGCTTGTGATTGGTCTGACTCATCTACAGGCACTTTAAGCTCTGCCATATTTGGTTATTAAATTTCCCCACTTAAAACTTGATAAGCCAACGTTGTTGACAATGTAGGCTATAATTTCTAAGGATGAAAGATTGAATGTGTATGATAATAGGAAAATGGTAAATTAGATTTTTGTTTTGCTATTTTGTATTGCTTTAAACTATATGACTGGCGTTCTTGTCTTAAAGATGTTTTCTTAATTTCTGTGTTGTCAGAGAGGAGAAATCAGCAACTTTCAGTATTTAATGCACCTGAACACGCTGGCCGGCAGGTCCTACAATGACTTAATGCAGTACCCAGTCTTCCCCTGGATCCTTGCAGACTACGACTCTGAGGTACCACTCCGTTCTAGCTGTCTATTGAGAATAATTACTGCAGCAGTACAGCGCAGTCTGAGCACAACACGACACCATGAGAATTTTGGGTAATGGAGTGCTACAAGAAATAAGAAATCTATGAAAATGTGTCTGCCTGAGCACATTATGTGTGAACTAGAAAAGCCGTGTGGGTGGAATTTAATCATCTTTGATGCATCCTCAGGAACTGGATCTGAATAATCCAAAGACATTCCGTAACCTGTCCAAGCCTATGGGCGCTCAGACCGATGACCGACTGATCCAGTACAAAAAGAGATTCAAAGACTGGGAGGATCCAAACGGTAGGTGCAAACCCTGCTAATCTGCTGTAAGTAGAGTTACCCAGAATTCACAACGTAGATAAAGTGACAATCTGTATAATCCAAGTGCTTCAAGCTGAAATAGCAGGTCTTTTTGGTACAAATTGTGTAAAACGCAGATCAGTTTTTTACCTGTTTGTATCAGTAGATATCATTTTGACTGCAGACACCATTAGTAGGAGTATTTTGCTGTAGTTGCTCTGCAACAACTACACCAACAAGATCACAGAATTGTTGTTGACATAATGGTTTAAAGGGCCTGTTATACTTGCATTTTTTTCCCTCTGTGGTCCACTTATAACATTTGTGTGGGTTTATCTACCAAAAACAGTCATAGTTCAATTTTACATGACCATTTTTCAACTTGTCTTTATACCTTAAAGTAAAACAGGCTTTTTTGTTACTGGGTATTTAAGAAATATGAATATGACTTCTTTCCCATAACCTAACCTGCACTGTGTTTCATTCAAAAAGCAGTCCTGACTGAAACACTCTGTATAACTTCAGTATGAATGGGCATGGAAATATGTAAATACATTAGTTATCACACAGGCATTAAATATAGGGACTAAATATGCACTTTCCAACAAAAGCAGAGAAAATGTGTTTTTTTCCCATTATATGGGCCCTTTAATTATAGTTCACAATGCATTAGAAAGCAAGAATATGTGTTAAATAAATCTCTGTGGAGTTTGCTTCACAATGAGCTGAGTAAGTATATTTGAGGCAGTAGAGTCTGTGTGGGTTGAAATAGTGATTGAAATGCTTCAGAAATGCTTTCAGTGTACATTGGCCATTGCAGGTTCTCTGTGCTCAGTCTGAATTATTCTTCTTTCTTTTGTTAGGTGAAACCCCAGCATATCATTATGGAACTCATTACTCCTCTGCCATGATTGTGGCCTCCTACTTGGTGAGAATGGAGCCTTTCACCCAGATCTTCCTCAGGCTACAGGTGAGTGATGCAGGATGACTGAGGAACTTTTTATTCTAGGGTTCAGAAGGGTTCTTCCTTTTCTTTTTTGTCATATTGTAGTTTTATGGTTAGTTCTTCTTCACTTTATTCCACTGTTTTAGCATTATCTTAGAAGAAACCATATACAAGGTTGAGGAGACTCTTCCTTGCGTTTGGTTTCTTCTGCTTCTCCTTCATTTTCTTATTTTTGTGTCTGTACCTTTGTTTCAGCATCATATGTAGGGGTGGGTGATGACGATATGTTATTGTTATCATGATGAAATATGTCACGATAATCATTGCTTGTTTAATTCACAAAAGATTATTAAGATACATATTGCGTCTTGTGAAAATGCTGCAGTAACAGTTTCTACTCTTCTGGGAAGGCTTTACGCTAGATGTTGGAACATTTCTGATTGCATTCAGCCACGAGAGCATTAGTAGGGGTCAGGTACTGACATTGGATGACTAGTTCTGGTCACATACATCATTCAAACTCAACCTAAAGATACTGGATGGAGCTTCATCACTCCAGAGGATGCAGGCTTTATACCCCTCTAGCCGATGTTTGGCATTGGGCATGGTGAACTTAGGCTCATATGCAGCTGCTCTGAATCATCCCTTTCTATTAGCAGTGCTTTTCTATGGATATTATACAGCTTGAAGTGCACAGTTGAATGCCAGTGTCAGCAATCAAGGCACCTTAAAGTAGCTGAATTCACTTATTAAATAACTGGATAATTTTTGACATACAGTATATTATGTGTTGCCATATTTCCCAACCCTAATATGCATACTTGCAATTTAGAATAGACTAGGTACATCAAACTCTAGTACTGTAGAGTTCAACTTTTTTCAACATGTCCTGATCTAACAACCCATTTCCGTTTCCCTCCATCACTGCAAAAATAGTCTAAATAAAGTTTCTATAAACTGCTCTCATTATCCAAACTCAAATTCTCCTTCACAGCTTCAGGAACAGGTTTGAGACCAGCTGTCTGTGCAATAATAGCATCTTCCTTTCGCTCGGGAAATATTTGCATTTGACATTGTTTTTCTCCCACTGTTGCTATTTCCAAAGCGTAAACAACCATAAATCAGGATGTCTTCAGGCTCTTTGACAGATTTTTGTGGAGAGGGAAGCCTGCATGTGGGCTTATCGTCAGCAGCTTGTCTCTGGTAGAGTATGAAGCCTTTCTTTTGTTTGTGAAGTCTGTCTTGTGTATGAACACAGGGGGGCCACTTTGATCTGGCTGACCGGATGTTCCACAGCGTGCGCGAAGCCTGGCTTTCGGCCTCCAAACACAACATGGCTGACGTCAAGGAGCTCATTCCTGAGTTCTTTTACCTCCCAGAGTTCCTGCTCAACTCCAATAACTTCGACTTAGGTGAGGAATGTCTCAGCTTTCTTTTTGAAGTTCCTCTTCCAACCACAGAGTTAATGTAACCTGTCTTGTAATTGTTCTTGTGGCAATACAGGAAGTAAACAGAATGGCACTAAGCTTGGAGATGTGATCCTGCCTCCCTGGGCCAAAGGAGATCCAAGAGAGTTCATCAGGGTCCACAGACAGGTGAGAATCACCCCCCTCACTTTTACTTATACTTTTACTTAAAAATGTATTAAGTTCATTGTGTTAGGAAACAAAATGTCAAACCAAGTGGCATTTATTTTAAACAGACCATTCCAAGACCTTTCAAAAGGCAGCTAGTTTAAGATCATTACACTCCTGATCTGCTTCCATTTCTGCCATTTGAGCAGAACGTGACTTCTGCAGGTTTGCATCCAGAATGCCTTTGTACACTTCTGAGTTTATGATCCCATCAGTGAACACAAGTTCACCAACACCACTGGAAGAAAAACATCCCCACCTGTATGCTTTACAGTGTTTTTAGTGCAGTCTGGTTAAAGTTCTTCTCCAGGCTTTCTCCACACAAAGAGTCTACTGGAGCTCTGCACTTCTGCAAAACATTTTGGTTGCAGGCAGGAGCGGGACATGATTCAAATTTTCTGTGGGAGCAGGATGAAATCTTGCGGGAGCAGGACCTGACGTGTAGAGTCTATCATCCGTTTGATGATGTGCTAAATTTGTTTTTCTCAGAAACAAATGTCATGCTTTTTAAAACATTTTATGAAGTAACCTAAGGAAACATAAAGTTCACCTGTGGTTAAATGGTTGAAGTATACAAATACTTATTGGGACCAGTGCACATACAGAAAAGATTAGTAAGATGAATACTGTGATGATGACTATTTGATACTATAATGATACAGAAAATACTGCTGTTAAAGCTATAGCAAAAATTCAATTTACAATTTAACCCCAAATAATCAGCCAAGACAACACCCTCAGCGCTTCCACTTCCCTCCATGTACTTTCTGAAAATTATAAAACCACCACTACTATCGTGCCATTTTTCAAAACTAAGGTTACTTCAAAATGCTGATCATCAGCCAATCCCCTTTTCCCCCACCAGTCCCCTTCTGTTAAATGGAAAAGTAACCAAGTCAGAGCAGCAGGTGATATTTAATATTGTGTTCTTCTGTGTATCGTCAGGCATTGGAGTGTGACTATGTCAGCGCCCACCTGCACGAATGGATCGACCTCATCTTCGGCTACAAACAGCAGGGCCCCCCTGCAGTAGAGGCAGTCAACGTCTTCCACCATCTCTTCTACGAGGGCCAGGTGGACATTTACAACATCAACGACCCTCTGAAAGAAACAGCCACCATTGGCTTCATCAACAACTTTGGCCAGATCCCCAAACAGGTGTTTAATTAAATCTTGCACTTTATCTTTATATTAATTTGGTCATTTGTCTTGGAAGTGTTAGATTTTTTATTATGATGCTGAAGCTTACAGTATATTTCATGGTAGAGCTGCACAATATATTGTTTGTTAATCATTGTTGTGATATTGGCACAGAAGGCTGCAATATGCAGATGAGCTTTCTGACATTTTAATTTTTTTGTGCTGTGAAGATCCTGACCTATCAGAGAGATTCCAGATGAGTTTGTAGGTGTTTTGTAAATCAATCCGTTCATCAAGCAAACTATTTTACTACATAGTTCTACATGGCTTTCAGGCTACACCAGATTCTTTACAAATAAATGTAACGTGAGCAGGTACTGTGGAAAAATTGTGCTATCTGTTGTGCTATTTTGCACTGGTATGCTTTCACTAACCTCTGTTTTGTGTATTGTATTGCAGCTGTTTAAGAAACCCCATCCTCCTAAGCGCGTGCGCAGTAAGTTGAATGGAGAAATCCCTGGCATCCCTGCCTCAGTCAACTCCACAGCCGACAAAATCTTCTTCCACCATCTGGACAACCTGCGGCCTTCCCTCGCGCCTGTTAAAGGTACTGTGGGATGGTGAAGAACACAGCTAGAGCTTAAGAGACTTATTTTGTGAGAGATCATAGAGCTCTCAATGTTGTCACTTGGACATACTGATACATATATTCACTCATAACTTAATAGTTAACTAGTAGGGACCAGATGATATAAACTCAGTCCTTTCTGGCTCCTGCTATTATTTATTTATTCGGAATGTTAATGCTTTTGATGGAGTCGATTGAATAACCCCACACAGCTGTGTAAGCTTTTGTGAACCATCTTTTTTCAGACATCAGTCTAGTCAGAAAGGCTTGGTTTGTGTTATTTATTTATTTATTTATTTATTTATTTATTTGCTCAGCTTTGTTCAAGGCTGAGGAACGTGTCTGAATGGCTCTGACCTTACCATGAGAACAGCACAAGCCAATCCTAAAAGAGGCAGCAGCATTTCATAAGCTTTCTGTATGTGTATGTGTGTTGCAGAGCTGAAGGAGCCGGTGGGTCAGATAGTGTGCACTGATAAGGGCATTCTGGCTGTGGAGCAGAATAAAGTGCTGGTGCCTCCTGCCTGGAATAAGACCTTTGCCTGGGGCTATGCAGACCTCAGCTGCAGGCTGGCCAACTACGAGTCAGACAAGGTCAGCATCTACTCTCCTGTATGCAACTCCAGAAACCCTGGCATGCAGTACACCGTAGTTATAAAATAAGCATTTGTGTAGTACACAACATTTATAAATTACAGTGATTTTACTACTGTTAAAGAGTGTTACCCCTTAACCTAAAACAAACTAAAAAAAATAGCATAGAAAGCATAGCCTTTCTTGTAGCTCTTGCAAAACAGCGACAAAAGTCAAAATGATAAAATAATAAATTAATTTATTGTTAACCCATTTACACCCATAGATTTAGAGTACATTAAGGAAGTCACACACTGTAGCCAAAGTGTTTCACAAGTTTTGAGTTTGGTTACAGAACCTCTGTAGTAAAGGAAAGCTAAATTAGTGGACTAATAGTATTTGCTATAAACAATTCTTCCTCCAAGCAGTGCAGTTTGTTGAGGGGGAATTACACCAATTTTTCAGCAGTTTGGCATAATTAAATAGTCATTCTAGGCAAACATGCCGAGTCAGAATTGTTCACAGCGTTTGTTGATCGGAACCAGACGTCTGAAGAGTTTAATGCCTCTAAAAGCTTCTTTACCTAAAGTTATTACATTAAATGGATACAGATGCACTGCCTGATGCCTGAAACATAGTTTTATGATAGTTTTGAGCTTTAGTTTTGGTGTGAAATGTATTTTCTGAAATACATTCATGGTAGAGAACTACATGCAGTAGTAAAAATTCATCCCCAAAACTTTTTTCCTTTCAGATTTACCACTGTTTCATCATTTCCAGCATTACAAATAAAAACTCGGAAGATATCTAAGTTCGCTGGTCATTTTAGATAAATAATAAAAGCTATATTTGCTTTGTAGACATCGTGACTTGGTCCCTATCATTACCACTTTAAAGAAATATGAATCAGTAAGTTTCTCTACAATGAACCATTTTACATTAAAACACTCTGAATGACTCTGTTTAATCTCACTGATTGAATTATGCAGAAATTTTGAAAAAGATGTTGCAGAGCAAAATAATCAAATATTACATGAACATCATTTTTTTTTATAACTTGGTGTTTATGCCAAAAGCAACAGTGATCAAAGCACAATGCTAACCTACTCAGGTAGCTGGATTAGAACAAATAAATATTGCAAGGAGTGTCTAAAAGTATTAATGAAATATGTTAATATGTCCATGCTGAAGGTAAAAGTTGAATGAATCTAAATATAGAACACACCGAGTCATTTTTTGTTATTTTTTCATTATTGTTGTCTTTTATTATTCTACAGTCTTCTACAGTATGTAACAGTGTAGACCTGTACATGTTTCATTCATGCTATTGTGCTTGTTGATTAAAGGAACAGTAATATTGAGTAAAAGTGGGCTTATGAACATTTTAACGTTTAAATTTCATATAAAATGTTATAGCCTAAATAGCCTGAAAATGTACAGAAACAAAACATGATTAAAAGAAAATAGAAAAATACTAACTCAGATTGTAAAAGTAAATCAGTAAAAGTAACAATAAATAAATAAATAATACATACATAATAAATAATTTCTTACACCAATAGATAGTCAATCTAGGGTACTGTTTTCACACGTTACGTAGTATATAACAATTGCGTTTATATATTAGAAAGTAATCAAAAACTAGTCCATCAAGGAAGTTCGAGGGAAGACAATTTTTCCATTAAAATTCAATGAAGTGTCCTTGTAAAAAACCCATATGGAGCAATTCATTATGCATCTAATTCTTCTCTAATCCATAATGTGTGATGGGGAGATTTCCGTTTAATTCATGTTAATTGCCGAGCGAGGAGAGTGACAAAAGATACAAAAGCAGCTTCCAAAGATGAACACTAATGAGGGAATCAAACCAAACAAAGCAATCATGGAATTGGGCTCAAAGTTTTTCCTGTTGTATCTGTTAAAGATTTGAATATTTTTGTAAGATATTATGTAAGTCTGACACTGAATGACATCTGATCTATAATTGTAGCAGCTGCTTTTCTTTTAAAACATATTCTTTCTGCCTACAGTCAAATAATAGTTCATTTCCAAAACCATATTCTGGAGCATTAAATTGTAGGGCTAACAGTGTCCCCTAGTGTTCATATGTAGGTTTATTTCACTGAATGAGTCATAGCATTAATAGTTTATTCTGTTGTTGATTTAGTAGTCTTTGTGGTCTACGTTGTATAACCAAAGGCATTTCTTGTTTTTGCAGGCTGTGATTGTGTATGAATGTTTGTCTGAATGGGGTCAGATCCTGTGTTCCATCTGTCCTAATCCCAAACTGGTGATTACTGGAGGCACCAGCACAGCTATCTGTGTGTGGGAAACGAGTACTTCTAAAGAGAAGGCCAAGACCCTCACACTCAAACAGGTAAAAGAATAAGCTGTGCCTTACTGTTACTGATGACTACACTACATTACCCTAAGGGCAAATGGAATATGTTAAGTCCATTATAGGGGTCAAACTGACTGAGCTCCATACTATTATATTTAGATTTATTATATTAAGCCATTCAGACCCAGTACTGTACAAGCATTTTTCCTCTTCTGTGCAGTGAAATTTGTTCTTGTGCGTGTCTATAGGCTCTGCTAGGCCACACTGACGCAGTGACATGCTTGACAGCATCATCAGCTTACCACATCATTGTGAGCGGCTCTCGGGACCGTACCTGCATCATCTGGGACCTGAACAAGCTGTCATTCGTCACACAGCTCAGAGGCCACCGTGCTCCTGTCTCTGCGCTCTGCATCAATGAACTCACTGTGAGTCTGCCACTTTATCTCTTTAGTGTAGTAGCCACTGGTCTAATTTCCAATGGAATAAAACAGATTGGAATCAGCAACTCATATGAGCACTTGTAAAGCAGAAGGCAAAGCTATGAAATGTCTCCTCTTCACATAAAAGATGTGCTCCAATTGGTAGGAAAAAAAAAGTTACAGAGCAGAGGGGAATTGCACCATTACACCAGTTACACCATCAAAATTATGACATTTTTAGATTTCCCCAAAATTTAGTCATGAGACTAGTAAACAAAGTCATTCGGAGTAGTTTGATGTGAAATTCTAGAGAAATGTACTGACTCAGATTTCTTTGCAGTGGTGGCGTAACGAGGCGTTGCGATATCTGCAACACAAATATAGCCATTATATGTTTTAGACTAAAACCATCTCAAAACCTTATTGCACAACTATCATAAAACAGTGTCTCAGGTATCCGGCAACATTTTGAACATATTGAAAGCAAACACCCACAAGCAATAAGACAGATAGGTATTATGTCCATGTTGTCTGAGAGAAAGAGGAATGCGCAGTATTTTGAGGAAATCACACATGGACAGCGAGACTTCGAGAGCTGCTGAGATACACTAAGCCAAAGTTGGCCCCAGTAATGGCTTTTAGCTTGGTTTTAACTTGGACTAGCAATGAGTGGTAAATACTAATACTAATTAGTACTTTACCATGTAGAACGTTCAGTAGCCTGTCATTGTATATTCCAATTATTTCGTCAACGTTTTAGTTTTAGGTCATACAGAGATGAACATACAGTTGTCAGCCCCTCGGTTTAAATGGATATCTCCATTAAAAAAGGTGGTACTTCACATTTTTTTTTTGGTAAAGATAACAGTGTATATATAGAACCATGACAAATCATGATGGGGAAACTGTTTTAATATGAACCGTTTAAAATACTTCTATCTAAAGCCACAAAGGGTTTCACTATTGGTATACATTGAAGTACCTTTTTGTACTATAGAGAACCCTTTATGCTAAAACTGTAATATGAAAAGAATGTGCAACATACAGAAACAACTTTCTGTTAGATCAGTATATTCATGCATATAAAAACTGTAAATGTGCTTAACCTTAACAAAAAGTTTTACATCTGTTAAATTTCTCTGTAATGACATGCTGAAAGATATGGTTGTATTCACCACACAGGGAGACATAGTGTCCAGTGCGGGCACATACATCCATGTGTGGAGCATTAATGGTAACCCCATTGCCAGTGCCAACACATTCACCGGCCGCAGCCAACAGATCCTCTGCTGCTGTGTGTCTGAGATGAATGAGTGGGACACCCAGAATGTCATTGTGACAGGACACTCAGACGGCGTTGTCAGGGTAATCTGCTGCTATCCCATAATCCAGTTTATTCAGTCTATTATTTCTAAATTGGAAGTTTTGGAATGTAATGGTGTTGAATACACGTGAAGGTAATGTGGCAGCTCTTACTGAATAAGGTTTTCTTGTAGTTTTGGAGGATGGAGTTCTTACAAGTCCCAGAAACCCCTGCACCAGAGCCAGTAGAGCCTCCAGATGTGCCAGACTGCTGCGGAGAGGAAAAAATCGGTAACGTGCCTCAATTATGTCACTCATACCCTCCCACCAACTGTGCCTTTTTTCAGATATTACCATCTGATTTAACTTGGAACTTGCTAATTTGTAAATAATAGCTCAGCGAAAGGTTAACACCATTGTCTTCTTACTTCAGTTATAATTGAACAGCCAAGAGCTATTTAATGTTCAAAGTTTGCTTCTGTAGTTTTGCACTGGAATCTAGGATTGTGAGGGTAATGTAACCAACAAGCAATGGAAACATATGACCATCAGTTTTAAAAAAACTGCATCAGATACTGTGTTATATTGTTATCTGCACAAATGGACAAAAGTACAGAAAAACATGCTGTAAGATGGCTGCTACTAGTTTAGCAATGCACTTATCCTTGTTTATAGATAAACAGTATTTACACGACAGATGTAACACAAACGTAGAATCAGAGCACTCTGTGGCAGTTAAGAAATAACTGTGGACGTTATTTCTGCTCTGATTACATAATTTATTTATCACTCACATTGACATCTTCCAGATGGACGTGAAGCTCCAGATGATGACAGCAGTGAGTCGGAGGGTGAGGAGACCAGCCTGAGTCAGGAGCCCAAACCACGTGGTCCCGGCAGCCAGCCTGGCAGCGCCGTCCACAGGCCAAAGCCCCGTGCCGGTGCGTCGTGGTCAGTGGATAGCAGCTCGGACGACTCCCGCCGCTGGTCAGACACGCTCAGCATAGATGAGAAGGATGGCTTTGTGTTCGTGAACTACTCGGAGGGCCAGGGCAGGCCCGGCACAGCCCAACATGGCAACCCACATCCACCGCACTCCGCACCCCCACACGGAGCCGTCCCACAGCTGCTGCAGCCCAGCACCATGGAGGCCCGGCCCTACAACAGGCTAAGAGCAGGTACTGAAGGCATGTATATAACCGCATCACACATTCATGGCTCATCTCAGTGTTAGGACTTTGTAAAAAGATGCTGATTTTGATTTTGATGCCATCTGTATGTCTATAAAAGACTTGAGGGCATCTGCAACAAAGAGGTGTTGATGGTTGCAGAAACCAGCATTAACCCATTAATGCCCATATCTGAATTAGTCCATATCATTTTTACCAAAACAATAGAAAAAACAAATGTGATTATGAATAAAAGTATGAAAATGACATTGTAGCATGCCATGTGCTGGACCAGAAATAAGGACGCTGGAGACAGACGAGCCTTTATTTTTAAACTTAAGACTGAAGGCTGCTTTTCAGTCTTCCAAGTTTTGACTGAGTTCTCTTTGAGTACTCCTTCAATGCACTTGCAAACATCAGATCCATCTGCTCAGTGAAGGAGTCTGAAGCATAATCAATGTTACAAAATGATCTTTTGCATGTTGCGTGCAATAACACAATAACACGTTTCCACCAGAGAGGTTTGAAGGGTGGAACCACAAGCAAACATAACTGAACAATACCCAATTAAGGTTATTTTGACCTTGAACTTTAAACTTATGAACCATATGTTCTTTATAGATTTTCCCCAATATATGCAACATTTTCTTTACTAGTAAATTAAGGTATTCTTTGATATGAGTCATGCAGCACAACTTCAGTGACTCCTTGTAGATATCTGAAGCAACAAGGTAACTAATTTAATTTGGACATATTGCACAAAAAGTAACATTTTCAGAAATGCTCCATCAGACACCATTTGTTATCGCAGTCAAATCAATGTGCAGCATACGGATAAATAAGTTGTTAGCTCCAAGCTGGCGTTCATCTTCCTCCGTGGAGGTTAGTGCATATTGCCAGCAAGTCACCTCACAGAGTTGTGGGTGTGAGCGGCTGGCAGTTCTGAGCTCTGTGTTGCTGTTGCTGTCTCCTGAAGCAGGCTACAGATGGGAGAGACAGCTGGTGTTCCGGAGCAAACTCACCATGCACACCGCCTTCGACCGCAAGGACAACGCTCAGCCAGCAGAAATCACAGCACTCGCCATCTCAAAGTAAAAACACTGTGTGATTGTGTGTCTGTAAGCATGCTTTTGTGTGGTGGAATGGAGAGCTGAGGATGAGGACTAAAGGGAAAAGTTAGTGATGTCCCAATGCAGTTTTTTAGTTAGGTTGTTTGTTTTTTTTTGGCCTTTAAGCCAATCTCCCAATATCCCAGTCCTTTATTGGTGGGAATCTGCTGATGCCAGATCTGATCCAGTATTTGCATTTTTATAGATAAAACAGTTGCGCAGTGCACACTTTCAGTACATTGAAGTTAGTAAAATCAATCCATTTTAAATAAGATGTACTACTTTGTCAATGTTTGGTTTATTGCTGACATTTCACCAGATTTGTCCTATGCACAGAGAAACAGATATTTGCACTGTACAATGAATTTCTTACTCTGCATTACCCTTGTGAACTTCAAATTGCTATACTACTGTAAAGATATATTCATAATACATTCCTAGTACATATTCATGGAAACACATATTCTGCCACCACCAGCAGCAACAGCAGTGTACCATGGTGGTCAGTGAAACGTTCTGTCATGGGTTCAATTTTCCCAAATTTTGTAATAGGTAAAATAGCTTTAACAGATTGGATTTTGTATGTATTCAAATATGTCTTGATGTTTTCTGATACTATATTGGGACATCCCTAGTAAAGATAAGTGAAAGAGAAGACGTTTAAAAATCCTCAGCAAAAGAAGATTCAAGGCAGTTATAGGGCAGGGCTGAATGGTCCAGTTATGTTCTAACTGTCTCCCACTGCAATACAAACAAGCATGAAGAAGAGTGATCATCACATGAGCTTATCACTAACAAGAAATCATTGTTCAAAACTTGTCCTTACCCCAGAATGGCAGAAAGGGGTTTTTCAGCCCATGCTACTAACGCTTTTTAAAAATGTGTACACTCAAAACATCTTCACTCTGATCAAGGGTTTTTGAAGATCCTTTTCCAGCACAGTTTGGTGATTTTAATGCTCAGACACCTGATTAAGCTTAGCAATTAGTTACCAGGATTATCTGGTGTTTTTGAACAAGAAAATGAGCAAACTGTCCTGGACTCTAGTCCTCCAGGACAGAATTGGACACTCATGGTTGATCACATGACCAAACTCAGCCTGCTAACTGTCCTCTTCTCTGCTCAGGGACCACAGTAAGATTCTGGTGGGGGACGGCCGTGGTCGTGTCTTCAGCTGGTCAGTGAGTGAGCAGCCGGGCCGCTCTGCAGCTGACCACTGGGTGAAGGACGAGCAGGTGGATAGCTGTTCGGGCTGTGCTGTGCGGTTCTCTCTCACCGAGAGACGCCACCACTGCAGGAACTGCGGCCAGCTCTTCTGCCAGAAGTAAGAGCCCGGGAGAAGCTATCTTTCTTATGTATACAGTACCTGGGGAAAATGTAGAGTCCGATTCAGTGACTGAATTGAGGTCAGGTTAACTTTGAAGTAAGAAAGAAGCTTGTCACCAGTGTAATGTTGAAAATGTAATTTAACCCCCTTAAATCAGTAGTTAGATAGATACAAAAATAAAATGTACTAATTTTCCCTTTACAGTACCAGTCCACTTGCACTTTTTATCCCGCATCTCACTGCACCAGGGCTGCGTCCAGAAACTTTTGTTACTGCAAAAGATAGCGAGCATATCTGGGCAGTTAACAATCTGATATGCTGTTTGCTGTTTCTTAATGTTACACCAAAGCTTACAAATGTTGACTTATGCTTTTTATGCTTTCATATTTTTCATAAGTTAGCTTGCTCAATCTCACTAGCAAGCTGTACCTTTATTATCGACAGAGATGAGCGTGACTACTTGATTAATGCACTGCCATTACTGCAGAAACAAGTAGAAAACATTCAATTTACCCTTTATTCAGTTTAGAGTGTCGAGTTTTTTTTCTGCCGTGCACCAGTGTTGTGATGTAACTCCTTTTTTTGCTCTTGTAGGTGCAGTCGCTTCCAGTCAGAAATCAAGCGGCTGAAGATCTCCTCACCCGTCCGTGTGTGTCAGAACTGTTACTACAACCTGCAGCATGAGCGGGCCTCAGAAGAAAGTTCCAGAAACTAGACCTCCGTTCACTCCCTCCCTCCCCTTTATCGCATCCCCCTACCTCCCTGTAGAAAACTCCTCACCAAGAGACCCCCCGCGCAAGAGACCCATGTTTGTAAAGCACTGACGTAAACTAAAATGTCCGTTGTTTCATGGATGGAGGTGGAGTATAACGCCGAGTGACGGGAGATGTGTACATCTGTTCTATTTTTCACTTTTTGTTTTCTTTTTACGTTACACTCAATTATGTCCACATAAACATTTTCCATGAACTTTTAGATTTTAGAAACACGTAAACCCTCCTTCATGATATGATGAAATGTGTTTATATTGTAAATAATTACAATGGCCTTTTTAACTAGAACAGGAAAATGAGAAGTCATTATTAAGAAATAAACAGAAAAACAACATTGCCTGTAACATAGCATTATAACGTACCACTCCTGACTTAAAAACTTACAAAAAAGGAAAACTGAAAGCGGTTGTGTGTAGTCGATGTCACTAGTCACAGCATCCCAGCGGGTATAATATTGGGGACTATGAATGTTAATAATAAATGTTTGTGGGTCGGTTATTACCGTGTCTAGTTATGCAAATACTTAATTATTTTTGTTTACAGTGTGTTAACATTGACGTGTTGCCCACAGTATCAGAACTGTTTTGCCAGTAACTCTCAATTTTAAGGTTTGTTGCCAAACAGACTTTTTTTTTTAAGCGTATTTATGAACAGTAGAGTATCTCTATTTTTCAGTTCCACTCTGCTGTTTGCTCTGTGTTTAAGTTCAGCATTTCCCAACTATTTAACGTAACCTCACTTCATAACATATCAGATTTTTTCAAGAAATTGGAGAATAGAATTGTGGAGCATTTCAAGCGTTGAAAATCAGTCAGATAAATGATACTAAATATTTACACTGAGCTGACAGTGATACAGCTGACTGAATATTGCATGTGGTCACTATTGTATTTTGTAAATTTAGGCTAACGAGGGACTTTTTTCAGGTTTATGTGCGTCTTACATTGTCTGTCCACTAGTAAATGTTATATATGAAGCTTTAATATTCCTCTCTGACACTAACCACCTTTTTCTGAGAAAAAAATATTTTGCAAGTTTGTCCGCCAAGGCCATTACATAGCCGAGTATCAGCGTCCCAATTTCTTATTTAAAACCTAGCAGAGAAATTGTTGGTGTGCCACTTCTGACTTTTGTAGAATGTTTGAATCATGCATTCTTTATAGTAGAGTGGTCACCAGCCCTGGTCCTGGAGATCTACTTTGCTGCAGAGTCCGGTTCCAACCACAGTCTGCCACAGCTAATTAACAACTTCAGAAGTACTTGATTGGCTGGATCAGATGCATTAGTGTGAGTAAAATAAACTGGGCCCAGTTTTCCATAGGCATTTTACTGCTAAGATCAACTTAACTTGTAGAGAGAGTGCTCAGTTTGATGCTCGCTCTACCATTTAAGAGTCATCTTTGTGCTAAGACACTTTTGGGACACCCCAGACTTTGAAAGTAGAGCTCCAGGAGGAGGATTAGTGACCATTGCTCTATAGAAATGCATCAGGAAAGAATGTATCATGGAATCTGGGGTTCATCCATTGAGAAAGGGATTTTGTGTTTTGTAATTGGTGTTGAGCAACTAGAATAACTGAGATTGAGACTAATGCTGCGTTCAACTGAAGCTCATCACTCGGAAATCTCCTCCTCTTTCTAGGAAAAAGCAAAGAAAATGCCCACACAGCGGGGAATTCCTGCTTGGAAAGTCTGATGTAAAATAACATGGCGGCTCACACCATCAATAGTAATGAAGAACCAGTTCTCTCCTTATAAATGACATTATCTTTAGATCAGTCAATGTGTAGACACAGTAGTTGGTTAACCTAGTAACGCTTACCATAAAGGTCTATGTTTTGAAGATAAATACATCATGAACGTAAAGTTAACACTCATATCGTGTTGGCTGGCTAGCTCGTTGCTAACGATGCTCGCTTTACTGGTGCATCCATGTTTTTTCCCCATATTGTAGCTCGAATGCGTGGAGGCTGACACAGTTCTTTTTCTTCCTTCAAAGCTTTGAGCCAAGTTGAACGTGGCTTTAGATTAAATCAAAGTCTCAGAGACTGACGCTAAGATGAGACATGAAACCTGTTGTCTTTTGTCAGTGGTACTGTGGGCAATACTGCATTGAAAGTGCTGCTTTAATTAGGAAGAAACCTTTTTTTTTTCCTTTTTTTCTTTTTTTAACTAACAAACACAAATCACTTTAAAGGATGAGATGCTACACGTGTGCAGTAGTGTATTATTCACTGTCTTTATACATTTCCCCATCATTTGCCATACAGCCTAATATGCACCCGTTATGGTTGTTATTATTATACACTCATGTACTGTAAACTAGCGTGCAATCATAACATCAGAGCTGTTGTCAAGCAGCTTAAAGGCCGGATGGCTATATCAGTCCGACTTTGTTTTCGCACCTTCATGTGTACAAAGCAGAAAAAAGAGATGTTTAAGGCTCATGGTTTTATCAGATGCATTTTTATGTTGTGGGCTGTCATTTTAAAAAGGGGTGTGTTCCTTTACAGCGAGACAAACTGTACAAAGTATTTATGCAATTATAATGTTTCCTTTTTTATGATTGATTATTGTACTTTTTTCAGCAAGTTGGGTTACTTGTTGCATGTCTAACACAGCTGACTTTCTGTGTCAGTGCATTGTACATGTTCGGCATTATTATTGTTTCTTCCTCTTTTTTTGATTTCTTTTTTTTTCTCTCTCATTTCTATGGCATTATTGAATGAGTTGATTCTGAAACCCTGAGAGTTGTGTACAGAGTAGCCAGGTATGCTGAAGTTGTGCCCCAAAAACCTCTGGGTCAACTTTTTTGTACTCTATGTATGAAAATCAAAGACTGATCAAAAAACAACATAGAAAAAACAAACAAACAAACAAAAGGATTCTCTTTTTTGGTGGTCTTGTGTTAGACTGCATTGCTACAGTATCTGGTGTGCAATCTGTGGTAGCTGAATGTTCATTGTGCATTTGTGTTCAAGTACAACTACATTGCCCCTCCTCCTTCCTCGTAGAGTAACCCTGAACTGTACTGTTACTATAATGCAATAGATCTGGTACTCATATTTTTAATTTAATTTCAATTAAATCCTTGCTGTTTACCACCACCTTTCCGTGCATTTTAAATATGATTTTCATGGGAAATGTATTTTTGTCTTTTTTTATTCTAGGTTGCATGTATATTACCACATAACCAGGGTTAAAATTTAACAAACTACAGTTACAGTCATGTGCAAAAGTTAGGGCATCCTTAGTCAAATTACAAAACAAAATGTTTTGTTGATTTTCTGGGTGAACACACTCCTGTACATTTTAATGCACACTGTTTATTATTGTTTATTTCCTGAATTTACCACTAATTACAAAGAAAGAAACATGGACTCTTTAAAAGACACACTATAAATGCTTGTTTATTAACTGCTTTAAAGTCAGCACACTGCATGTAGAAAAAAGAGGAACTCAACAAACAGCTTCCTTACAAATACTGGAGATCCTGCCAAAGCCTGAGTGGACTGATAAATTAAAGTGATGAGCCATGTATTAATTATTTAAAGAAGCTCTTTTGAGGGATGATTGATCAGTCTTTTCAGTAGTGAACATGTTAATGAGTGATGAGCTTAGCATCAGTGTTGCACCGGACTTGTGTGTTTTGTAGTATGATGTTACGTACAGGTCCATTACTGAAAAATACATAGATACCCACATTTAACGGTCAAGTTTGCAAGATTTTGTCATTGGGATACGGTGAACTGTTTATAGACAATATTTTATAAATTTGAATTTTGTAATATGGTGAGTATAGCAAAAAAGATACACAATATGTACAGAGATTGTGAAAATTAAGTAATAAAGTAATTAACTTTTAAAAAATAATTATATTTATATAATATATGCAAAAATTATACATTTATTTAATATATACATAGTTAAATTTTTATGATTGAACTGGGTTTTTCTTTTTCAAGCAAAGTTAATAAATATTTAAATGTCTGATTTTGGTGGAATTGTAAATTGAAATCATAATGTAAAAGATCCAGTAATAATACATCAGAACTGTGTAAGAACTGTACATTACGCGTCAGTTGATAATAATAATGATAATATTGATAATAATAAATATTGCCAAATTATTGAACCAAAATATATTATATATATATATATATATAATATTTGTATATGTATGTATATGCTATTTAAATCGCACCTTTCATGCATAAAGCACAGTTTAAATAAAACAGTATACGGCAAAAAACAAAAGCATAAAAGGAAAAGAACATTAAGATGTTTTATTAAAAGTAAGGTGAACGGAAAAATTAGAATATAAAGAATATGCATAAAAGATATGATAAAACAATTCCTAAAAGAAATTAAACAAAAAGAGAGCTAATAAAATGTTAACCTAAAACTTGCAATTTAAAAGTAGCAATGTTTTGTGCCTGATAAACAATAATGGGTAAGAAGTGGTCGAAAACGGCAACAAAAACGTAGCTAACTACGTCTGAAATTCGCCAAATATCGAACCAATCAATGTAACCGGTGTGGTGCTGAGGGTCCCTTAGTGAGTGATGGTGAACCGAGCGGTCAGCAGGGGATCAGCTGAAGGGCCGCTGGGCTGCGCGAGCGCTCCGTCAGACTCGTCACAGGGCAGAGAAGAAGAGCACAGTTAAAATACGACACTGAGACACGACTGTAGAGCTTAAACATGGAAAATTTACACTTTCAAACAGTCCACTGAGCGAACAGCAGACACTGACTACTATTGGCTGAATAAACCAGTCGAGTTTGTGTGACTATAGCGCCTGTCAGAGAGAGAGAGAGAGAGAGAGAGAGAGAGGGAGAGGGAGAGAGGAGTGTTTGCTCATGTTGAGTCAGTGTGGGGAGAGAGAGAGAGGAGAGAGAGAGAGGAGTGTTTGTTCATGTTGAGTCAGTGTGGGGAGAGAGAGAGAGAGAGAGAGAGGACAGGACAGGACAGGACAGGGGACAGGCTGGCTGGTAACCCACCACAGCACCGACACCACACAAACAAACCCCCCAAACACCTGCGGACAGAAAACAAATGCGCGCATTTTATTCTCGTGACTGGCGCCGAGAGGCTTTCCAGCATTACCAGGATCCTCTAAAGCCTCGCTCGCTCACTGTCACTCCGATGGTCCGCTGTAGGTTCAGTTAAAACGGATTACCAGAGCGGACACTTCTTCTAAAGCCTTCTTCCCCGGTTCTACGCTATCTATGCACCTGTGAGCGAAACCAAAACGAGGAAAAATGACGGAGCTGAGGAAGCGAGGAGCCGGAGGAGCGGGAGGCGGGGACCCGGACAGCACCGAGAACATCAGCGACAAGGTAGCCTTAACCTTAACGCCTGTGTTAACTTAACGGAGACTCACACTGGATTCGGTGTCCGCTGCCGTTACAGCCGGTCATCTAAGCCTGCTAGCTAAGTAGGCTAGACTCGTCAGTGGCAGATAAAAACAACTAGCCAGCCAGCTAGCTGACCGGTGAGAGCTGCTAAGTGGACGACTGGGCTGCTGCTCCCTTCACTGGTCAGCTATTCAGCACGAGCTTTAACATTAGCAAGCTAACGTTAGCTTGTCGCTTTGACTTTATGGCACGTTGTTCACATTAAACAAACAGATGTATAAACTTGTTTATGACCGAATAACTAACTTATTACCGACTCGTTTTCATACTAAGTTGACGTTTGACATAACGACATTATTGCTGAGTCCCCTCAGCAGTAACGTTAGCTAGGCTTAGCTAGTTAGCTCAGTGTAGTTATGTTAGCTAGTTTTGACTCCTGTCATACACAAAAACATTGTACGAAGAGACTTGCTGCTGACTAGCTGGAGTTATTTTACCAGCTGAGTTAAACATGAGCATTTTTTTTAGGTTGAGCTGAACTGAGTCAGGCGTCAGTAGACCAGCTAGCCTCAAATTTGCTTGCTAATGCAAGGTGCAGTCTAACCCAAGAGAAGAGGGATCTGTCATTGAAGTGGTGAAATGAGCAGCCCACAAGCAGAATACAGTTTTAGGAGGCTGTTTCAGTCTTTCCTGATGCAGTGACATTGTTCTAGCTCTATGACCTTCTCACCATAGTGTCATTTTTGTTATATTTAAGGGCCTTACCCAGGAGAAAGAAATATTTTAGACATGACTAAGTCCCGTTTGAAATCAGAGTCAGAGTCAGTGTTTCTCAATTTGGGTATTGAAGAAAAAACATCCGATTTTGATCGAAGTATTGTCACACATATGGATTAACTCTTTTGTGTCTGACTCATCTCACAAATCAGTTGTTCAGTGTAGGAGAACTGCTTTTTCCCCATTCATCACTAGAACTTCACAGTGAAGTGCTGAATTTAATTTCCTTCCAAGGGGATTTCAGGAGAAAGAATTCAGAAATCAGTGATTCCACATTAATTCATAATGAAGATTAGCTTTATTTTTTTGAGACAATCTCAAGAAAGGCATTTTTCCTCTGGGTTAATCTGCATTTGGGTTTATTAGATTTTTGGAGGTGAGTAAAAAATACTAGGTGACTTTTTTGAAATGAGGTATGATGGGTACACTCTTAAAAAATGGTTCTTCCGTGGGTTCTTTAGTAAAGACAGTGGGTTTATATAGAGCCATAAACACTCAAAGATCCATTTGCATGCTCAAAGGGTTCTTGGCATCACAAAATGGTTCTTGGATTGATGGAGAATGTGTTGTATATGATTCTGTAGAGAACCTTTTTGAAAACTGTTACAAGCTTGAAATGCTTTCCAAAAATATCCAACACATTCTCCATCAGTCTAAAGAACCATTGGCCATGTAGAGAACCCTTTAAGGATGCACATAGTTCTTTAAGTGTTCATGGTCCTATATGGAATCATTGTCTTTACTAAAGCACTCTCGAAATACCATCTTTTTTCAAGAGTGTGGCCTAAAACTATGTTTAAACAAAAGGTGCTATTTGATTAAATAATGACCCAAGTTGAAGAAAAAGTTGAAAAAAGCATGAAACTTCAAAGGGAACTGCATTTATTTTTAACATCTCTGTATAATTAATTGGTGTAGATGTAAACAAAGTCATCCAGGGTGGTTTGATGTGAAATGCAGCATTGTAAAGAAACTTACAGTGGTGGTGATAGGGAACCAGACATATGGACCATTTAATGCCTCTATTAAAAACTATTAGTAAAATAGTTAAGAATGTGCGATCTGATGCATCAGGCATTGCTATACAATAGTTTAGTCATAAAGTTGTGGCCTGTAACGTTTTTTTTAATCTGTTAATTGCAGAAACATACATGTGACCTTTTCAGTTTTAAGACTATTTTATCATTATCAAGATTACATATAAAAACTCAGAAGACACGTGTATATTCAGTGGTCATTTTGGATTATAAAAAAAATGGCATTATTGTGTTGTAGACATAGCAGCCCCTGGTTCCAGTCACCTCCACTGAAAAGAAATTAGAGTTGGTAAATTTCTCAACAGTGAACCATTTAACATCAAACCACTCTAGTTGACTGTATACATCTCAATGAAGTATAAAGCCAGAAAAACCTAAGCTAGTTAGGTGCTACTCTTCTCTTTTTGGGATTCCTCAGCTAAAAAAGGTGAGCAGTGGCAGTCCAGGTGCTGTCAACAACAGAGCAGGACAAAACTAAACACAGACATGACCAGTAACTAATTCCTTTCCTTTCCGATATACCTGATTAGAGAGACAACTGAAATTCACCAGAATGAATTACGCATCAGAATAAATAGAACTAATATAACTACTCCTTACTTCTGTTGGTGACTGCTAGCCAGCCATCAACTTGTAAAAGTCTAAACTACTACTGCACACGCTTTTGTGAGTATTTAGGAGCCTCAAATCTGTGAATGTTGTAGGTATGATATGAGCTATGCTAAAGTTCTTTCATGGTTGATGACCCTGAATTAGCAGCAAAGTCCCGAAAGAAATCAATGACTTAGTCTTTGAATGTTAGTGTGCAGTTGCAGAGACTTCATACAGACAGTGTTTCTCAAGACCTGTTTCAGTGTGTGAGAGACTGCCCTGTAGCTGAGGTCATCCAAATATTTGGTCATAAATAGGCTAAGTCAAACGTGTAGTTATGAATAACAAACTGCAAACAGCTGGGAATAAGTTGTTGTTTTTCCACAAGGCAGTTTAGGTGAATTTGCTTGATTTTTTGAGCCAGTAATGTCATTTTTGCATGTTGGCCTAAGGCCTTTTATTAAGTCTAGTAAAATCGATATGCTACACAGAGATCTCAGCAAAACAGCTTAACTCAAATTTTCTGGATGGTCATATGTCTGAGCATTAGTCTGCTGGTTACAGACAAGGTCTATAGAAAGATCTTTGTTGACAGTATAGGCTTTTAGAGCTGTTTCCCATTTCATTAACAGCAAAGTAAAGAGCCTAGTTTTCATGTTAAAGCTATTAACATGCTGCTATTGACTTTTTGGGTATTGGCTAATATTGAAAGATTCATTTTAAAGGTTAGATTATTCCTAGGATAAAACATATGTAGCCTGGTTTTTCATGTTAGTCAGATTTTGGGGTTCATAATCAGTGCATCAGTTCATCTCTGTTTCATTTTTCATTTTTTACCCTTTTCATTTTTTACATAAAACAAGCCTGAATACCTACATAAAAAGAAACATGCCCAGCATGAACCCACCAGCCTAATTTATGTTTATCGTGGGACTGTTTTGTAGGCAAACATAAGTCTTATGCAGTCAAAGCTGTTGCCTCATAGGCAAGACTTGTTTTTTTCCCCTTTTGCAGCCAGATGCATCTTCACAAGGTCAGCCACATCATTCCGTTAGCAGTGTCTGCGCTTTTTTATGAACAGGTCTTATATATATATATATATATATATATATATATATATATATATATATATATATATATATATATATATATATATATATATATATATATCATTGACTGAGCTGGGGGAAGCTTTCAATATTGTGAGCTCAAATGGAGCTGAAGCTTCACAGCCTGCTGGGCATTTTGTCCTTTTACTCTTATTAGCAGATGCAGAAACAGCAGCCTGTCTCTGCTGAGCCGTTGAGGCAGTGGAGCATTCGCGAACAGCACTCTGCTCAGTTTACCGCGTCAGCTTCCCCTCTGAGCTCAGTGTACCACGATGACCTCCCTGTGGTGGCCACGCTCGGACAGCAGACAAGCCCAGTGTTGGATGTCTCTGTCGGAATCTGAAATGGCCCCCTGTTCTAAAATACAGTGAGCACCTGGTTTTGGCTCCCTCAGTTGATAAACTGTGATCAGTTGGAGTACTTAGCTGAAGTTAGAGGATTGGCTGACATTGGGTATCAGTGCTTTGACAGGTTTGTGTTTCTGGCAGAAAAAACAGAAATCCTACTCTCAAACTATTAGCATTTAGAAGATACACTGAACTAATGTAACTAAGGACCAGTCTTTTAATTCAAAGATTTAGGGTGCATTTGTATCTGTAGTTCGGTTCTCTTGTTTGAGACCAAAGCAAGAAATGGGATGTTGTTCCATTTTAGTTCTAGCTTGCTTAAAGTCTACACAGTAAAAAGTTGCAACTGATTCGCCAGATTTTGTGACGTACATTTGACGACAATACCTGGGATGACCACTGTGGCCTTACTGAGCTTGTGGGTTTTATGTGTGTCTTGTTTCATCCATGTCAGTAAAACAATTGGCCATGAAAAGCATTACTGTTATTTTCCCACAGTGTGGAGTGGAGAGAAATTATTAGGGGTGTAATGATATACGCAGCCCAAGATTGGGTTCATGATTTAGTATTGTCACAATAATTTTAACAAAATTTGATTGATGACGAATAATGGTGACTGTAACCATGTTGTTGCACAGCTTATGAACAACACTTGTGTTGGGAGGCAGGAGGAGTGCTGGAGGGAGTTGTTTATGGCATGGATCCCTTACAAACTTTGGTGTGCAAACAGTGCAGTTGTTTTAGGTGGTATAATTAATAGAATGTCCATCCACCACAATACACATTGCCACAGTTGTGCACGGCAATATCAAAATTTCTTGATGGATTGGCCCACCCATAGCAATCACTGTAATACATGGCATTTATAAAATGGCAAAGGCTTTGCACTGTAATACATTATAGAATATAATGTTTGCAGTTACACTATATGGCCAAAAGTATGTAGACCCCCCTCCTAATTATTGAGATCAGGTGTTTCAGCCACACCCATTGCTAACACAGGCATAAAATCAAGCACATAGCCATCCATCTAATCTCTACAGACAAACATTGGCAGTAGAATGAGTCTCACTGAAGATTGGCAGTAGAATGAGTTTCACTAAAGATCTCAGTGATTTTAA